CACCGAGAAGCTCACGGGAGAAAAGCTCACCGCAAAACTGACAGATGCTGAGATAAATCCACGCAAGTATTATACGGTCAAGCTTTAAAATTTAGTATCTGCGGCTCTACTCTAGGTGCCCTGTGGGGAACACAAAAGGAGCTATATACAAAATTTGTATATTACAGACACCAATAGAAACGAAGAAGTCCACAGTTATGCAGGATGGGAACATTTAACAAAGTGAAAGACACGTATTTTTTTTTTTTCTATGAAGACATTGCCTCAACTTTGAGTTCTATAACGAAGAGACCTCGTCATTGCACCCGACGACCACAGACCAAATTGTGTCAGGACCCATCCGCACCAAAAATCATAAGTTGCTCAAAATAAAAGATACGGAAACGATTGTTGCTATTATCCATATACCAAAAGAATGCCATTTCCGAAAACGAAAATCGTAGGCGAGTTTCCACCGCATTCATCAAGAGGCCGGTCAGCTTTTCTCCGCGTCGGTCGGTTTTGCGGTGAGATTTTTTCTATTAACTTTTTTTCCGAGATTCGTGACTTCGGCATCGACCTGCACCTTTTTATATCGGAACCGCAAAAAGATCGCACGTGCCTGAAAGACGATGCTGGTTTTCAGTCATCATATTTTCACAAAGCGAGGCATCTGAGGTTCTGTAGCGCACTAGATCAACCGCACCTGGAACCGGACATTTCACCGAACGCCGTTTCATTGAATGCATCATAAGTTTCTGCGAATGATATTTGAAAATTTATTCTCTCTTCGAAACCATTGAATCTTGCAAACTAAGAAGTAATTTCTCATTGTCCTCTCGTACGACAGACGCTTAGATGGCACGACGGAGGACACGCCTGGAGTTGTAACCAAGCGGATGGATTCGCGGTTTCCACCACCTCACCCTTCCACCAACCCCGATTATATATATATATATATACAGGGTGTCACAAAAGAAAATTTACACGGTCTTTTTCACTGCAAAAATAAACTAGCCATCGCCGAACGCTCATTCTCCGCCCAAAGGTAGAGCTAGAGGTCACAACCAGATGCCAAAGTTTCATCTTGATCCGATTACTTAATCAAAAGTTATAAGTGATTTTCTGAAAATTTCAATGGGAAAATGGAGCCCATTTTTGCCCGTTTTCGGTTTCTGGTGCCATAGAGCCCCATGTGTTTGAAAACTCCGTCGGCAACCATTTTCCCATTGAAATTTTCAGAAAATCACTCATAACTTTTGATTAAGTTATCGGATCGGGCTGAAACTTTGGCATCTGGTTGTGACCTCTAGCTCTACCGTTGGGCGGAGAATGAGCGTTCGACCATGCCTAGTTGATTTTTGCGGTAAAAAAGACCGTGTAAATTTTCTTTTGTGACACCCTGTATATATATATATATATATATATATATATATATATATATATATATATATATATATATATATATGTTTTTTTTTTGATTAGCAACATTTTTGTATGTTTTTTCCGCTATTAAGATTTTTTGTTTAAAAATACCGGCCAATTGTTGCAATTGAAAGTTTCGGTACGGGACGACCACCTTTTCGATGAAACGGCGTTCGATTAAATGTCCTGAAACCCTACGCGTTTCTCATTTTTCCGTTTTTTTTCCTGCGTTTTTTTTTTTTTTTTTTTTTTGTTTTGCTCGACGACAACTTAGGTGCAGAATTTGAGCCCCCCCCCCCCCCCCCCCCTTTTTTTTTTCTCCCTCGGTACGCGGAACACGATAACGCTTTGCTAAAACTTCCTATTGATTCCGAATGAACTAAAGGAACACAACACGGTAACCCACTGTGGCCAACAAAGAAGAAGGCTCCAATAAATATAGCTTAAAAAAAGTTTTTCGGCTAGTTTTGGCGCAACATGTGCGCTTGAGGGCAGGATGGCGCAGCGAAAGTGGATTGGAATGGCGCATCGCTTCCACCCCTGCGTCTGAATCAAACCCATTTTGAATAGTCCGCGAAAGTAAAATAATTCGACATCCATCGCGCGAGCACGAACATAGCAAAAACAGCAGCTCTGATCTAGGCATTTTCAACTTCGCAGTGTAGCAACTCCTGTCGAGCGAAAATAATAATAAAAAAAAAAAGAACAACTGCACTACGTGCAAAACCGATTCTCACGACCTCTTCAGGTCGCACGTTTCGAAATTTCGTTTTTTTGCGGTGGTGCTCAGATATTTATTCCCCATCAATACAAGCCACGTCGTCGTCCGTTCATTGGACCTAAATTAAAAAAAAAAGAAAAACAATTTATTGATATATTTATGTATATATATAAATATATATTTTTAAATCTGAGCCGCTGTCATCTTGTGCTAATTACGCAAATTAAATTAAGAATTCAATATTCAAACGTTATTAATTTTTCTAAAAGACCCTTTGAGAGAAATCAACAGGATATCAACCCTTTGCATTTGTTTTTCAGTCCTAGAACTCCTACCTAAACGGCACTATTGTAATTTTTAGTCGCAACACAAGTTGTTGTTTTATCATGAGCTTTTTTACTTTGGGCTTTCACTGTACTAAGAGAAGAAGGAATTCTTTTGTTGGTTTTGTGGGCATGATCTTTTAAAAGTAAAAGGTAAGGTACTCCGGCGTTTTTTTCATACTCCCGAATTTGCCTGAAAATCTGCTGAACAGACCCATAAACATCGTGAGAATAGTAACCCAAATATTGGGCCAAAATAATTTATTTTCGCGAAGTTATTAAATTTACAATTTTGGTCATCACGATGTTTTTCAAAGTGAAAGTCTCGTCTGGCAACAATGAAAAAGTGACGTCGCCCGAAGGCAGCGGTTCTCTCTTTAGATTGCAGACTTCGTCCCAAACGGATTACAAGCACTTTCATGGTGTCAAATGAATGCTTTGGAGGCTCACTTCAGCACCCGCGCAGAGGCACGAAACAAATGCTCGGCATGGTCCAGTTTTAGACTGCCCGGTCGACCTGCAAGCTTGCCTTCCACTGACGTCACGGCACTGAAAAACGCGGGTACATTTGAATGTTTCTTTTTGCACAATATTTACTTGGCGATTTCACAATAACTATTCTGAATTTCGCGATACTATATAGCATGCCGGAAAGAGCAAAGACCGGTGATTTCGAATAGATAGTTGGGGTAGCCCAAGAAATTCCTGGAATACCTCTTTAAAGGGATACTTCAACGAAATTTGAAATATTCCCGTCGTGTACTATCGGGGAAAAATGAAATGCGAACAGAGGAGCGCGTGGCTTGCGGTACAGGCTGCGCCGCCTGGTAGTGAACCGAGGGGCGAGGGTGCTTGGCCTACTTCGATGTGTTCACGCCTTTCGATTGGCGCTCCCCCAGCTTCGGCAGTGCGCCTCTCGGTGCGCTGAAAGCTGTCACCGCTATCTTTGCCTGCTCGGCGAGTGCGGCGAGCTTCTTTGCACCACACGCGCTGAGCCAGCAAAGATAGCGGTGATAGCTTTCAGCGCACTAAGAGGCGCACTGCTGAAGCTTGGGCAACGCAGAGGGAGGGGCGTGAACACGTCGCAGTAGGCCACGCACCCTCGCTCCTAGGCTCACTTCCAGGCGGCGCACCATGTACTGCGAGCCACGCGCTCCTCTGTTCGCATTTCATTTTTCCCCGATAGTACAAAAATAGGTTGAATATGATCCACAATATCCGTAAATGACAATCGCACATTTGTATTTTGATCCTGGTGGCTGTATTTTTCGTTATAAACGACCCACTCTGGCAAGCGCTCGGAGAAGGCCCAGCTTAGAGCACGTGACATCCAACGCAATCGTGACGTAGGTCGTCTCAAGACGAGCAAAGCTACGGCGAGGCTGACGTCGAGAGGATGGCCTAGTCGTTCCAGCCACCGAAGCGGCTGCTTTTGTACGAATTTTGAGTGACGGGTTAATCTTCTATAATCTTCTAGGGGGACAATAGCGACTTCTGCGACACACAAAAGGGATTCTCGGGAAGAGTGGAGTTCCTCCTTCCCCCCTTCTCTCGTCGTGGCCGGAGACGAGACAACCTCCGTCACTAGCTGTCAAGGTTCCTAGACGAGCATTACAAGCGAGGCGTTAGCGACATCCACCAGGTGCTCTTTGATAATCGTTTAATTCGTTTTAAAATTCCTTCTCGAGACTTTTTTAACAAGATATTGGTATGTTCCATGTGATACTGCTCTTTTGAACACATATAGACCAAAAAATGAGCGCCTAAATTTCGTTGTAGTATCCCTTTAATACAAGCGCCTTTATGGGAAATTGCATATAAACACTTTAAACATTCTTTGCTTTGACAGAAATTTAACGGACACTAACCTGATTTTTTTTTTTTCTTTTCTTCTTAGTGACATTTGAGAATCGGTGTCCAAAACTCACTAATATAAACATAAAATTGTGCTGAATAAAAAAAAAGTGAGGATTTTAATTGGCTGACCCAGTACAATATATCGAAACTCGGATGAAATGGAGCTCCGAAAGCTCCGCTCCCCGAAGAGGCGACGTGTTGCGGTGCCACATTTACGCAAGAACGAGGCGGGGAAGTGTGCGCGCAAGTAGTCTGCTAGTTGGAATTTCGGGGCAGATGTAAAAACTTGTTTTTTTTTTAAACAAACTGGTTTTTCCGTCACAAAGCCAAATCCTTGCCCAAAAAAGCAAGGCAAAATGGAGGAACACAAGGTTAGACTCGGAAAGTGACATGGATTGTTTGTTGCATTATATTTAGTAACGGATCAATTCCATCACTCCTAGTAATGAAGGTACCCTAGACGGCTTACACTACTTCTCAAAAAGCCAGAATACTGCATTCTCATCATATATGATTGAGAAAAAATGTGGAGAAAGGGCAGTCCTCAGCTGCCATTTCCCCACAGGTAGTTTCCACGTGAAAAGCAACACAACCTTGAGCCACAAATTTTTTTACGTGCTCTTGTAGGTTATTACAAAATCTGGATGCACAAAAACATATATAACTAAAAAAAAAAAAAAAACACTGCCACAGGGTTTTTAGACACAACTAATCCTGCTCCTTTATTTCCCTGACCCGTCCTCTGATGAAACACTACTTCAGCTTGCAGATCGAATAGGGAGCATCGGGGTGCCTCTTGTAGATCTTGACCCAGAGTGGGACTTCCCTCTGGAGGGCTTCCCGCAAGATGAACCTGCAGTCGTAGATCTTCATCCACTCCTGCATCTTTGCTTTCCTCTCCTCCTCGCTGCGCATGTCCTCCCCCAGGTACGGCCTCAGCTCGAGTCCCTCGGGAGCCTTCGGCCGCTGAAGCACAAACCTCAGCAGTGTCTTCAGTACCTCGTCGTCCAGGCCCTTCAGCTCGCCGTTTTCGAACACCTCGAAGAGGCGAAGGTTGCCCGACGACCAGCACAGGTTGCGGGCCGTGTTGTCTTCGTAGAAGTCGGGGTGGAGTGACACGGTGTTCAGCTGGTAGACTGCAAAGGTCCAGTGCTGCCCGTCCGTGCTCACGACCTGGCTGACCAGCGGGTAGGTCGGGTCGTGGAAAGGGCTGAATCCTGTGCAAGCGACCAGATGCAGGCAACTCCGTGAAGGTTTGTAATGAGTTCCCTCAACCAAATATGCTCCACCCTATAAAAATCTTCGACGAGCTACCTCAACCAAATACGCTGAACCCTGTAAAGATTTGTGACGAGTTACCTCAACCAAATATGCTTAGCCCTGTGAAGGTTTGTGATCAATTATCCCAACCAAATGTGCACAACCCTGTGAAGATTTATAACAAGTTACCTCAACCAAATATGCCCAACCCCGTGAAGATATTGCCGCGTGTGCAGGTGGCCAAAGAGGCAGCGCGCGCGTGGTTTAATGGTTATCGTGCCTGCCTCCCACGCGAAAAGCCAGGGTTCGATTCCTGGGAGCCACGCATCTTTTGTTATTCTTGTTGCTTGTTCAAGGTCGGAATGTTCTATGCGTCAAACATTCTATGCCCATTCTTCCAGAAGCTCACGCATGTGTATAAGGGGCTCTGCGTGGCGAACCAGTCAGTCTCGCTCGATCCTGCGGTTTCGCCGACATCGATGCCCGCGACGCTCTGCTGTTTTCTTGTGTTCATTTTTTGTTTTGGGCAAAAGTTCGCCCCATTAAACGTTTAGTTTCTTCGGTTATCATCGCCTCATTAATTGTCACTCGTGACAATATGTGATGCGTTACCCCAACCAAACATGCTCAATCCCGTGAAGATTGTAACAAGTTACCTCAACCAAATATGCCCAACCCTGTGAAAATTTGTGATGGGTTACCCCAACCCAAAATGCTCAACCCTGTGAAAATGTGTAATGAGTTATCTCAACTAAATATGCCCAACCCTGTAAAAATTTGTGATGAGTAACCTCAAACATATATGCCCAACCCTGGAAGTTTTGTGATGAGCTATGTCAACTAAATATGCCCAACCCCATCAAAATCTATGAGTTACCTCAACCAACTATGCCAAATGCCAAACCTTATGAAAATATGTGTTGAGTTCCCTTATATCAAATATGCCCAACCCTGTGAAGATTTGTGATGAGTTCCCTCAACAAAATATGCCCAACCACATGAAAATCTGGAATGATTTACCTCAATTAAATATGATCAACCCTGGGAAGAATTGTGATGAGCTACCTTAATATCCCCAACCCTGTGAAGGTTTGTGATGAATTACTCGAATATGCTCAACCCTGTGAAAATTTATAACAAGTTACCTCAATCAAATGTGCCCAACCCTGTAAAGATTTGTGACGTGTTACCCCAACCAAATATGCTCAACCCTGTGATGACTTGTAATAAGTTACCTCGACCAAATATGCCCAACCTCTGAAGACTTGTGAAGGGTTGTCTAACCCCGTGAAGATTTATGAAGAGTTCCCTCAACCAAATATGCCCACCACATAAAAATCTGTGATGAGTTACCTCAACCAAATATACCCAGCCCTGTGAAGGTTTGTGAGCGATTACCCCATCCAGATATGCTCAACCCTGTGAAGATTTGTAACAAGTTAGCTCAACCAAATATGCCCAACCCTGTAAAGATTTGTAAAGAGTTACCTCAACCACATATGCCCAACCACATGGAAATCTGTGATGAGTTACCTCAATCAAATATGATCAACCTTGGGAAGATTTGTGATGAGTTACCTCAACCAAATATGCCCAACCCTGGAAGATTTGTGAAATGTTACCCCAACCAAATATGCTCAATCCTGTGATGATTTGTAACAAGTTAGCTCAACCAAATATGCCCAACCCTGTAAAGATTTGTAAAGAGTTACCTCAACCAAATATGCCTATCCCTGTAAAGATTTGTAAAGAGTTACCTCAACCAAATATGCCTATCCCTGTAAAGATTTGTAAAGAGTTACCTCAACCAAATATGCCTATCCCTGTGAAGATTTGTGATGAATTATCTCAACCAAATAAAAAATGAAGATCTGTGATGAGTTCCCTCAACCAAAAATGCCTAACCCTGTGAAGATTTGTGATGAGTTACTTCAAACAAATATGCACAAACCCGTGAAGAATTGTGATGAGTTACTCAGCCAAATATGCCCAACCTTGTGAAGTTTATGATGAGTTATATCACCAAATATGCCTAACTCCTAGATAATTGTGATGAATTAGCTCTATTCCATGAAGATTTGTGATGAGCTACCACAACCAAACATGGCAAACTTCTTAAAAATATGTGACGAGTTAGCTCAACCAAATACACTAAAACTCCAAGATGACTGTTCACAAGTTAGCTCAACCAAATACAGCAATCCTTCGTTATAACGAAATAGCTTTTTTCGGATTATCGCTTTTATCAAAGTTCAATGTGGTCCCAACCGAAATGCACACATTTTTAACCGGGTTATTCTAAGTGTATCGGCAGCCGACCATGCTCATTACGAAGGCCGCGACACTGAAAGCACGCAAGCCTACGCGGAGGCACACAGAGACCCTTGCGTTCCCTCCCCCTTCTCAACCGAGGCAAACGGCCAACTGGGAAAACGGAGTAAACGGGTGACAGAGGGCAGAGCGCACAGAGCTGGCAGAGTGCCGCTTCCAATGCCGATAAGCTGACGCAGGTACGCAGGCAGGGAGCAGCAAGAGTAGTGTTAACGTTCCGACGCTACTTGCGGCACCCGTGGTTGACGCTGCCCGACTCCTGTCAGAGTTGGGTCAAGGGATCAATAGAGCCCCAAGGAGAGCATCCCTTCACGAGCGCCCGACGCGCACGCCTGCGGCGTACTACATGCGCATGTGCGTCGTATGGGAGATTTGAAGTGTTTACCTAAAGTCGCTCAGATCTTCGAGGTTGAAAAAAGTGGCTAGCCCAAGTTCGAAATCGCCAAAGAATTATAACAATCCAGCATCGGCTGTTCGACATTGCCCAACATTTTTCAGAACAAGCAAGGAATATCGGACAGGTTCAAGAAGTTTTTCACGCAGTGGAAAGCGTGCCCACTACCCGAAGATGAAAGATCGCCAACTGCTTCGCGCGCGTCGTATTTTCTCTCGCGAGTGTGCTTGCCGAGCCTGCACACGATTTCCATAGCTGCGACAACCTCTACAAAACTGTGTGAAAACATGTTGGCAAAGCCACTGAGGATAACTTTGATTCGTTTGCGATTGTTGATGCGGACGTTCCCGATGTTGCTCCTGCCAAGGATGCTCTGATCGTAAACCTTGCGTGCGGCCAGGGTAAACACGAAGCGACATCGGAGAGGCACCTCGAGAAATGCCGACGAATGCAAAAACGCAAAACATCCTACGACTGCTTTGAAAAAAAGTGAAGTGCAGCGGCGGTGACAGTGTTCTTGCAATGCCTGGAGCAGTTCGAGAACTGATGCCCGGATGAAATTATAATTATCGGCAAACTCAGCTTAATTATTTCTTTTTAATCGGTCGTACCGCGAGATGTTCATAACCAAGGTTTGTTTGATTAAATATACGGTCAAAGTTTTCTGCAGTGTTCCCTTCCATCTTGAAGTCTGCAGGCACTGTTTTTTGGCTCTATCGCTTTTATTGAATTACCGCTAATATCGAATTTTGTTGCCGTCCCGTTGACTTCGTTATAACGAGGGATTACTGTATGCCCAATTTCGTGATGATTTGCGGCGACCTACCTCTATCAATAATGCCCAACCCTGTGAAGATTTGTGATGAGTTATCTCAATCAAATACACCCAACTCTAGATTTGTAATGAGCTGACTCAACAAAAATACACACGACCCCATTAAGACTTGTGACGGGTTACCTCCGACCCAATACACCACATTTCGTGAAGATTTGTGATGAGTTATCTCAAACAAATATGCCCGACCCCATGAAGATCTGGGATGACTTACCTCAACGAAATACATTCAACCTTGAGACGATTTGTGACGAGTTACCCCCATGAAAGGAGCAAAAGGATTTGTATTTTAAAAGTTCTGTTCATGTCCTCTTTAGCTTATTTCTGGTAATTCACTATTTCCCCAAAGAGACAAAGCTAATTTGTCCCTCAATGAAACAAGAAAAAGTTTTGTCTACTCCTGCCATGTTCTGCTAATTCACGATTTTAAAGGAGCTGTGCAACAATTTCAGTGCTCTGCTTAAATAATTTGGGAGTTGGTATCTCGACCTTTCAGAACCAAAGAGCAAAAAACCGCTTTTGCCTGCATGTCCTAATTTTTATTTTAAAAATAAACAAAACTTGAGGTTTCCGGCACCTCTCAACTCCTTCACCGTCTTCCGAGTTATGTGCGCTGTGACTGGAATGGGGGATGCGCATTGCTCTGGTGAAGCTCTCTCTCTTTAAAGCCATCAGTGAGCAGCGAAAACTCACCCGCTCGTGACCACGTGCTTGTGCAGCGCGATCAACATGCCAAAAGGAGGAAAGTCTTGCTCAGGTCCGGCCATCCCCGTCCGGTTCTGCCCCCGTCCCCCTCCGGCTTCTCGCGGCTCTTCGTGGTAGCAGATAGAGCTGACGGTTTTGTTGAACCCGGATAGATGACGCCACTAAAACTCCGTATAATAAAAGTTTCGTCGATGATACCAGGTTTTTGACACATTTATATTTATGTTGGAATGACAAGATTTATAAAAGTTACTTTTATCGTGCAGGTATTTGCACAACTTGCTATCTATTTACAAGTCCCGTATTGACGTGATGCCACATGGTTCTCATGGCTGCCGCTCAAGAAATATTCTAACTTCTACCTCGCGATTACGCGGCGGAATCGCAACATTTTGAAGGAAGGAGATGTGCTTTCTGTTCTTTGTGACAAGATAAACAATGTCAAAAATAGAAGATGCAAATTCTTTCAACGTTAAAATCGTTGGACAACTCCTTTAAAAGGGGGTGCAATGATTTTAAAATTAAAAGAATTTGCATCTAGTCATTTTATGTTGTTTATTGTGTCTCGGAGGATAGAGAAAACATACCCTTCATTAAAAAAAATGCCACAGTTCCGCTGCATAATCGCAAAGCAAAAGTCTAGCTTTTTCCCCTACCTGCAGCCGCGAGTGGCAGCCGAAGGAATTACGGCGAAAAGATTACGTGACCTCGCTCGGCTCTAAGCTGCAGAATAACGCCCTCTAATCTGAGCAGAGAAAGGGAGAGGAAGCGTCCTCCGGATAGCACACAAGAACCTACACGGCACCCCGAATCACGTCACTAGGAGTGCGACCAGGAGTAACCTTGAAGACTGGCAGTGAGTTAAGGGGTGCCAGAAATGCCAATATTTATCTTTTTTTTTTTTTTTTACACAACAACTAGGACACGCAGGCAAAATTGGTTCTCTGTTCTTTACTTAAGAAGTGTCAGAGGGCAACTTCCACAAACTTTTGGCCGAAGTCCGGAAATTGAGCGCCCAAGAGAAGAACAAAGGAGATGCAAAAATTGTTTGCCGGCTATTTGCAGCTGCATAGTGTAAGTGTCAATTAATTTTTACTTGTTCCTTGCATAAAGATTGAGACAACAAAAAGAACCTTGTTTATTCAGTTTTCAGGTAAGTTGTCAAAGGATTAGCATTATTGCTGTTCAAACTAATATTGCCTACATCGTAGCACATATCGCCTGATCCAGGTAAAACAATTTATAGTGGTTTGCCTGTTCCTTAATATTTCTTAAAATGAGCAGAAAACAAGAGTGAGCCATCTTTCGCGGTATTACAGTACAGTGCCATCCACTTATACCGATACCACATATGACAATCAGTTTCTAGTTTCTAGACTAGAAACAATCAGTTTCTGGTCAAAGATACGATAATCGGTTAAAACGATTGCATTTTCGGGTCTTCTCATTATTGTTATAAGTGGGTCGCACTGTAGTTCATTTCGGCACAGAACCTTTCAGTGTTCATTTCTATTTCTTGCTAAAGTTGAGGTTTGGGCGAGTTGGTGCAACATTATTCGGGATTAAAAACAGCACAAAAGACGAAGGACCAGACGAAGCAACATGCCGCGCTGCATCTGTGTTACTTCTTCGTCTGGCCCTTCGTCTTTTGCACTGTTTTTAATTCCAAATCTATTTCTTGCTTTTATATACTAATGTCCTCGCACATCTTCTGTAATGCTAGTATGAGCTCACAATAAACAATGACGATGATAAGCAAACGCCTCAATTTCCTTTTGAGCACTACTTATTATCCATTACGACGTCACACCAACTAGTCCGACTTCCTGCCCTTTTGAACTAATGCTTATACCCGTTGCCAAAAACAAGTATTATTCGACCCATTTCTGGTGAAGATGTGGAAGATGAATGAGTGTACTCAAGTGTGCTGTGCTTGCTTGTAATTGCTTACGTAGGTGGCCCTGTAGCACCATTCCATCCGCACATAACCTGGCTAAAGGTTTTGAAGTATGTGAGATAAGTCTATGCACTGCCTGTGAGAAATTATCGCTTATAACATTGTCCAAACAATCTCACGCCCGTAGTAAAAGAATGACTCGTGAAAATGACAAAAATATGCAGGGTGTTTTTTTTTATCGAGTACAGATTTGTGTAAAAAAACAATTTGTGAAAGCTACACAAATGTGGTCTGTGCAAGTGAGTCATACGACCAGGCGGACATTATGTTCAAGAGAAAATGCAACTAAAATTTATTAATTAGTGAAAGTTCACAAATTACTCTCTTGATTAGATGTCTTAGGGCACATGTTTATATTGAAGAAATGGAGGCAATCAATGTTGAAGGCCAACCCAGTTTTTTAAAAAAATCCTCGAACGAGCATGCAGTTGAAGTGCTCGTTCGAGGATTTTGTTTCGGAAATCGGTCGTTACTGAAACCAAATGCAAAATGCCTGCCAGAAGGACAATCCTCGATTGATGCTAGAGGGTCACGTGCAAATGACGGAATTTGCGTCGCAATGCGCCGGGGCCGATTGCAGTCGGCGTTCCGCAGCTGGCGAACTAGAGCAATAAGCCACCTTATCGGCCAAGACAAGTTGCTTTGCTTTGCTGTGCAACATCACTGAAATACACGTGATTGGTCATATTTTAGCTGCATTCTCTCTTAATAATGTCTGCTTGGCCGTGTAACTCACTTGCACAGACCCCATTTGTGCGGCTTTCATGGCTTAATTTAGAAAAATATGTATTCGAAAAAAAAAAGAGAAAACACCCTGTGTACGTAGGTCGAACGTGTTCCAGGGTTCCCCGACAGCGGGCGCCAGCATAGAGTATGTTCCCCCGTCATAACTGACAACAAGCGAGCACAGCGTGCTTGAGAACACTCAAATACAAATGTGTGAAACAGCCTTAAAAGGGCACTGACACGCCAAAATCATGTTGTTTTTTCAATTGTCCGAAACGATTGAAAACGATGCCTGGATATTACCCTCAAAATTCGAAACTTTGAAATTCAGTATTTGTGAAGTAAAAAACAATTTCCCAATGCCGAATTTAAAGTTCCCCCGTTATCCACGCCAGTGCAGTGACGTCAGATATTGAGCGGCTTTGTGAGTCGACTTTCTTTCACGCCTCCGCTCCAAATGTGTGTGTGTGTGTAAGAGGTGTTGGTGTAAGCGTTGTCCACCGTTTACGCTGCGACCCGAAGCGAGGAGGTGAGGAGCGGAAAAGAAGGGCGCCGGCGTACCGCGAAAAACCGGTTTCTTCTGTGCTTGCCGTGCCGCCTGCCTATCGCTGCGAGCAGACGACGCTTGACACCTCGCCGCTTCTCCGTGAAAGGCTGCCTCGGCGGAGTCACAACCAAAACTATGATACACAGACACCAAACCCGTTGTTTTGACCGTTTGACGATTTCCTTTTCGAAGTCTCAGAGGTCGTCGGGCACCTAAAAAAGACCATTTCGTCCGATTCCCCGATCAGCCATGTTTTCCAAGGGAGGATAAAAATCCAGGAGGTGACATCACAACAAACTCCGATTTTCGGAATTTAAAAAAAAAGAAAAGGGCCGTAGTGTGTTTGCTATTGCGTTAAAAAACATGTTTAACGATAGCCGTTATTAAACGCTATAGAAATGTCGCCTACAAAGCTTCTAAATTTCGTAATATTTGACGTCACAAATCAAACGAAGCGAGGAGGTGAGAAGCGGGAGAGAAGGGCGGCAAAAATAAACGCCAACGCATAGGAAAAATTTTTTTTTTTTTGCAATGTGGTATTTTTTGCATGTTTATGACTACAACTTGCATCGTTTTAGACAATAAAAAAAATACGACCTTTCGGGTGACAGAGCCCATTTAAGTCATCACCCTCTGTTTGTCACTTTCTGTGTCTCCCTGTTGTGTCCTCGTCCTCTTGTGCTGTTGCTTAGTATCACGAGTCGGCCAATTTGCGTATAAGCCGTTGCCATACCAAAAATAGCCGGATACCAAAACTTACCGAGTTGGCTGGCAACGCCGTTGAGCCAACCGAAGCCTGCTATGATGGCCGACGCATTCACCGCATCGTTAACCTCTTCTGCAGTCTTGAACGGACTTTTGTCGTTGATGAGGCTGGCTCGCTGATGAAAGCTGACCAGTGGGAAACTGCATCCATGCAGGGGCCAGGTACCTACAAGCAGGATGACTCAGCAAATGAGCCCCATGATGAAACCCTCTGGATGTTCGTGTAGTGCATGGGTGATTGCACAATGCCGCGTTTTACGCATCGGGCAAGAACACACCTGTGACTGATCAGCTAATTGCAACAATTCTGCACTTACCAGGCAGACTGGTCAGGATTTTGTTCTTGTGTACCCATCCGAAATTGCAAGGATGGAAAGGAAAGTCGGTCACTTCTCTCGATTGCACCAACGGGTCGTCCATGTCAACAACCTGCAACAAACCACCACTTAACTAAAAAAAAATGTATGGCTAATAATCCACAACACTTTGACCGCTGGTGGTCAAAGTTTGCATGACTTCACCACTCCACATGACGCAACAAACATTGCACCAATTAGTGCATGGACGAAGTGACACGCCATGTATGCTACGAAGACGCATTCGCCACACTCACATTTTATGAATGAAATTTGTTCAAAGTAGTAATAACCTTTTAATGAACTACTCATTGCAGCTATGAAGTGAGCATGGCGGGGCGAACGGTCACTCCGTAAATTTGGAACTTACCTGGCAAAAATAAGCTACAACTCACGAACACTACTTCATGACTTGTATTAATGCACCTGACGGGAGCACGTAACATTCACGCGAACAAGCACAGTGAAGGCATTTGGGAAGAAATGCAAAGTAAAGGCTCTTCTCACTACCACCGGCCAGCATCTACAGTCGAGCCACGACTGCACTTGCCCTCAAAGCAATACTCATTATTACACCAGCCGGATGTCATGAGTGGTGCTCCAGGGCTACCTACGTAAGTGATTGCAAGTGAGCACAACACACTTGAGTTTGAGTACACTAGGACCGCAATCTGTGAGCCAGCCTCTACAACTTCCACATCTTCAAAAGAAATTGCTCGAATAATATTCAGAGTGATTGGCAAGCATATCTCCGTGCCCTCAAGGTTCAAACAAATTGTGTGACTCACGGGAGGCAGCGGTTCCACCACCCTGATCTGTGCATCGGGCTTGCCTTGGTACTGGAATGGTATCGTCACAAACTCCTTGCCCTTGTTCCGCCCCCTCATGTCCGGGTAGTAACGGCCGTGCCACCAGAAGGAGTCGCAGCGTGGCGACAGGTCCACCTGCAACCAGATCGACGCCGCAAAACAGCTCGTGGCGCTCGTCCGCTTCAACCTGGGGGACGGACATTTCACCAGGTGGCGCTACATTGAGCCCCGGGACACGAGAGAACAAAAAACAAACCTTAACGACGAAACCCGAGGCTCGTAAAACTAAAATAAAAGTAGAGTGATCTTCATTAGGAGTGGAGATGAAGGCGCAAAATATGACCATGCCTCGGGTTGTCGTCTGCTTACAAAGTTCCGAGTGTTGCGTGTGACGGTTAGCGCTTCGGTAGACGTAGAGTAACATGCTCAATCAAATTTTATGAGTTGCCTTTACTTTTGTATGGAAAGGTTGCAGACAAGAGGATATCTTCCAGGGACATATTAAAGTCGGTTATGTCCAACCTTAATGCCGACCAGCTTGACGGAGCCACATCTGTGCTAAAGAGTGGCATGCACTAGTGGTTTATTTTGCGCACAGGTCAGCGTAGAGACGGGTCGATATCAAGAATGTAAAAGTGACTGTGTCTACTTCATTCGTCAATTTTCCCTCCATTGAAATACCTGGAGGGCCATCTAGTGGCTGAAATATCAGTCCAAATTGTATGCTCATGGCGGATAAAATCTGATACCTATTCATCAACGGTAGACATACGGAAATTGGATGCTCAGGCTCTGCATCGGTTTCTGTCTTCAAATTCTTCCTTCACCAGCCATCAAAAGGGCGCCAATCGCATGTACAGTGGCCCAAGTTTTTAATAATATCAAGCGAGCGTCGACCGCCGGGATGTGACGACACGGGAGTGATTAGGCGCGTGCGCAGAAAGCTCTTTCCTTTGCGAGCGTCGTCTTCTAGGCTATTCCGTTGCTTGCACTCAGCCCCTGTTCATTATCTGCTGGCAGAGCTAGCTGCCTTTAAGCAAAGATCTGAACAGCACTTGCTTGCCTAATACAGCTCAGGCATGGCATAAACTGCATGTCATCTCAAGTTTAATTTAGTTTCTTTTTTTTTTTTTTCTTCTTTTATGTTTGCGTTTACCTTGTGAGCACCAACAAAAAGGAAAAATACGGTGAAGTGACAAACTGAATGCAACGATGCATTAAACTATACACTGTGTAGCCAATTCTAGGAGCCATCAAAACGAATCCAGTGCTTTCACCCTGCCACGTGCACTTGTACCCAACTGGAAGCCCACGTGACACACTTTGAGCGATGGACTGGCCAAGATGGCTTGTAGCGTCGGCTGCAGTAGAACACAAAGTAAAACGGAGTATAGACAGGGTTTTTGGTATTTTGTATTATCAAATGTGTTGTTGCTGTCGTCATCTAGCCTACGTAGCCGGGCAGTCACACTCCTCGTCAAGTGCCCATAGAAACACGGGCACGTGTTGTGAGAATGTCGATGGGCGGCAAGATGCAAAGGGATACAGCTATAACAGTCGGGGTTACACAGACTACCGTCAATAGGATTGTGAACGCCCTTCAAGAGGGGCGTATCGGCGATGCACTTTGACATTGCAAGCGCCCTGCCCTCCTTTGCTACGGAGAAGGGGCTGTGCGCAGTCAACGGAATAGCCTAGCAGACGATGCTCCCACCAGACTTTGGCTGGCTTTGTGCGCACGCGCTTAATCTCTCCCGTATCGCCGCAAGACTCCGCGGCACGGGGCTGGCCGCCCCTGCGGTCGACGCTTGCTTGATATTATTAAAAAATTGGGACACTGTACAGATGATGCACACTTAGGTGATGATAGCAATCGAAGTGGCCAGTTCGCTTCCGTGATCTTTTAAAGCTACATGTAAGAGTCCAACCTAGGTGCCCAGAACATGACGGCGCAAAACTGACAAGGCTGCAAATCCTGCGTCAGTTTTATGTTGTTTATTGTCATCGCACGAAGTTGTACCAAAACACCAATCATTGTTGTTGCTATAATAACAGCGGCACGATCATTTCGACGGGAGTCAATGGAATGTTTACGCAGAAAAGAATCATTTACCTGTGAGGTTTCGAGGTGGGGAACTTCATTGCCGAGTCCCTTGAACAGGACGGAAAGAACCTGGGTGATGATGCAGTTCTGTCTGATGGCCTCGCCGTCCTTGTGCTCGGGCAGCCAAGATGTCCTGTCTATTTCCAATTCGGAAGTTATAGCTTCGACAAGGTACGGCTTAATTCGAGCGTAAGCGTCGTCAACGTCCAGTTTTGCGAAGCGCTCTGGCAGCCCGTCGATCAAGTGCGTCCTTGTAGCGTACTGGAAAGCGGGCAGGCTGTTGTAGTACGTGGAGTTTGGTGTCGCGATGTACGTGAAGAATTGCCTCCCCTTTTCGACCATGTCCCGGTATTCCTGCTCCACCTCCGGCTTGGCGACGAAGGCGATCTCGTTGAGTTTCTGGTCAACGGTCGGAAGATTTCGGATGTGGTCGTACCACTGACGGCGTCTCCGCAGTTTGGTGCCTTCGTAAGTTGTGTCGTGGATCGGGGGGTATTGGGGCACATCTGTGTACTCGTACTCAGCTTCTAGGTCCGCGTTGATTCTCTTGGTGTGGTACTGAGCGCCCAGGAACTTTGTAACGGCGCCGACCCGTTTCGGCACTAGTATTTTGGCGGCCATCTTCGACGAAGCACATGGATGATCAGGGTTGTTGCGTTGTTGCTATCGTCCGCTAATTTTAAGCGACTATCTAGTCGCTTATAATATAAAGGAATCAAACTTAACTTTGATATGCCCACAAAAAGATGATGATTTGTGGTTTTAGACTACTCATTTTCTTCTTACGTAATAAAACATTTCAAACTAACCTCCTTGGGTCACAAGGTTACAAGACCTCGGTCTTTTTTGTGTTTTATATTTTTATATGACCGGTATTTGTTCTTCATGTCGTGGTCTCGTGGTCGTGGTCGTTGTGTCAGTTGTGCTTTGTCTGCCTTGATATGTGAGCGCCAAAACAGCTAGAAACCGCCAAACGTGCAAACGAAAGTGACGGCGAAGTGATCGATTGGCGGGAAGTGTCGGGACATGTGCGCCCTGTTTCCTATGGTTTTCAAACGCCGACAAAGCGCGGTAAATTTCACGTCATCAGTCGGCGTACGGTCATGATATCATGATATGACTACACCAACTTCACTGCGATGAATGCGTAACAGCCGCTGGCAGTTCCGAAATCAAACATAAGATGTTACAACCTGCGTGTCAAACAGCTTGCTAGAGAGATCTGGCGAATACGTCATTTGGTAAGATAATATTAGAAAACGTCCTTGATCGGTGGTGCCTGGGACTGGCTTGTTAGGAAAGTAATGTCTTTGTGTGGAGAACTACACATTGCTAGGTGAATAACTGGGTAAACGTCTTGCCTTTCTTTCAAGATTGTCGGAGACAGTAGGCAAAAAGATGGCACTGAGGCACGCAGCTTCCCTGACGGCGCTGACAGCCCTCAGCCAGATCGATGGAACTTCCAACCCGGCCGCAGTGCCTCACGAAGAACTGACGCTTCGCTACAGACACTTGCTTGACAACATCCTCACCTCTCTGCTGAAGGATTCGGAAACGGGTAAGCCCCAATAGTCCTCATCAAAAAGTCCCGATGTCACAGAGGATGTCTGTAAGGCCGCCTGGCAGTGATTTATACATCCCCCTCCAACCCCCCCCCTCCCCCCCAACCTCCCCTTCAGGGTGAGCCCGACATCCCTCCAGAATTTTCTGCGCAAAGCACATACAGGGCTACATCCCCCCTCCCCTCACCCCCTCTACGCCCCCCCCCCCCCCCCCCCCCCCTCCTCCCAAGTTGAAACTTCTGGATAAACCTCTGCCGTCTGGATCGTCTTGGTTTTCATTCCATTCTGGGGGCATCACTTGGTGGCTTCGAAACGAAAAATTCTGAGGACACCTAAGCACTTCTTATGAGTTGTGAATGTGAAAGCATCAATGTTGTTCTTCCGCTCCCTTAGGTCGTCTGCAGTGTACTAGTGCCACGTTTCACTAATGCCGGGGTTGCGGCCAACGGCCGAGCGCACGCTCTTGTAAAGTAGCCACGTAGCCACTCCGGAGCCTGCCTGTGCGGGCTCTGCTGGCTCAGCGGCCAGCCGCTCCCTCTTACCGGCGGCCAGGCTGCTGCGCCGCCATGGAGAGGGCTTCTCTGGTGGCATTCCTTGGAACTACGTCGTGCAAGAGCCAGTGTGTGTGTACGTGCATGCGTGCGTGCACTTTGCCTTAGAATGGCACAGGGTTGTTAGCCGTTTTTGTATGTGTATCTTTCTATTTTGAGTGTTTGTATTTATTCTCCTCTCCCGTATCCCGCTCCCCACTTGGCGGCGGGCTAGCAGGCGCACCTGCGTAAGGGTCTCAACTTTTCTGCCTAGCCTTGCACACTGCCGAGTGGGTATCACAATCTGTGCAAATAAAAATTATTATTATTATTACTTAGGTGCCGTTTGGTGTAGCTTCGAAAGCTGAAAACGCCAATTCGCTCCATGGGACAATTAATGCTTTCGCATTAAAATGAGCAGGTGCAAAGTGAGGGCATTGTTCTTCTGTCCGGAACGACCAGCTCCTGTGATATTTGACACGTGATGTGTATAGCTCTACTTTCATATATCATTTGGCTTTTTCATCATTGTTCGTGAACCCTAAAGAGGAAATCATTGAAAATATGTGGGTAAATGGAATCCCAAAGAAAAAGCTCATTGGAGAAAAGCTCACCGCAAAACCAGCAGATACGCAGGAAAGCTCATAGGCCATTGAGCAGATGCGGAGAAAAGCTCACCGATTTTTTTTTCTTCTTTTCATATGGAGGCTGTTGGATCATGTGTAACATACTTCAATTTACTATCATTAAAATTAATCAATTTTGTAAAAAAGAACCTTTTTTGTAATATTTGTTAAGCTTATTGGGTATATTTCTCTCAAAATCTTATTTGCGGGCGAGAGTTTTCTCTGGTTTACTCTCTAGGCAACGAAAGCCTAAGTTAAAAAATTATTAACTTGAAAAACAGGAAAAAGTTAATGCCAGCCTAAAACTTGAAAAGCAAAACGGTAAATGCTGAAAATCTGAAAGTGCATGCACAACGTGGTGCCTGAAATTCTCTTTGAAGCTTTTGTTGACCTTTGAAAACAGGATAGAATGATTAGTAGTATATCGAGGTTTCTTTCTTCCACAGGCAAGCACGTTTTCTAGCCGTTCGTGCTGGTGTTTCCACACGTTGCCTTTGTATCATAGTACCCTTCTACGGCGAACCACCTATGACCTTCACAGCTGCACACTGTCACCGCTGTTACTCGTGACCTATAGACCAACACACGGCTCTGACGTCGCACAGCTGCGGTGGCGCTGTCGATGGCGCTGCACATGCGCTGACGCTTCACTTCACGCGAATTAGGTTTCTGTGCACGTGCAGTGCCCACACCTGGTGTGGGCAAACACAGGCTTGTTTGTAAACAGCGTGTCGGTTTATATGAGAACTACTCTTCTGCAAGGTAGTGAATTGGGTGAGTTGGTAAACGTTATACATGATGATACAGCTCGAACGACGAAGAGGGAGTGAAGACAACAAACACGACAAGACAAAGCTGTTCTTGTAACTAAAGTTTTATCAGTGAAAAAAAGCAAAGAAAAAAACAAGCCAACAAACACCTACTCATCTATCAGGCACCACATAGTCTTCAGAGCTGAAACGGTTCACACACCGCTAGTCATATTAGCTTGCAAAAAACAAACCTCTTTATCTGACACAGCTACCACTGGCGCACTGTCAAGCTGTCAAAAAATTGTCTTTTCTACGGGTGTCCCATGCTCTGATTTTATACTTGCGGCATTATTAATTGGCAGAAGGGTGATCGCTAATTTCTGAGGAATTTATAAATATGCCCAATAAACTTCAACAATATTACAAAACGGGACAATTATTTTAGCAAACAATTATCCGCTAAGCAAAAAAAAAAATTCTATGAGCTTTTTTTGCATTCGCTCAAGGGCCGGTGAGCTTCTCTCCGCATCTGCCGGTTTCGGGGTGAGCTTTTCTCCGGTGAGCTTTTCTCTGTTGCCCAGGAGAATGAGCCATACTGATAGAACGGAATGCCTAAGTGTTACAAAGCCTCCGAAAGACAAAATCTTTGGCAATGCTAGAGTTCAAACTCTTTGCTGGTTAGGTATGCTAACCACGCTGACCTTCGGCATTTCCCGTCTACCTTATGAATGCACCGAAACGAGATGTGTCCAGTCGGGTGTTCTAGATGACACGTCGCTGAGTGGAATGCTGTACGACACTTATTGGCACGCAGTACGGCCTCGTTCTGCTCAAGCAGTCCCCTCACTGTTTGTCCCACCACGTGTACATGTATGCATTCTTGTTTATAAGCTTTAACAAAGCAGTACCATCATCTGCGTCATTTCAAAGCCACATTAAATATATCGCGAAGCAGTTTCACCGCCGCATACGGTCTCTGAAGAGGAAATAATAAAAAAAATATGTAAGTGAATCACCATGCTGATCAAATTAAGTAATTGTTATGAATTAGTAGTTCTGAGAGGCTGGAGAAGCTAGTCTGCCTTAAGATAGCATCTGGAGTCTGCGTTGTACACGGGCAGTTTAACCAGTTCAGTTCGATTGCTAGCCTTGGGTGTTCACTGCACGAAGTGCAGTAGGGACTGCTCGCTGGTATGACGTTTGTCCAGGGTGCAGTTTTATCTTGTGGAACAGATAGATTAACAATTCTTGAGTGGGAGCTTGTAGGATGCTTAAATTAACAATTCTTTGGTGGGAGATTGTTCTGTTGCAAAAAAGGAGTAACTTGAGGGCATTTTAAGTTGATTGCCTTTGTTCCTTCGGCAGCTCTTGCAGATGCAGCACAGAGCGCCTCGGTGCTGGAGCGCCTGCTGGAGTGCGTCCAGCACTGTGTCCAAGCACTGCCGTTCCTTTTTCTGCCTCAGGAAGCAGACGGACAGGACGCTGGAAAACAGGATGCGTTACGTATGGGATACATCGAATGCATTATTCAGTATCATTCGCCGCTTTATTTGCCGACAGAAATGCCCGACCGCCATTGCATGCTCTTTCCCTGCCTACATGCTTTGGCTGTACGTGCATGCTCGGAGTCCACGAGACTGCAGAATGTTGTCGATGGTTAATTGAAAGCTTGCGTCGGAGGCGGGGTAACCGAAAGGCTTTTCTGCTGTTTTGATTTCACCTGGTCGAGATAGATTGCCTTCTCAGTTGATAGGTTGCTCGGTCGCCACTGAAACGCGAGGACGTCACTTCAGAGGTTGTCGCGTTTTGGTAGTGACAGGAAGACCTGGAACTACCAAGAGTTGTCAGATACCCACTGCAGTGCAGTCTGCATACCGCACAGCAAACCCGTGTGTTGCAAAATAATTTTTTTTTTTTTGCACAGGTTAGCTTTTATATTTGGTAAGCCTTACTTAAAATTTGTGTGTTTTGTCCCTATCTAAAGCGGAGGTGTAGTAAATAATTAAGCATATTTTATCTGTTGCAACTAGTTACAATTTCATTGACTCGATACTTTCCCGAGTTCCCAAGAAATTTTTCAACTGTTAAGTTAGTTGAATTTTTGGGGTAACCTATGATTTAGCTCAATTACTGTTAGTCTTCAGGATATAGGTTATGTTGAGAAATTCACCAGTCCACATTGATGCCAGTGTCGACATCAACACTTGGTGTTGTTACTGCCATGAGTGAAGTGCTAAATCGAGACCTAACTGGGCCTATATCTTTTCCGTGTTGGAAACTAAACTGTTTATTGGCTTTTGTAAGTAACTGTTGCGAAATACCTCTAAAAAATATGTAATTGTACTTGTAACCTAGTTCTATTTTAGCAAAAGCAACTTTTAATTACTTTTAAGAGTAACTTTTACAGTTCTGGTGTATTGTAATTCTTATTATAACAGCTTGCTGTGTGAATGAATGCTACAAGTTGGTTGTAACTGCATTTTAAGAAAGCTCTAATTAGGGTAAAGAAACTCTGCGAGTGTTCACTTTCTGGTATCTTATCATAATACCCCAGAAACAGACCAGCCTGATTTTTCTCTTTTTGAAATAGCATGGAAAGATGGCGCAGCCCTGGAAATCACATTAAGTGGGTTGAAACGATTTGTGCAGTGAGTTAGGGTACATGGTTTTTGAAGATGTCACTTACTTTCAACAGTGGAGGGCTTGGTGCATTTCAGGTTTCAGTGAGAGCCTCGTGGGCCGACTGTTGGCACTACTCAGCATCCCTGGATTGGCTCCCCTGTGTGGGCAGTTTTGCCAGGTGCTGGAGTCGTTGCTGCGCCTCTACAAGCGCCACAAGGTTGTTCTCCTACGACAGTTCTTGGACAGCCTCCTGGAGCTTTTTGTTGGTGAGAGCACGCACACTTTTGCTTCGGTGCCACTTTGGCATTGGCCGCTTTTTCGCTGTGGCCTTGAAAATTTTTGGTACAAGCTCAATTATTGAAGCTTCAGCTAGGGTGGATAAGCTTTTGCTGTCGTTTTGTAGCTCTACAACACTTCGTTATGGGGGTGGTACGTAGGGTCCTAATTGATACGGGTGAATGGCATTGAATAATTTTTATCTTTAGTGTGAAAAAGTGGGTTAAAGCAATGCGGAAAGGGTCTAGGTGGTCATGTCCTAAAAGGGCCCATATCGCTGGCCGACGCATTAATATACGCCAGAAAGCAGGAAAACACCAGCTTTAAGGTCTGCACCTAGCCAGGAGTGGAACGGTTGCGCTATTTTGCGCCAGACGCATTTGTCTGCGCCATCCTGTGCCATATTGCGGAAACTGTGCCACAGCCAATACCATGTGCCATTATGCACCAAATTGCTAAACGTGCGCAAAAAAAAAAAATATATTTTATCTTGGTTTCGGTTTCTATCGACTCGATTGGCAACAATGAGCGCGTTTAGGTTGGTCGACCTTGCAATCCTTTGTTCTGTTTATTCTCCCTGTGTATCCCGAGTTGGGAGCGCGCGAAGAAACTTGGGGGTCGGATTCCAAGCGCTACACCACCTGCGACTGGATTGTTATTCTTCGACCATGAGCGGTTAAGCAAGTCAGCTGAGGTGAGGTCGAGTCGTTAAAGGGATGCTGAACCGAAATTCTGATTTCGCAAAAAAAGCTTGCACAAGTGTTCAACAGGGCGCCATAAACCATGAAACGTCACTCATATAGCCATATATTGAGCGGATGGCCAGGTTTCTGGAAAATAAAGGAGCGAATGAGGGAAAATATTGACGTCATCTTATCGCAGAAGAGTTGAGAATGAGGAGAAATGGCTTTGCTCCCTTTCCTCTCCGCGCCCTCGCGGAGTCAAAGCGAAAAGAAGAGGAAATGAGAATCGCGAGGTCACGCATATTTTCGGCCTTGTGCGACCGCGCTCTTTTTTTACAAAAAAACGATGAACCGTTAGAGATACCGCTTTATGAGTGACGTTATGGGATTTCTAGCGTCCCGCCTATCGATTCTGCATTGTTTTCTGAAATTCGATTTTCGGTTCAGCATCTCTTTAAGCGTCAGAGTCAGATTGCCTGAGGCTCTGCGGCCCGGGATTCGGACGTCAACAAATTGAAAACAAATGAGCAAAAGATTCCTTTTAGTACCTCATCGTTAGAAGTTGGAACCGCATTCCCGCAAGATAAATTGTAATTTGATAGAGCTGAACCGCGGTTCGGTCTGAAACCTTGCCGGCACTAGCAGCTCTTGCGAATGGTATATCTGCTCGGCGTACTTTTACCTTGCTCCTGCTTATCGCTTCGAATGCGATAACTCCGTTAATCGTAGTCTGCTGCTTCGATATTGAGTTGCGCAATAGTATGAACTCTTAAATTTGTTGCTCTGTTCCTCTGCGCAACTGCTCGTCCGTTGCTTACGCACGTCATGTGGTTCGCACATATAATTACTGTGTCGAGCACGTGTGGGTTGTACGATAAGCAGTGCTGGTTTGCATTTGGAGCAGCTGAAACCCACTCAGAAATTATCAAGGACACTATCTTCAGAAACATGGTACTTGCCTTTTGGTTCTTATTAAGGCCAGCAAAGTTTCAAGTTTTTGCATCTGTTAAACTGTTATCCCAATTACCTAGGTTCCTAACCACCCATGTTCGTCTGTGCTCTAAGCACAATTGAAATTGCCCCACGCTTGTCTAAGACACAAGCTGGAGGGCAATGACTGCTGATCTGAACCCCTCCTAGCCTGCTCCAGAATGTAGTTTTAGCTGCTCCCAACATGCTCCAAAACAGCTGTTTCAGCTGCTCCCGTGGCTGCTCCCAAGTACATTTCATGAGTTCCACCCCTGCTAGTTTTTTTTTTCTAGCTCGTTTTGCAGAGAAACAGCGGCATTATGCATCATACAAAAATAAATGCAGTCAACAAGTACTCAAAACAACTTCAACTCATCACGGCAAATAATCACGCCTAACCTATCATCTGCTTTCATTCTCTGCATATCTATTGTTCTCTTGATTCTTTTTCTCGAGACCACTGATGTCAGTGTTTATGATATGCCGCGTTCTGTTCCTGTCTTTATGGGTTGTGTCTAGCTTATCCTGGCTATTACGGTAAACCAGTCAGAGCAGTGATTGTTAATTCCCCATCCACAGATGTTTGCCAGTTCTGTGCGAGCGACACTGGCAATGCTGCCGTCACGAGCCAGTTTGGAGTGACGCTTTCGAGCGCTCCCGGTCCTCCAGTCTCTTCGGAAGTGCGGGCAGATGCAGAACCGGCGGGAATGCAGGAAGAGGCGCAAGAAACTGAGCGGGCGGTTCTCCGGATCGCGTTTGTGGACGGAGGATACGCCTTTCGTCTGTCGCTCGTGTGAGCATAGTTCTTTCCTAGGCATGTGGGCCAAAATGTTGTGCTTTTTTTTCTGTGAATTTTGGGGTCTTAAAAAGCCATAGAGCCAGACTTGACCTTCGTTTGCCAGAGTCTGGTTATCTTGGCCCTAGTTCGCCTAACAAATGCAAAAGAGGGCTTCACTGCTGGCAGTTTGGCTGTCACCTAGCGTCTTGGGGCCCGTGTCGCCAACAAGTGCCAGAGTCGGGCTTCGTTTCTGGTGGTTCAGGTTTCATGTGGCATCTACGGGCCTAAATTGCCAAACAAGGGCCCGATTTATTTTTTTTGTTCCTGTTGCTTGATTCCAGGAAAGAGTGTATGCCCAACGAACACCTAAGAACAGGGTGTCAATGAGGACTGTCCTCGCTTAGAGCGAAAAGCAAAGCAACTTCCAGAAAACGGTGTTTTTCGGAAACCAGAAAGTCTCACAACCTGCACTGTGTGCAGCTGTTGATTGCTAATGCCTGGCTGTCAATCATTGTCCAAACAGCAAACTGATGGGTCGGCTGGCCAGTGATCTGGCGACGTTCGGAAGTGGACGCCGGTTCGGGCGAGATCGTCTCACCCGCTGGACCTGCCGCCAAATGCAACTGGGTGACGCGACGTTAACGGAGGTCAGTTCTGCGAATCAAAACCTGCTTGTGTCGAGTAACCCGGTTGGATTGCGGTGCGTGTCAAGGGGCCGGAGCAAGTTATTTCTTTGGGCCCACACAGTCCGACAGCTGTGGCTAAATTTGTGGCTCAAAAAAGCCGATTTTTTTTTTTCTCGTGCCCTCGTATAAAGTAGAACTTTATCAATCCGTTTTTCGAGGGACTGCCGTAAACCGACATCTCGGGAAAAATGTAACACACCAACTTTGGGCCTAATAATTAGTCCGGAGGCAAGTGTTTAAATGCAATTTATTTTACGTGGATTCTCGTGGCTGTGGGGTGCTGCCATATTTATCCGGATAGAGGTCCAAGCTTTAAAAAGCAAGATTTTTGAGCATACCGACCTAACCCAGATGTGCCCCCGTGTCAGCCACTGCTCCTAGCATGCCGACACAACGCAGTGAAGCTCGACGTGCGAGCCGGTGCAAATTGGTCAAGAATGGACCCTTTTCCAGTAACGAGCACCGTCTGCGGAGTTGCCTTCGAACTACAAATGAAGGGCAGCCCAACTTGCCTCCGCCTGTCAGAAGACATTGGCATTGTGCTGTTGTATTAATCTTCGTCGTCTTTTATGACACATACTACTATACTCCGTTCACCCTTAAGCTGAGACTGGAAGCTCCGCCTTCAGCGTGAGCTCACTGGCTTCTGCAGTGCTTTGGTTACACGTGCTTGCGCGTTCACACTTGTGTTAACAAGGGCAGAGTGTTTGCACTGAAGGCGGAGCTTCTAGCCACAGCTTAAGAGTGCACGGAATGGCCGAAAAAGACGAAATATGTGCAAAGATAGGTGCTGAATATGTTGGTCGACTGGAACTTTGCCCTTCAAAAATGGCGACGGCAGGAAGCAAGGTCAGAAGAGGGGGTGCACACACGCGCAGAAGCTTACTGGTGGAAACTGGTTAATTGCTAGACAGCAATTCTGAGCCATTTATTGGAATATTCATTATTGAGTCCACTAACACACTCTTATGTGTAATTGCTAGGGGTGTGTAACCATTCAGAAGCTGATCAAGTAGAACCTGGTGTTCAATTTAAGCTAAGAATGGGTGACTCTTTAACCAAACATACAAATTGAATATCAGAAGTATGAATATTAAAAATTTTGAATACTCATTCAACCCCAGTGATAAAAATGACAGGAGGACACCTGAACTTTGCCTTTAAGAGTGTAATGCGATAGCTAAACATGTAGACCCCCGCTTGTTCTCAAGCCCTGCAAGCGTGTCTGGCTTGCAACCAAAGGGTCATGGGTTTGCATCCAACCTCAGCCTAAAATTCTTTAGGGATTTTTTTGTTGTTTTGTTTAAGGCAAATGAATTACTTTGTAAAATGAAATTATTTGAGACATGCGATGATCTTTAATTTGCATTACATGTCAAGTTTCAATCACTTTCATTTCACGCGTGACTTCACATGAGCGTTGTGGGTTTTTTAAAAATTCCCGTGCAAGGTCATGTGGGTGTGATGTCATGACCCTATCTACCAATCGGGAATTTCCCGTTCCACGCCACCGGCGCCGGCTTTTCTGCGATACGAGCACCTTAAGGCTATCACTTTAAAAATTACAGGGGGATGCTTAAGCTTTACCTTTAAGAGTGGAATGCGATAGCTAAACATAAAAACCCCAGCTCCTTCCCGAGCCGTGAAAGCGTGTCTGCATGGCCTAGTCGGTAGCGTGTCTGGCTCACATCTGAAGGGTTGTGGATCTGAGAGGTTGTGGATCTGAAGGGTTGTGGGTCTGAAGGGTTGTGGGGAAAGAGTGTGGGCACACACTCTTTCCTAGAATCCGGCCTCTGCCTAATATTTTTTGTATTTTTTCTTTAAGGCAAATTAATCACCTGATAAAGTGAAATCATTTAGACATGCGGCGACCTTTAATTCACATTACATGTCATGTTTCAATCACTTTCATTCCACGCGTAATGTCACGCTTTACGTGAGTGTTGTGGGTGTTGTTTAAGATTCCCGCTCGAAATCATGTGGCTGTGACGTTACGATCCTATCGACCAATCAGGAATTCCCCGTCCCACCAACGCCGACGCTGGCTTTTCTACGACATGAGCTCCTTAAAGCTACAGTTAAACCCGTTTTTAACGAGCAGCAGGAAACTCTACGATCAGTTCAATATAGCTAGTAGTTTGATATAGCAAGGACCATTTACAACGAATTTCTGCGATGCGTTTGTTGTAAGGCGAGAGCTTATCTTTCTTTCTCATCTCATCGCTTTTGCCTTGTAACAAGGCGCTAGAAAGTTTTTTTGTTTTTTTGCATGCATGCAGAGTTTTTTTGTTTTTTTAGCTTTTTTTTTAATTCTGAATTGCTTCTCTTCTCTCAATTTTGTTTGCAACTTAAGCTTTTAGAATTTTCTTTCTTTCCTACTTTCTTTTGTTGGTGGGGGCGGAAGAAGGGACAGGCTAGAAGACGACTTTTTGCGGGTTTTTGGAAGCCTTCCCGGGGGAAAAAAGTTCCAATATACCCTTGCGAAAACAAATCAACAAAACAAATAAAGAAAAAAAAAAGTTGTTATAAAAAAGTACTTTTTACATGCTATTTTATTTAAATTTTACGTGAGTTTGATATCGACAATAATTAGCTGTTTGTAAGTTCGTTCTAAACGGGTTTCACTGTATCACTCTAAAAGTACATTGCAAATAAAATGCTGAGCTCTTCTCGATTAATTTTTTAACAATCGCACGCACCTAACAATAAGACGCGAGTTGGTCAATTTTTGGAACAACTCGCGAGTGATGCGGTGAAGCGTTGCAACACTCTTGCGCCATCTGCAGGAGTCCCTGAAAACCCTGCAAGCCTTGCTGGAGCAGTACTGGCCTCTCACAAACAACACTGAGGCTCAAGTCATCCTGTGTCTTGCCCAACTGCTTCAGCGTGCCTCTTGGGACGAAGCCTCGATGTCGTACGTGACGAGTTCGTTTCGTTTTTTGTGAGCATTATTTTAAACCAGGGGTGGCCAAGCTGCTCTTTGCGTAATGAAGTGCGGCTCTCGACTCCCTCCCCTACCACCCTCCCCCTACCCCACCCCCCCCGCCTCCCTCCCGGTCGCACGAGCACTTTCCCTAAAAGAGAAACGGAATGGGTTTTAAATCGAAAGACAGGTTGCGGTTTGGTTTCAACTGACAAGTTCAAACCAAACCGCAACTACTGCTACCTTACGTACACGTGTGCTACTGCTAGCTTACGTACACTTGGACTGTTTTGACTCAGATAGATTGAAAGTAGTTTGAGTTTCGTTTATTGCCCTGTACGAAATCTCTCTCCCCCCCCTGCGGCTCTTGGAAGTTTCATGGTTTTGTTTGCGGCTCTTAAACCTGGTCAACCTGGCCATCCCTGTTTTGGACGGAGAGTGCGCAATCGCTTTTTGCGCGCTGGCTGCACATTGCTACGCTCTCGCACTGTAAATACCGAGCACGCACTCACATCGAAACAAGAGCCCACTCCTCACTTTCAAAGTATAATCGAGGGATGTATCGAGCCCGCATCCCGGCAAACTTGTGAGCCGACCGGGCTGACCGGGATGATCCTCCGTGTCAGTTGCTTCTTGGAGCTCACCGGTGCGAGGCGGTAAAGCTTTACGCGCACGCATGCGAAGCGGTGAAGCTGGGCACTAGAGCGCAGGCGCAAAGCGGGGCTCGGTGAGAGCAGTGGGGGTTCTTTAAAATCGAGGATTTTGGACCCCTATACTCCTACACAGCTCTGTCGGATCAAACAGGGTTTACTTCACCCTTCCACTTTTCTCCTCTCAGACCTGACACGTGCCCATCCCCATCTTCTCATGGCTAATGTCTCCGACCTGTGGGTGGGCACTCGATCAATATTTCACGTTATTTACTAACCGCACCTCAAATGTACAAAATCACTGCTTGCGTTCAGAGCAAGGGTGCACCGTTGTCTGAAACCATTTGTGGTATTAAACGGGCACGACTAATGAAACCAGGCTGTAACAAAATTGGGGGAGTTTGAGAGATTTGCTTTGGGGCATGGAACTTAAGAGCCTAAAAGTCTGGGAGTGAGGAACCTTGCATCAATATTTCTAGGCAAGGCGTTCAAATACTGTAAATGACTTAATTTTCGCGAGGATCTAGTTTCGCGAATCGCCTACAATTGACGAAAAATGGGTCCCCCGAACAGTTCCAGTAAAATGTAAACACATTGAAATCTACATTGAGATCCCACCGCGTCGTGAAAATTAAAACCCGCGAATGGTTCCAAAACTTCAGCTTTGTCCTAAATCGCGAAATACTGAGCCTGCGAAAAATAAGTCGTTTACAGTATATTTTCTTCTTGGACATTTTTTTTTCTTTTTTTTTTTGTGAGTTAGATAGACAGTTGTTGTGTGACAGTTGCAACAAACATTCTGCATATTTTATTGATGCATTTTATGCTTGGTTTGTCAATGCCAGAATGGGCGCACAGATTTGAGTTCGGATTGAATCATATTAAGCTGGATTTTGACAGGCCGTCCCTGCTGGAAGCACTGTCCTCCCTGGTAGGAGCCATGCCAGAGTTTCCTGGCGTCTCTCCCTACGTCACGGAGGAGATTCTCTTGGCTCTTTCTAAGGTGGGTGAAGAGTGTTTGGTCCCTGGCACAACGTTGCCAGTTTCTTTCAATAGGGCACGTGAGAATCCACATTTGTTATGAACAAGACCAGTAGAGGCTGACGACCACGCTCCTTGTTAGAAAGTGTTGGTTCGTCACGTCCAACATGGGTGGGGGGTTGGCATTTGAAATTACATCATGACGGTCAGCCTACGAAAGTGCACATTCGAGGGGAATGGCCACCAATCCCCTCGATTAGTTTCAGGATGCAGGCCTTTGTCTTTTAGGAATGCCGCATTTTCACGAGCAGTCCCGCAAGTTGACAATTTGTTGGAGTGCTGCTGCAATTAATTGTGTCGTTACAACATTGAAAGTAACGTAGAAGAAAGGGCTTTACTGAAAGGGGACAGTTGATTTTAAACATGCCTACTCCTCGAGCTCACGTTTGTAGTTTCTTTATGAAGAACTTACGTCCCGACGAAACTTTCGTTGCATAGGCCATGTGCAGCATGCGGCATCAAGATGGACTGTTGGCTGCGACGGCAAGGTGGTTTGGAAGCCTCTCCAAGAGCTGGAACTCTCATCCTTTGGAGATTGTTCTGGCAGAGTTACAGAACAGCTTGCGGTCCTTGCTCGACTGGAGCGATCCAAACATTGTGGGTACCTTTGATCTCTCTCTCTCCTATGGCTGCAGTGATATTCACTAATTGCATTGCAAATTTTTTTTCCTAAAAGCTAGTTCACACATTTGAGTCTAATAGATGGTGCCAGTGTGCTAGTCTATTTTCTCATCACCAATCGCAAGCACTTGCAACGCAGCCAATCACACTGAATTGCAAGTGTGTAAACCGTCCTTAAGTGGCAGCTGCACTTTTTCTTGTTCAGTGCGGTTGCCCTGATTCGAGACTGTGTAGCTAATGTGAAGTGTGAAAACGTCTAGAGATGTTTATCTCTTTTCTACCGTATATAAGGTGTGCATACATGCGTATGTCTTAAATACAGACATACCAAATTGTTTTTTTAGTCGTATGGCCCTGGCTGGAATTATTTTGGATAGACCTCTCACTGTATATGTAAACGTTTGTGACATCGCTTCTGAAGTGGTAGCTTTATAGGGCCAATCAACCTCTGGAGCCGCGTAAGCACCAAATCTGTAGAGCGGTCAGTCTGTAACTGCTAAACTACCGTATTTATTCGAATATAGGTCGACCTTTTTTTTTCGGAAATGTAGTCAAAAATTAAGGGTCGACCTATAATCGTGACCAAAGAATTTCGACCTAATTCGCGACCAAAATTTGAAACCCTACCGAGGGTATGGAGCTATCAATCACCTAGCCGGCGTCCCGGTAGAGCCACGCGGCTTCTTGTTTCAAAAAGCTTTTGATGCACAAAAACAACCGAACAGCAGCAGCCGACAGCCCGTGTCCGCCGGCTACGGCTCTCGCGCACATTCCTCGGGCGTCGAGTTTCGCCATCACGCCTGTAGCGTTCCCCTCGCTGGGTAAGGGGGAAGGGGAGGGAGAGGAACCTTGAGGAACGCGATGCGCCATGCACTTTGCACTTTGCCCTCCTATGCGCTCCATTCCTCTCTCCCTCGCAAACGCGCAAACAAAAACAAAACAAAAAAAACGGAGGTACTTTAGTTTTTTTTTTTTTTCGGTGGGTCGCGTGTTGCTCATGGGGTTGGAAGCGTTGCTCGTGTCTTTGTGTTTGATCTTTCGTCGCTCGCCCGTCTCCACCTTCTTTCGTTTCTTCTTGTCGTCATTCATTTTACAACGGTGTCAGTGAGGTTTTGTTGCCAATTTTCGAGGATGTCTACCAAGCTGACTAAGCTTTTTTGACATCGCCCTGTGATTTAGCTGAGAGTGCTGTAAATAAAGGTTTGTTTCTTTTGCCCTAACTTTCCCCTGTTCCTTAAAAAAAAAAAAAAAAAAAGAAAGGTCGACCTATATTTGAATTATTTTTTTTTATTCTCGGTGGGCTCGATAAATAGGGGTCGACCTATTTTCGTGGTCGACCTATTTTCGGGTAAATACGGTATCTTGAAAAAAATGGCAACTAGTACCAGGAATCGAATCCCGGTCACCGGCATGGAAGCCAAGTGTGCTGTTGATTGAGCTATGGACCCAGATTCCAGATTGCAGGAACGGGAGGTGCAGAAGCAGGTGGTGTGAGAAAGCGTGCGGAGTGGAGAGGGGTAAAAAGGGCAAGAAAGAGGAGCAGAAACAGGTTGCCTACAAAAAGTGTGCAGAACAAGTAGTGGAAAGGGCAGGAAAATGCTTCCTCACTTCGGTGACGCGAAAAATTCAATGAAAAGGCTTTGTTATCTGGGTGCTGCTGAAGGGAAGTGCAAATAGCGTTACAAAGAGGCAGTGATGTGACATAATCTTTTTCCATACAAAACCCTGCCCTAGGCACGACCCAAACTAAGAACACCACATTTAAACGCGTTTGTCAGAATGACTAAACATAGAGCCAATTTTTCTTCACCGTCTTTATTTTTTATTTTTACGTATACAGTATTGCCGTTATCTGCTTGCTTAATTTTGATTAGCGGTCTGAAGGTATGCTGGATTGCTTTGTAGGTTCCCTCCAAGACATACACTGGCATTGTGTTGGTGACACTCCGTACATCTCTTTATGTGGACAATGAGGAGATGGACGTTTCTGGGTAAGCTTCCTATTTCAAATTTTTTTCTCGTGTCTTGGTTGTGAGATTTTCATTTGTGATACATGTTACACATGCAATAAAGGATCATCTTGTTGTCACAGTCAAATTAGGCATGTGTGAATGATACTGATGACCTCTTTATGGATACGCTTTTCTGCACCAACCAAAAGACGTATTCTGCAGTCTCCACACATTTATCCGAGCAACGGCGATCTGCCCAATTCCGATCGATTCAAGTATAGGCTGAATATTCAGTTTGCCAGTTAAAACAAAAGGGCAAAAGCAAGGTGTACATTAGAAGTCTGGAGGATTCAGCTGGTTGTCGTGCAAGTACCGTAAGTGCACATTTCGTTTCAGGAAGTCTGATTGCGTCGCTGCCTGTCTGCGCAGCAGTTTCGTGGCGGAGCACCTTGAGCGGCTTCTTCAGAACCGGGTGGGTTGTGTCAGGTTTATGCTTCCCACCATGTGAGGCTTGTGTTTTTTTTGTACCGAGCAACGAAAGTCGTTTTGTTCACAGAACGGAGCTAAATTTCCTCAGTCCTGCGCTTCTTACAAGTAGGGACATTTTTTGCGGCACTGTCTGATGGACAGCGGAGGATTTTGCAGGAACACGACAGAGTATAGACCGTTCCATTAGGGTCATAGCAGAGAGAGTAAGAGAGAGAAAAAAAATGCCCTCCCTCTCTCACCCGTTTGTCGTCTGCTCCGCCGAGTGGGCTGTACCTAGCATCCGGCTGGCGTATAAACTCTGTTTAAAATCGCGTCATTTTGGAAATTTCAAGCGCAGATGCGCAGATTTTGGTATCCCAGTTATTGTGTAATACCATTCTAAATAAAGAAGACTAACAGGGTCCAATTACGCCGTTACCTGCGTGCAAATAAAAAAAAAAAAAAAAAAAACAATAAAAAACAGGAAAATTGTGTCAGATTGGCCGGTCTCTCCGGCGAAAAGTTAATCCGGTTACTGTACCTTTTTTACTATACAAACTTCGTACTGGTGTAGGCCTTTAGCAACCATGAGTGGGAGTCTGCAATAATAAATAAAAACGTGCTCTCCTGCTGCAATACATGCAGTAGTTGAGGGTGGTGCTGCTGGCTGACTCAAATGCTATTTAAGTAAAGGAAAAAAGATATGCTAGTTGATGATTTGCCAAAATAGAACAACAGAGAGCTATAGGCTGATATTGGAGTAGCCATAACTTTACTAAGAACGCAAACCACTTCACAACGGCAGCCACGAGCGAGAGTTTGATGTTCCGTACAGCCCACCGGTACAGCCCAAAGATGGAGAATGGCAACCTCCCGGTTCGTCGTCTGCTAGCAGAGTCGGGCGCGTGCCCTCTCTCTCGTTTTACCCCGCCGAACCCGCTGAACTTCTTGGATGTATGGAGAGGGCGCTGCTGTCGAACAATATGGTGCCGCCCAGAGAGCGGTAAATGGAATGGTCTATAGCAGTGGAATAAACTGGGAAGATGCCATTTTCTTCCTTCAGAATGTACTTTGTCATGTGGGGGGTGGCTCTCGCTACTTGTAGGAGACTGCTAGGCACGGCATCAAGGGACCTTTGAGCAGAGTCCTTGGGAATTGTGCAAGCCTTTGGTTGTTCAGATATATCCCTTTCTGTTTCACTGACAATTAATATTTATGCAGTTTGTGAAGTTGTTTTTAACATTTTCGTTATTAACTTCCCTGAATAAGCTTCAAAGTATCCAAAGTTCACTCAGGCCTTTCGAGATAATGATGGAGAAGTACATATTGCTAGAATTTGCAAATATTGACACTCTTTTTTAGCCTCCCTGAAAGGGTGAACAGCATCGATAAGATATATGCAACCGTACATCTATAGAAAGGATTGAAATATCTGTATGTGCTGTAATGACATTTCTTGAGTGTTTGTAATTTTTGTGAATAGAATATAATTAGGAAAAGTTGGTCACAAATAAATCTCTTACATCGATTATACACCAACTCATGTTTACAAACAAACCGGAGCGCCCCTAGCGGACGTCACCGGCGCCGCGCATGCGCCGTGGATGGTGGGCAAGAAGCCCGCCGTCGCCCATAAACAAACCATTGAATTGCGTTGTTGTCGGCGTCGGTGGGAGTCCCCGTGCTCTTTTTCGCGTTGGAATTGTTGATTCTACGTCCTCCTAACAATGTCTGACTACTTGAGCGGCTTCAGCAAAACTATCGAGGCAAAACTTTGCGTGAATAATGTGACTTGCGGCGATTCATTTCACGTGGACGCCGCAGAATGGGCGCTAAAGCCTGACTCCCATGGCGAGATTCTGCTCGCTATTTTCAGTCGCGACGTCGCTCGGACTGCAAAAGCGTGTACCGTAGCTGAGATGGTGGACATCGATACTGAAAACCTCAAGTAGAATCGGGCATTACAAGTAGGTGATGGCCACTGGTAACAATGATCAACAACTTCTTGTATCTGTTTACACTTAGCCGACTTACCCCAACCAACCTTCAAAAGTGTTTTGAGGCCTGCACTTAGTTCTTATCGCAATTACCGGGTCAACGTTTGGTTTACGAGCCACTGTCGTTTGAACGAACTGACGACAAAAAGCAGCCAAGTTTGAAAGAGCAGACGACAGTTGGAACGCACGCGCAATGGAGTACGGGCAAGAAGCACCGCGTCCCGCGTCAACAAACCATTCGAATGTCACGTTGTCGGCGTCTGTGTGAGTCTGCATACTCTTTTTCGCGTTGGAGTTGTCGATTCTACGTCCTCATCGCAATGTCTTACCACTTTAATCGCCTGAGCGAAATCATCAAGGCTCGTTACGCCGCTAAACTTTGCATAAATAATTTGACGTGCGGCGATGTATTTGCATGACCGCCGCAGAATGGACGTACAAAACCATGATGAGACTCTTCTAGCTATTTTCGGTCGCGACGACCCTCGTGCTGCAAAAGTGTAGAAGGTAGCGGCGATGATCGACGTCGATACTGAAAATCGGAAGCGGGAGCAGACAAAGCATGACAAGTCGTTGATGGCCACCGGTACCAATGATCAACATCTTGTATCTACTGCTTACACCGAGCCTAGTTAAGTCTTTTGAGGCCTGCAATTACTTCTTATTGCAATCACCGGGTCAAAGTTTGGTCTACGGGCCGCTTTTGTTTGAACGAGCAGACGACAAAAAGCAGACAACTTTGAAAGAGCAGACGAAAGTTCGAACGATCAGGCGGCCGTGTGAATTTGAAGACGCACTGAATCCGTGGGTGGTCCGGACAACTTGGGGGTTTTCTCTCGGTCATGTTGGAACAAAGCAAATACATCTGGCGACTACAAATTGTGGCCCGCACACGCAATCGTATAGTTCGACAGCGTCAGGTTTGCCCTTTTCACGGCTGCTATCGACGTTCTCGGACGAACGGAGGGTGCAAAAACACATGAAAACTGATCTTCAAACCTTCCCAGACTCTCTTTGTAAAGCCCCCGTCGCAGCATTTTGACGAGAAGGCAGGTGTTTTGTCTCGTTTCTTCCAAAGGAACACAGGAATGCATGTCTGGCACGGGGACTTCTGCCCACCGCCCCAGACCGGAAGTGCGTCCGGCGCGCCACCACCGTGGCGTGACGTAGGAGTGTTGAGTTGGTGTATTGCATGAGGCCCACATATTAGTATGGTGCTGACCGCATGACTTCATTCCCGCAAAATATTTGTAAAAGTGGCACTTTTGCAAATACGCAACACTTTAAGCCTGGGGATGTACCCTCTATTAGAAATGTGCAGCAAAATCTCTGCGAGCGCCGTGCTCCCAGAACGATATTACTGCATTTTTATCAGGCATACTCACTCCTGTTGAGTAGCGAGGGTAATCGATTATATGTTCATCGCAAGGGCATTTTGAGCCATGTTCGTGAGCCATGGAACGGGAAATTCAATTTTGGATTTACTTCCAAACTTTTACTGTGGGGTTTCGACAAGTGCTGTTCAGTTTTGGTCGTGCCTGAGATGCCATTAGCAATTGTTCCGTCATCATTCCGAAGTGAGTAATTTCTTGACCGCAGGAAAACAGCCTCGGAAGCCTTCAGATGGTTTCCCTCTGTTTGGAAATCCTTCAACAGGCTGCTGTGAGAATCACACATTTCTCAACCATGTAAGTTTTTTTTTTTTTTCTTTTTTTTCTTTTTGTTGATGATAAACTCTTATTAATTTGAATGAGGGTATAGTCTCTCTTGTTTGAGTTATCTTGCGCTAGGAAACACAAATGCAGAAATATTAGTAAACCGGCTGCCTGTTTAGACATCTAAATCTTGTCACGTGACTGGAAATATGCTTCATTCGTTGGCTTCTTGCTGAGCACGGTAGGGCTAAGAATTGAAAGGCGTTTACAAATCTCTGTAACGCTGAATTAGAGTGCAGCCCTTGAGGTATTTTAATTTTGCAACATACCGTGACGGGAGGGTACGCAGGAGGAGGAGGGGAGGGTACAGAGGAGGAGGAGGGGTTTGTACAGAGGAGGATGGGAGAGCATGGAGATGGAGGAGGGGAGGGTATGGAGAGGGGCAGGGAGTAAAAGGAAAGGAGGGTACAGAGGACCCTCCTCTTCTCTTTTCTCCTCCTCCCGCTTCTCTTCCTCCTCCATTACCTCCCCTCCTCCCACAGTTTCCCCGCTAAATTTAGCTGGAAAAGTGATGCCACGTGACCTCAACACCAATTGAATTCCCCGCTAAATTTAGCGGGGAAATGAATTGGTGTTTAGGTCATGTGACGTCAGTTTTACCGCTAAATATAGCGGGAAAACTGAATGCGCAGTGTTGCATTATGGGACGTCACAGATCTACATATACATTCAGTTTCTTCGCTAAATTTTGCGGGAATTGAATTGGTGTATATAGGTCTGTGACATCCCATAATGCAACGCGCCCGGTTACGGCAATGGCGCAAAACACGGGAACGAGCGCCTAAGTGCTGCGCTCTAGAATAATATTATGGATATGGATGTGACTATGACTGGAATGGCTATCTAAACTGGATTCTCTAATGATTAGCATGCTTTCTAATAACTGTTTGTTGGTGACTTCACCAATGGCCTTTAATTGTATCGATAGCAAGGCCAGCCTTGCTATTGAGGCTGGCCTTGCAGTCGATTAAGACGTTTTAGGGAAACATTCAAATAATTGCAAGCCAATAAAAGTTTAAGATAAGATTTGTGCAAACTAATTGAAGAGTCTCAATTATCCAAACTCGAGTTAATGACAGTTTACTTAAGTGTATTCCTAGCCCACTTGTGGATGTTTTGCCACAATGTGGCAAGCTGATTTGTGCACTGCCTTTCTCATTTCGACGCAGCGAAGCAGAAGGCAGCGAAGAACCCGACTTGTCCGCTGAGATTTCAAGTACTGCACTCTCTTTTTTGCTGAATTATGCGCCATCGATATCTGCGCTGGTCCTGCAAGGGCTGGACGGATCTCCGGATGACGGCGTGCTGACGGAGCATCTTCGGAACCTCGTCCTACTGATGCGCTGCCGAGGCGAGTGCTGTGACAGCTCTGTGAGATAGTATTCATCAAATCTAGCTTGCTCCTTCGTTTTTTGTTTTTCTCTGTTCTTTTTTTTTTTTTTTGACTAGACAATTTTCATTTTCACGTGACTATTTGCATTTTCCGGCGACTTAATTTCCACTTTGCGGATGACGAGCAAACAATTTGCTGGAAATAACAGCATCGGTCAGATTGCCTGCGGACCCAGGTTTCCCCGCCTGCTTTTCTACTCGGAAGGACGTCGGACAAAAGCGGTGATTTGGAGTCGCTGGAAAATGTGAATCTGAGCCCGCATATGTTGGTGACTTAGGGTTGAATTTGCTTTGGCCTGATTGGGTTGAACGAGCGTCTCGACGGCTAAGTGGCGTAGGCCGCAGGAGCGATCTCCTCATTTTTACCATCTTTTAGTCGACCGGAATTTCGCTCTGGAAAGGTGTTTACCGGGCTAGGAATTTTGTGGCCGTCATCGAGCGAGGTTAAAAGAGTCAATTATAAACCTTATGGTGATCGTGTGGCACTTTCAGAGCCGTCAAGTACCGAAAGCCTTGTCCAGTTTGTTTCAGTCGTCGTGACGCCATGGGCATCCCGATTTGTGAGTGATATTTCTTTAATGTCCTTTGCATTGTTTGTCTATCATGTTTAAGCCATTTTTCATCTCTTACGTTTGATCATGCTTCAGTAAGGTTCTTGTTGATGAGGAGTGCAGGTATTATTTAGACGTGTACATTTTCGGCTGGTCACTTCAAGATGAAGCTTGTGCTCTGTTGCAATTCTCGGGCAATAAACTTCTTGGGTCGGAGGAGAAAACGGCCCAAGTCAAAAGTACCTTTAGTGCCCAAGTTGGTCTGTGACCATCTGCTGCCATTTGCACTTGAAACATTCATTGTGCAGTTGTTGTACATACCTTATTCTAGTGTAAAAACAATCAATGGGGTTGGGAAATTGGTCTAAATTATGGTTACTTCTCAAAATTTTGTTGCAAAATACTCTAATGTATACTGATTTAGTCTGAGCATCACTGCTATGTGTTGTCTCTTGTCTCATCCTCTGCTGTGACAAGGGTGCTGAATCGAAAGGGAACTGTATCAATATCTTCTCTGTGCTGGAGACAGCAATTGTAGCAGTACATATCGGCATCATGGTATATTTTGAATGTGATTGAAATGTGACTTAGTTGCTTTTTGTGTATAACTGTAACTAGACACGTTTGTAAGAATATAACTGAATTTGTAATGCAACCTAACTAAATTTAAACCCAGGCAACTAATTTGAATATTTATAAGAGTATAATAAAGCAAGACTAATAGTCGAGTTATAGTATTGACCAAAATGGATCTTTACTGCTTTAAATGAGTCAAGAGATGATATTTCCACTAAAGGTGCAGACAGGCAGTTCCACTTTCTTTTTCATACCTTTGCAGCTTTACTTGTCATTTTCATGTGTTTGATATTTAACTCTGTTGCTTAATGCTGTCGTGGTGACACGTTTTTGCAACCTACTGAAAACCGGTACCCTGACAGTGGCGGTGTTGGAGGCACTGGACTGTGTACGTACAAAAAGGCTTCCAGATAAGGCTATGAAAGTAAAGACTTGCAGACCCTCTGTCTTACAGTGAAGTGCGCTTTCAGGGTGGCCGACCCAACACAGAGTTCTTGGACAGCGGGCGTCGGATGAAGACTGGGGGAAATGACCCTGTGCTTTGTGCAAGCCTGGCAACCCTGGCTTTCTTCTGCCCGGATGACCTGCTGACGGAGCCGCTTCTGCACCTCGCTCTTGTGAGTTCTTCCCACCTTCTTCGTGGAACTTTGGGATGTTCTCGTGTCTCTAAAGGGACACTGGTGTGGATTCAAAACTTAGTTTTATGGTTCAAACATAAAGGGAGGTTATTCAAGGCAATGCAGTCCAAGTTTTTTTCTACACAAACAGTCACTCGGACGGATTACTACTTCTTAAGTACTCCGAGTTTTGTTTGGAAAAGAGTGACGGAAGCCCTGAACAGCTAACGCTTGATTGATTGGTGGTTTTCATAGAGAAATAAGCCTGATTTTGATTTGAAAGTGTTGTGTCCTGGTTGTTGGGCCTCCTTAGGTTATGCTTCTGTTGAAATCTATGCTTGAATCCTGTCAGAGGCCATTTATGAAGATGTTTAAGGTAACCAGACTAAGTAGCCGCCTCAAAGGGAATTTCTTTGTTCTGCTCCCAACAGACTGAGGGATCACCACAGGTAAAGGAGGCGGCACTTCGTGCCTTGGCTCCGTGCATCCTTCGAGGCAACTGTTCGGCCAACATCGTACGCAGCTTGTTGTGAGTCGAATCCTCCAACCATTTCAGCATGCAGCATTGCACCGATGGCGCATGTTTTTACTTCCTAGCCTTGGTTCAGAATGCAGCTATTGGGCACATTCAGTAGCGACTCCCTCAGCTCCGAACAGAGTAACTCAAGTCGGAGCTGTCGGAGGGTCTACTGAACAACAAAAAAGCCGGGCTTTTCAGCTGCTCCTATGCAGTTCCCGCTTCTTTCCCTATGGCAGACGCTCTCTGAATTAAATGGAAGCAGATTACGCCGAGCACGATCACTTTTATTTGACGCCGGCATTGAAGAAATCTCGACAAAGTTGTTAGAGAAAAAGCGAGTAACCAGACATCAGCGCTGCTGTTCGAAGCAATACAAAGTAATTGAGTCCTTCACAGGGCAGTGCAAAGGCTGCTACTGTTAAAAAAAAAAAAAACAGTGAAAACATAGTCAACTCAGGCAAAATAAAAAGCTCGGTGTATTTATGCCGCCGACTGTGATACTTTTATACAGTCATATGTTTGTTCTGCACTTTTTTACAAACTTTTTATAAAACTTATTCATATATGGTGCAATCCACTTATAACGATAATGAGAAAACCCGAAAATTTGATCATTACAACCGTTTATTGTTATATCTGGACTTGAAACTGAGTGTTTTTAGTCTAGAAACTGATCGTTATAAGCAGTACTTCATTATTTTTGGTATCATTATATGGGGATTGCACTGTAGACACGGGAAGTTGGCCGCACTTGGCAATCAAGGTTTTGTCGGCCGAAGCGAGCGTCGGCTGATGTCTCATACTCGCACTCACCCCGATTTAGCTACGCAAACAAAACATCAATCAGGATCAGTGGGAGTGTCCAACCGCACACGCCAGAGTAACGTTCACACCCTGCCTCGCTCTATTCTGCGTGGACTGGTCTATCGTCGGTAATCACAAAATTTGTGTGCAACGGCGATCAAAACACGGCGCCAAATGAATATTTACATAATTTATTAGCAAAGCCAAAAAAAAATGCTTTAAGACTTTTTTTAAAAGAAGTCCGAGCTGGTAACGAAATTCAAACGTGTTATTCGTTTTACCTTGAGCACTTTTCATTAACAAAAGCGAACGAACCGCAGACCCACGCCGCAGCCGTCACGGCTTCTCCTGCCATTTTTTTGTTTTTTCTCTTTAAGCGCCGAAGCTCAGTCCGCAATCTGGAAATACGTCATGTTTTCGACTTCTAGTGGAAGGAGCGTTGGCTCCTTGACTTCTGGAGATCCGGAGACACTGCTGAATGCGCCCACAGATAATTCAGAGTGTGCAGTGGCGGTCTGCCTACGAGAGTGGGCTTTGTTGTCCCGCTTGCTCAAGATGTCTCTTGGTGTTGTTTGCCAGGTTGGCGATCGACAATATGTCGGAAGGCGAGCTGTTGGCCACTGTCTGTTGCATCAAGGACCTGTGCTGTGTTTTTTCCAAGCAGGCAAAGAGGTTTGCCGATTGTTTCTTTTTTTTTTATTATTTTTTGTTTTCTTTTTGTATTCAAAATTCCTTTTCTTTTCTTTCTTTTTAGTGTTTACCGCGCTGTTGATTGGCAACAGTCCGTCGTCATCAGCTGCTCTGCCTGCGGAGAGGGTGAGATGCTGTCTTCTCAAAGGCGTTCTGTGTCGCAGTGAGATTCCATTTAAATGCTGCTGTTAGGGTGTCCTTGGACTCTTAATGAGGGCTATTCATGGTCCTCGAAACCTCCAATAATAACCACAAATGGTCTTCATTACTGGATTGTATGGATTCATGTAATATAGTAGGACAGCGGACTACATCACAAAAGAGGGAATGAGTGGGAGAAACAGGTGAACATAAAGGAATTAGTGAATGGAGCTTTATGTAGTAAATAATTACTGTTTTACTCATTTTTGCTCTCAATGTCCTTGTGTATTCAGTTATTTTACAAGGGGAGCTGTTAAGGGCTAGTTTCCCCAGAATCGTGTCTCCCGCAAAGAAATGTCAACACAAAACTCTGGTTGCCTCCGTCGCTCACAGATGGCGGTAGCTGTCCAGAGTGTTGTGTTTGCCGGTTGTCTGCGGCCGGCCAGTACTTTCTCCTTCGTCCTCATCTCTTGGCGCCGTTTGAGGAAGAAGAGCGGGAACGGAACGAGCGGCGATGTGCGCAGTAGTGCAAATGGTTTCGCAACCGCCGCGAGGCCGCTTTCGCCTAAAGTTACTCTGCGTCGGGCGCTTCAGATTCCCTTGGGAAAGAAGAGCAGATCGCTCACCTGGAAAGCTACTGCCGAGAACAGAAGCTACAGCTCCGCTGCTCTTCCTTTTTCACCGCAGTGGAAAGGCTGAAAGATTTTTTTAAGGTGAATCGAGTTAGTTGCTAGATTATAAAAAATGAAAAAAAGAAATGGTGCAAAATACAAGAGAACACACCACTGCTCTGACTTACAATTTAACTTTTATGTACAGTGACAATCTAAGTACCAATGACGTAGACCGAAAATGCTAAAGTAAAAAATCGTGGCCTTTCTTGTGATTTTATACTGTTTTGGGTTGACGTCTTCAGAGTTTATTTTGTGACATCAACTCAAATAAAGATCAGTGTTAAGTCAGTGCTGTGGTGTGTTAGTATTCTCTTCTTTCTATCGGCCTTTGCATGTGTTGTTTTTCAGTTACTTGGTTCCTAATTTTTCTCTCTTATTGTGGAAACACGTCTTATTACAATGCCTTTATGATTCCTATATTTCAGGGTTTATAAAAATACACTTCTAAGATGAAGGCTAACAATAGAGGATGATGATTGTGCAGGGTCAACAAAGGCTCCCCTGTTGGAGATTGAGAGTGGTCTGCTCAGTGAATGCCTTGTCAAGTTGTGTTCCAGCACCCATGTGACGGTGCGAGACGGTAAGATTGCCTCAATGCTGCCACGTCACGAGGTACCGTTGTCTACTTTGCGGCTGGTTCATTTCCCGCCACTTTGGGGCTTGTTCATTTCATGCAGGGGTGGTGTTCTGCCTTTCAAGGATCTTGAACCACCTTCCCGTGGACTCTCATTTGGTTGCCAAACTCTTGGATTTTCTCGTGGACCCTGAAGCCAGCATCCGATACCGGTTCAGGTAAGAGTTTCAAACCGCAAAAGCATACCATTGTATTCGTTCTTCTTCGATTTTGCCCACACGTCGGCAATTCGAAATTAGATTCAAACTTTTGTGCAGCTCCGTTAAAGGGGAGCTTCCTAGATAAGTGAAGCTTTGCAAGATGCTTGTTTGATCCTCAGAGTCTTCAAGGTGGTCCCCTCCTTGGTCCTTCCAAGAAAATACAGTAGGGCGCACAGAATAGGAACGAGAGCCAGTAGCTTGCACAATTTGTGGTTCACGCATATTGCACAATTTGTGGTTCACACACATTGTACAATTTGTGGTTCATGCACATCGTGCTAAACGGAGCGGTAACACCAATGAAGGATTGGAAATTGTGCCTGCACAATATATTGTCACGCTACCAGCTCGGATACCAATCCTACTTTGTGTTTGTGGAAAGGAGGGGAAGGTATGCTTTTCGGAAGCATTATCAATCCAAATCTGTTGAGACACTTTTTTCTGTTTTTCCACTGCTAGGGAAACTTTTTCTTTTCGGGTACGGAAAAAGGAATAAGAAACTTTCCCTCTATAGTGGGGGAAATTTTTTCCCTAACAGTTCATCGCTTCAAGGATTAGTGGCCGCCGGAGGCTCGGACCTTCAGGACCAGGTCATCCGTCGGCTGAGGAGAGCATTGGACGACGCCTGGCAGGCATCCAACACCCAGCTGCAGGACTCGCTGCTGATTACAGTGTCGCAACTTGGCCGTCACCCCCTTAACACCGAGCTCCGCGAATTTGCAGTGCTGTGTTTGCTTGAGCACTCACTCTGCTGCTCTCCTAACGTGGCCGAAGCCGCTACGCAAGAGGTCAGCCTTTTCTAATGGCTTTCTTTAGAGACTTTCATGTTATACTTTGTTATCCAGAGTGTTAAATGGATTCTTGTGAGAACTTATTAAAGGGTCCTGTAGAAAAATGTCTAGGGATTGTAAGGACATTGCCTAGACAATTTAAGTGTTTTTGCTGGGTTTGGGCTTTTTTTTTTTTTTTAAGAGAAACAATGTTGTTTGCATTTTGATTTAGGAATTGCTTCCCCAACAGATGTTCTCTTGATTTCTGTTTTCTTAGCATTTCCTTGCTCTTAAATAACTTTCTAAAAATCCTCATTATTGACTGTGTATTTCTTTTCCTTTTCAGTTGGATGAACTGACAAGGGCTCTCAGCTCTACCACATCAGACTTCTTCAAGCAGTTTCGTCCGCTGGTGGGCAAGGTACGGTCAACTCGGATATCACTCGTTACCATGGTACATCCCTAACCTTCGCATTTCTTTATCTTGCTCCATTATGATGACATCTCTGGCCTCAAATTGTTCGATATTTTTCATTACTTACGCGCGACCCTGCCTTCACATTACTCTGTTCTTCCCACATGTGATTCTTCGCCTGTTCCCCTCAAATGTAATTCCTCGTTTGGGCGTCCACTGCACGTGGCGAGTGCACATCTCTCCGATGCCAAAGTTGGTGCATCCAACTTTGGCGTTTTTATGTAACTTTGCGGCATTCTTTTTCCGGCACTCCAGTTCCTGTTTGAGAGCATGATCAAGTCCTGTTCGGAGCGCCGGTTCTCTTTGGGGAAGTTCCTGAGTCCGCTGGTGGGGGCCTTTGGCTTCGCCGACGTCCGCGCCTTGCTCATAGTGAGTGGTTTTTACTTCCGGCGCTGTTCTGAGTTGACGTGCACCTTTGTAAGCACAGTGCAAGTTTGTCTGATCCTTTTGCGAGGGTTGTGGTGACAACAGAACTTCAAGCTCTGATCGGCTCAGTGGGTAGACCTTGAAGCGAGCTGCCTTGAGGTCTACCCCATGTCCTTCAATCGGTGCTCAGCGTTCCTACTTCACCGCAACTCCCGCAAAAGAAGCAGACGAACTTGCACTCGGCATATTCATCATTTAAAGAAAAGTGTATGAGGTGGGCACAAAAGAAACGCGAGTTGCACAACTCGTTGCATCGGTTGTGTCTCTGTCTTTTGCACACTTTTTAATCAATAATTTAAAATTATTAGTGCCATTATGGAACAATGTATCCGTGGCGACTAACCCAGCATACAACCCTGTTGCACTTCGCTGTATCTCGGCGTAACTAATCTGTGCCCCTGCACTACCAACCTGCCAGAGGCCGGGGTGAGGTACGAACTGAACACAAGTGCTTTGTCGGCGTGTGGCTCAGACTCGTGTTCAATGAGTGAGAACACAGGTTCCTGATGTACGCTAACTCACCACTCCTGTTCAGTTTGTGCCTGAAAGAAGCGAATGTGAAAGCATGCTTGCATGTTTGGATAACCAATCCTCTGTGTGCAAAGGTGCTTGGCACTTGGGACGAACCACAGAAAAGAGCTAAGGCCACAAGAGCTCTTGTTTGTTTCCTAATTGAAACATGCTTGGACTTTTGCTTGTAGAGGATGAACCTTAGCATTTGTGAACAGTGCTTCCCCTCCTCCTTAAATAAAAGATTTTTTTAATCTCCCCATCACTCTTCCCCAATGCATAGTGGTCAACTGGAATAATTACCTAGTTAACTTCTCTGTCTTCTTGTTCTGTTCCTCCTTGGAGCACTACAGCCTATGCGTGAACTTCCCACTCTAGTCCCGCTGGAATGATAGCTTTGTCAGGGCTTTCTTTTGAAAACACTACACCTGACAACGTTTGCGCCGTACCACTGCTTCCGCTGCGATAATATGGGAATCAGGTGAACTTTTGTAAATTGCCTACGAGGTAACTGTTTAACGTAGGGGTGGGCGAATGTATTTGTTTCTTATTCAAATTGAATAACGATTCTCCGAATAATTTGATTCGACTGTAGAATTTTTAGTATTCGAGTGTTTGAATAATTTGATTCAATGAATATTCATTCTGCTGGCAAAAATTCTGGATTATTCGGGAACACTTTTCATATGATGTAATAGTCCTAGCAGGCCTGTGTTTAGTCATTTAAATGAAGCCCACATTGAGAAGCTTTGCCTCACGAACCATTTCGACAGAAGGAAGTTCCTTTCTTGTGTTCCTCGAACGAAGCAGTCGTTCTCCCCAGATTCTCCGATGTGCTCAACGAAAACCATTCGACCACACACGTCGCCATTTTACATTCAAAGATCTTGCGTCACCTGTAGCCAACTTTGTGCACTACAAAACCTGTTTTCGGTTGTTATATTCACAGTATGACACAATATGATCAAAATGCAGATAGCAGCGATAATTTAACCAACCTTTTCCGCTAACCCGTTGCTCCTCGCCGCGTCGAGCGAGGAGCCAGGGCTAGGGCAGTAGTGCAAGACGTCACTCGATTCAAACGGTTCAGAACGGTGCATGTCCACGACGGGGTAGATTATTCACGCCAGTCTTATCTTTGTTTGGCGTGTCTTACAGGAAAATAAACATGTATATGTTTTTGTTTATGAGGATTTTTGTTTTTTTTTAGTATCGTGAAAATTGTGTATAACAGTTTTGGTATTCAATTCAACATTCAACTTTTTTGACTACTGTTCGATTCGAATTCGATTTGAGCTGAAATTTCACCATTTACGCACGTCTACCATAAAATACTGAAAGATGCCCCACCCCTGAAAGGTGACCTGCCTCTTATCTTTGGCTTGATTCGCTGTTTCATTTTAAGCACCGTAACATAGCCCACTCCTAGTAATCGTAGTGTTCGGATCAACAATACCTCAGCGTAAATGCGTCTAGTTAGCTATGGCGGAATATAAGTGAACGTTACTGACTGGGAAGTATGGTCGTCTTTGCTTTGTCGCCCCTCGCCGTGATAATAAGCTTGACAGAGACACATGATTTAAAAATAGAATTCTTTTAAACTTTTCTCGATTGCACACCGAAAGTTGACCCGCTCCTTATTTTCGCCCAATTTTCTCTCGATTTTAGGTGGGCCATCTCTCGGGATTTTATGGTAGCTTAATTTTTTTTGTCTCTGTTACTTTGTCAGAGCGTGCTGCGTTTCCTGTTGCCGCCGCTGGTGCTCCAGTCGGACACATCTTCCTCACGTCTGCTTCGTGCCCTTGCGCGGGAGTTGAAGACAAACCGTCGAGACCTGCTCATGACGCACTTCCGACACGTCTTTGCTTACCTCGTCTGCAATGCCGCTGACAGCCAGCTTGCAACCGCCCTCTCCTTCGTCGAGGTGAGAGATCGACAGCGATTCGGTCGAACGAACCAGTAACCTTAGTGGTGTGTGGTGTTGCCCCACATTAGAGAGATAAAGGGGTCTTTTTAATGTCAAGGAAGGCGAAGAAATGTCATTTAAACAGCCATCCAGCGCCTAAATGCAGCGTGACATTGGACAGCGGCAATGTTTTGTTATCAGCTGAAATTTGAGCACTTTGCTTTTCTGATAGTTTTTTTTGCAGGATTGTTGCTTAGCTTTTGCAGAGTTTTTTTTTTTTTATTTGCAACACCACTTTCATTTTATTTGTTAAAAGTGGGCTAAAATATATTAGAGGTGTGCCAGCAAGAGCGGGCAACGAACATCAGCTCATTATAACCAATATTTTGCTATTCCCAGGTTTCTCATAACTGAGTTTGACTGTACTTCACAAACTGGATAAACACTTTAAAAGTCAGATGAGTCACCCTGTCCACAGCTAAACCACTAAGTTCGCCACAGTGATGGCACAGAGAATACATTCTTAAATTTGTGTACAAAAGCATAGAATAGCTAGCGGGGAGTGCATTTCTCCAAAGAGGTACATGTATGCCATCTTCCATTTACATTTCCAGTAAACCAAAGCTTCACTTGCTACCATTAATATGGAGGTATCTCAGTTTACAGGTTTGCCACAAAGTGATAAAGGGGCCTGTTTGTGTGTGTGAATTGTTTAAACATTAGATTAGGTAATAATGGCCCCAACGTTCAAGACTGCATTGACGCTGCGCATTGAACCGCCTGCACATTGAACCTTTTGCTACTATTAACGTTTGGCAACCCAGAGCTGCATACTTCGTCACGAAGTCACACTTGTAACTATTTGCTGATTCCTGTGCTTTACATCAAATTACCTTTTTTCCCTTAACTGAGTAAAATGTGTCAATCACCTCTGGCTGCTAACTTGCACACTTTACGTTTTGAGGCGGAGACGGGCCTGGGAATCGGCAATGTCTTGCGCTTCGACTTCCAACGGATTCTCAACGAACTGCTCTTTCATCTGGGAAGCCACTACGACCAAGTCTCCGACGGACTGCTCGTCCTGGCCAAGGAAGACGGATTCCGTCCCGTCATGACGACTTCCGATTTGGTACAGTGCCCTCGTCAGCGTTTCCCACTTTGCTGAGGGAGTTCTAGTAGATCGTTTTAATACCTCCAGTAACGGTACCATTAACAATATGACGCATGCGTAAAGGTGTCGGCGGAGTGTCGGATATCGTTATAGGAGGTATTGGGACAATCTACTAAAATTGCCTATTAAGGGAGTCCGGTTTTAATGGAAAAAGTGACGTAAAACAGTGTTTGTAGCGATACAAATCTGAGAATGCACTGCTTAGGCAAGAAAGTCTGTACATCGAAGTTGAAGGTGCAGTGCCAAGAGATAGGGAATAAAGATGGTTATAACTTATAAAACTTCCATTTCAAGTGCACCTGCACAGATGGTAATTTTGTTTTAAGATTGGGCTGAATGCAAACAGAGTAGTCGTACCCATCGAATAATTTTTGATCAAGCGGAATTGTTTTGAATAAATTGAATAATGAGTAAGAAAGGTGTCATGTCTTGTTGCTGCACCATTCATAGCACTGGAGGGAATTAACAGAAAATAAAGTCTCGCAAAAAGAAAAATTTTTTTAGTCCTCTCTTATTCTCTAACACTCCATATGTATTCTATTCTGTGTCTTTGATTTAGCGCATAAGCATCTGTTATAGTGTTCGCTGTTTTCCAAGTTCTGTGTTCGCTGTAGGTAGTGCATGCTTTCTTTGATGTGTTGTGGCATCATTTGTTTGCCCCTCCCCCACTATAGTGTCCTCGCAAATGCTGTGGGGCGTCTGGAATACTCGTTATTAGAGAAATACTCAGTTTGGTTAGGGGTGCCAAAGTTGTTACCGTATGTAGGTAATGCCAAAATGTCACTATGCGTTTAGGTGCTGTTTTTGGACCTGCCTGAGAGTTCTGCCATGGTAAGGGCGGCGCTGGTGTTTGTTTTTTCAGACCGACTTCCTACAGCCGAGGCTTCTGGGGTTTCTGACATTCTTTGACCTGCAGCTGTTGAACAGGAATGTCACAGACGTCAAAAAGAAGCAGGCACGTTTGTTTTCTTCCCATTTCTTTCGCCGAATATGTGTTGTAGAGTCGGATCGTGGCAGTCTTTTCTTTAAATTTACTAAAGGAATTAAGGTGGCAGTGTGCCTCATCTTTTCTCTATACTTTTATCTATGCTTCATCTAGTCTGTTTCTGCTAATTTGGCACTCTGTAGAAGCTATGGTCCAAGTGACTCAATGGTGCATAGCACTGTGGAACACCGTCATGTGACTTCCTCTGTCGCTTTTAATGAATCAAAGAGGTCGTAACTTGCTATTGTCAAGTTAGTTTAAAATTAAGTATTAAGCAATATACACGTTCGCAAGTCCGGTCTCAGGGCGCCGCCATCTTGTTTAGTGGGGAGCGCTTGGGCGCTGCCATAATCCGATTACGACGCCAGGCTTTGTAATCGGATTATGGCCGCACCCAAGCACTCCCCAGCCGAGCAAGATAGCAGCGCCCTGAAGCCGGACTTGCAAACATGTATAGCATCAGCGGTAAATGCATCGGTCAATGTAACACTTCCGGTATGCTTTATTGTTTTGAGGTCAGTGCGTTGGTGTTGTCTAAAAACCTACGAAAGAATTACATGTAGAAGGACAAAACACAAACAGCGCATATTTTGTCTGAAAAAAGATGTGCTGTTCATGTCCTGTCCTTTTATGTGTAATTCTTTCGTCAGTTTTCGGTATTGCTTGGTAAGGTTCTTTTTGTTTCCTTATAACCTATGGATGGTTTGTTTTGAGCAGGCGCTTTCAAGCCTAGAACGGATCATCAAGCTCATGGGACAGCGTCACGTGACAGCGCTGCGGATGAAGCTGATGGCGACACTCAAGCTGGCTCTCAGGCTCCATCACGGGGAATTTCCGGCCATCAATTGCAGCATTTGGAACACCTTTGTGCACAAGTAATTTGACCTTCGCTTCTCTCTATACCTTAGATGGCCACTCTGTCCGGTTTACGGGGAGCTTTTGGTGCAACCCTTGCTGCAGTTGTTGCACAACCTTTGCTGCAATCGTTGTGCAACTTTTACTGCAACTTTTGCTACAAGTTTTGCTGCAACTTTGAGCATGCAAGAAAAAGTGATAGTCTCTGCAAGTTCAGGTCTAAGACGTGCATATTGTGCAGCCTCGAACCAGCATCTTTGGGTCCGATGCTGAGCCAAGTGACGGCCATCTTGCTCCCCCTCCTCAAACTCGACCCAGGAGGAGCCAAGGACATCTTTGACTTTCTCTTTGTTGAGAACAGGTGGGCACTGAGCAATCTTTTTTGTTGGTCAGAAGTAAATTAGCTCTTTTTACAGCGGAGCTGTTAAAGGCTAGTTTCCCCAGTATCGCGTCTGCGGGCAAACAAGTGTCGACACAAAACTCTGACAGCTACTGCCATCTATGAGCGACGGCGGCAACCAGACAATTGGCTTGCCTGCAGCTGATGGACTAGTTACTTCAGTCCTGTTAAGGCCAGTTCGCAGGTACACCATAGCACTAAATCAACACTAGAATTATCAATGATGCAGCACTGAATCACTAATAAAGTTCAAATCCTGCACTGCATCAGCAAGGTCAGCACTATTTTCAACACTGACTAATACCACTAAGATAAAGTGCTGTGGTGTATGTGAAACCAGAGATCAGTTCCTGCACAAATTTGAAAATGGCCCAAAACGACGCAAACTGTCTTTGCGAGAGTCTTAGACTTCTTTTTAAGTGCTGTTTATTTAGCTCAACTCCTTTGACAAGTTTGCTTCCCCATCTAGGGAACGCTTCGAGGAGTATTTCCCCGACCTGCACTTCATTTCGGAACTTCCGGAGCTGGAACACGTCAAGGACGCTGTGGCGCCCTCGGAACAGTCTGGGTAACTGCACTCCTTTAGGTTGCCGAATGTGCCGGGCTGAAGGCCCTTGGATCACCGTTAGTCCTGCGTCTTCGTGTCGAGGACGGCTATAGTCCGTTGCAACCTAAGACCGAAGGGCGAGGGTAAGACGGGCCAGGGAGGAGGAAGCAGACGGAACGCTGAAGAGAGAAGGAGGTTTCGCCCTCTCTTCTCTAGCATTCCTTCTGCTTCCTCCTCCCCGGCCCGTCTTACCCTCGCCCTTCGTTCTTAGGTTGCAACGGACTATAGTTTACATGCGAGGCTGCCTCGTATTGTAAACTAGTCGCTGCCTCGTACCGTAAACCTGCAGGGGTTTTCAAACTTGAATTTCGAAGTACCCCCACCTCCCCACTTTGCTTGAATGGCATCCGGGGAATCGTTCCCGGTCTCAATATTGATGCGATAAAGCAGTGCAAAAATGTACTGTCGAGACCGGTTATAACGAAGTCAACAGGAATCGGAAATCATTTTGCCAGATCCGCTATTTCGTTATAACCGACTTCACTACAACCGGTCTCGACATGCCGATGACAGAAAGTGTCTGGTCTATAGATGGGCACAACTCAAATCTGCTAAAACAGTGCTTGAACTGCAAATGCACTTCCCTCGGGGACGAACGGTCGAGGGAATTGGGGAGCACAAGCAGCCCTTGGGTTCTCAGGAGAAGCTGCTCTAAGGTGAGGTTGATCCAATTGTAAAATTAACACTCCCCTGCACCTAAATAGTATCATTTCACTTTCTGTAGTCCCGAGACAAAATTAAAGTCTTAAATCCTCAATTAGAGTTTGTACCTTCATTAACCTGAGCGTGGAGCTTGACTAAGGCCGCCGACCAATCTTTCGGACTTTGCAGGGACCGAAAAAACTCCCGAATAATTGAGCGGTCCGAAAAATCGGCAGATTAAAAAACTTGCCTTTATTGCATCTAAGCGGTCTTAGAAAAGCCGTTAATACTGCCTTGTTTCAGGTTACACCGCCGCTTGCGTTTGGCCACTTTCTATCGCCTTGAAAATCGCTTCCTTCTTTTCTAGCATTATGGTCAAGTACTTTTGCGCTTCTTAGCAACACTTTGCGGGGCGGAAGAACAGCTAGGCCCATGACATCCAAGGCAATGTAGCCCGAAAACAAAATTCACCAAGACGAGATGAGAGGCGCAAGTCCACGACTGCAGGATGGTGAATGAGCAAAGCAAAATGGTTACAATGGTGATGATAATGATGCACATAGAGAGAAAAAAAGCCATAGCATAGCGTCACCGTAGGTGACTCTATGCTACTGCTTTTGTCCTCTTTAAGTCGAGATTGGTTATAGCGAAGTCGGTTATAACGAAAAAGCGGTTACAGCGAAGCGATCACGATTTCCCATTCCCTTTTGCACTTCGTTAACCGAAGTCGATTATAATAAAATAGCGGATATAGCGAAGTGATTTCGGATTCCCGTTGACTTCGTCATAATTGGTCTAGACAGTATATGCGTCATGTTGAGTTTTCCCTTGAGCACCTATGGTCTCATTATGGCCATCAGCTGTTTGGGAAGCAATGAAACAAATTGATTCTTTAAGTCTTGTATTTGCAGGTTTATTTGCTGAAGCATTGTTTTCTTCCCAGGCAAGCAGGCCTAAGCGCCATTCTTGGCAGCTGCTTGCACGGAATTGCTCATGAAAACCTGGATGTTCGTCTGCTTGCATTGGGCAAACTGAAGAAGGTTCTCTCAGCTAATCAGGTAAAAACAATAGTCTTGATTGTGTGATTGCTTGACCCGTTAATGCATAGACTACCCTGATGGCTTTTGTTTCTTTGCTGTCGATTGAGTGATTGATTGATTGAAATTTTATTCTCAGAATGAACTGGCTGAACACCTCCTCACACGAGAATCTCTGGAGCCACTGGTTTCCAGGCTAGTGGTGCAGGTATGTTTGCAACCTATAGTTTTCATTTTGGGGGTTGAGGGTATGATTGCAATATGACTCCGATTGAATCTTGCCATGTTGTTGTCTAACTATAAATTGCACTTCCTAGGCTATTGCTTTCCATAGGCATTTTAAATTCCCTAGTATGATTGCCAGCTTTCAACTATAAAAAAAAATTGCAATCACTTTGTTCACGTCAGTTGTGTCTTGTCCTGTCTGACTTGTCTGAAGCCACTTTGTTATTTTTACTGCATTTTAGTTCAGTGTCCTCTGTTATAATTAGGGTTCGGAGTTTTCGGTTTAAACCGATAAAAACCGATAAAAGTACGCCGAATTTATTTTCGGAAATTCGGTTTTTACCGAAAAAGGTCAGTTTTTAGGTTCGGCATTTTTTTATTAAAACCGAAAAAAGTAGGTCGAATCAATTTTCTAAAATTCAGTTTTAACTGGAAAAGGTCACTTTGACCTTCCAGTCGTACCGCAGAGCCGTGGCGAAAACGTGGAACGACAGTGTCTATCGAAACGTGTCCGAATGTAGGGGATACACGGATGCCATCTCGACGTTTTGGAATAATGTGCGCATCATCGATCGGAACGTGAAGTCCGAAATGCCCAATAACTTCGCCATGTACGAGCGATTTCTCGAACTCGTTGTAAGGAAGACTGACTTGATGCAAGCTCTGCATGCTGTGTTGAGCTTCACAAAGTCGCACCGTCTCTCTTTCGGCGGTCACAATTGGTTGATTGGCCGATTTTGGCTCAGGCAGCGCTTCATCTCCTCAGCCTGCCAGTGTCCAGTGTTAGCGTTGAGAGGGCATTCCCGAAGCTCAGGGTCATATTAACAGGAAAGAAGGAGTGCGGATCAATGTGGAGAACCTGGGAACGTACATCTGGGTGTACTATTATAAGATAACATAATCCTGATGTACAGAAGGTGAATTCTATGTTTTTCGGGCATAGGCTTCATATCTGACCTGCTTGTGCTTCTCAGGTTTTTCCTTGTTTCTATTAGAGCTGCACACATTTGCCAAATAAAGTGTCCATTTCTTTTTCAATGTACCTGTGGCGTTATTCTTTGAGTGATCACAAATATCAGAGCTACAAGGATCATCCGATCCGGTGTCCGTTGGTTTTTATTTTATATTCACCGAAAAAAGCCGATAAACTTTTGTGGTCATAAATATACGCCGAAAAAAACCGAAAATTGAATTTTAAAATAAACACCGAAAAAAGTACGCCGAATTTCGAAAAAATAGAAACCGAAAACGCAGAACCCTAGTTATAATGTGCATTGCCTGTGCAATTTTTATTTAAATTTCTTTTTTATTTTTTTATTTTTGGGTGAATTTAGTTTCTGCTGGTGGGTCAGAGAAGCTCGCAGCTGAGGAAGGATCCACAACTTGAATTTGAATGTCAAAAGTTCTTTGGCTAGGTGTTGAGTATTTTGCGAAGCTCAGATAAAAGCGTGGCCACGAGGGCCAACACTGATTGGTTGACGGGTGGGAGAGGAGGAGTGAGGTGCTCGACGCTGATTGGTTTACAGGGAGGTCATGTGACCAGAGGGGTAGGCGAGAAGGAGTGAGTTAGGCAAGGAGGAGCTCGACCACCTGTGCGCACCGAGGGAGAGGAGCTCGCGAGTATGGAAGGCTCTAGAAGATCGGCCAGGTTTATCAGCTTGATTAGCAGTAGTATTGCTTTATTCTAGGAACAACTATCAAGTGTACACATGGTAAGCATTAAACTACCTGATGAAGAGTGCCTTGAACGTAGGCGTCTGGCAACTCTGAGTATTGCAAATCGTTTGTAATGCTAGAATGTTTCCTTGTACGCAACACTATTGCCTAGCAATTTGCCATCATTTTATGCTCCCATCAAGTGGTCACATTGATTGCTAGCTGCAAGAAAAGCAGCGAAAAATATTTACGATGAGGCAGTCGTGATGTGCCTGACATGGTACGGTAGTCCATCATACTCTCTTGTTTTGAAGTTGGGTTAATGGTGCTAATTATACGTCGTCTGTCTGTCTGCTTTGCCAGTTTCGGTGGCTTTTGTCATATGTTATAGTGAGCAATCAGTTCATCAGCTACCACATCATTGCATTCCAGTTGCTCAGTGGTTGCAGAGAAGCGGACTCCAAAGTTCACATTCTGCTGGCTGAATGCTTCGGCGAACTTGGCGCCATTGATCCTGGTCGGTAAGCACCGTTTTTTTTTTATCACACTTGACACGATGGCCCACGCCTTTAATTTTTCAATACTGTAAACTACTTTATTTTTCCTAGCCCAATATTTCGTGGATATTGCCGAGTGCACGTTTCGGTAGTTGTTTGCGGGCACAAAAGTTTGCGGTTTGGAATTGTATTCCATGTACTCTTTGCCATGGGGCAATATATTTGCGTGACAAATTTGTCGTGGAATTATATTTCGAATTGTGAAATTCCCAAAAATTATGTCCTCGCTAACATTAAATCGTTTACAGTACTCGATCAAGGTTTGGGAAGTTCACGCCTTTGGTTTCACCGTGTTTCGATTTGTCTGAGGCCTAAGTTCAAGTAAGGTCCAAGTTCAACCAAACTCCAAGCTCAACCATGTCGCAAGTCTAACTGAGTTCCAAGTTCACGATAAGCCTAAGTTCACCAAAGTCCCGGTTCGGCCAAGGTCCCGGTTCGATCAGATCTCAGTCCAACCAAATCAGTATGACTACGTACCAGTTAGACCGAAGTCCCAGTGTCACCTAAACGTCCACTGGTAGCGAAGTTTCAGACTTCTTACTGCACTGGAAGCTTCATTTCGTCGTAATTCGCTGTTTAATCTTGAATGAAAAAATCTTGCAAGTCCTGCAATGGTTGCTTCTTGGAGCTTGGAAGCTTATTGCGTGATGTGTATGTGTGTTTGAATGCAGGCTTGAGCTGAAGGCCCTCTCGACTGGCGAAGCGGTTGTGGTGCACACGGGCATAGACGACGAGAACTTTGCATACGACCTCCTTCAGCGACTCTGCCGGTCCTACCTGGCAGCGGAAGACAGCAGGGTTCAGGTGCGTCGGAAATCGTCTTGGCAGTTGTAGGCACACAGGTGACGTGTGCGGTGGGTTCAAAAAACGAGGTTATCAATTAACAGTATTGCTTATTTCATAGGTTAGTTATTTTGAAAACGAGTAAACCCATCTTGGTGTGTCGTGTCATTTGCCGGTAGTCCTCTATTGTACGATTTGCTATATTGTTACTAGTAATTCATAACAGTATCATTTGTGCACTGTATTCATTGACAGCTTAAGAAGCGTAGGGCATGGCAAGTTTTGAGCATCTTATTAGTGCTCTGTAACCAGCGAGATTTTAGCATCAGCCAATGCGAACACCAAAGAATGAATCGCTAACCAGGAAGGGTGAACACAATAGCCTACGCCATGGGTCTCAAACATGCTGCACGCGACTCTGGGATGCCGCCCAGAGAGTCGCAGCATTTCTATCGCCTCTTGTTTTGTGTGTTTTTTTGTCCAAAATGTTGATCTAATGTTGTGTGCCCTTGACATTTCGGGGGTGAGGTGTCTGGCCCCCACACTCAAATGAGTTTGAGACCCCTGGCCTACTCCATGAATTTCTTAAGCTATTAGTGATACTGTAGTAAGTATATCCTTTTAACATATACATGCATGATATTCGTACATCCTACGTAACTTGTCCAGTGAAATTTGCTATTCTGCTTTCTGACTCTTGATAGGAGTGTCGCCTGTCTGCCCAGAGAGAAGTCTCTTATTTTTCGTACATAATCATAATTATTTTTTAATAGTTTAGAAGGGGCAGTGATAATCCCGTGGCACTGTTTAGGTCCTCATTAACGAGTGTGGCTTGTTCTGTTGCAAAACGATCGTCCAGGACTGTTCATCGTATGCCATCCAAGAGGTGCTCAAGATCTACAACTGCAGTGACAGCCAGTCCAAATCGGGGCAGAGCCTGTGGAAGCGGTTTTCATCCGACGTCCAGGAGCTCTTCACACCAATGCTCAGCTCGAGGTACTGAGGAGACTGGACTTTGGATGCGTTCACGTTACTTATGGAAATTAATGAGGCATAGGTAGCAGAACTGGGCTATGCTCACAGCCTACATGCAACTGCATGAAACGGTCACTTAGTAAACTTGCTTGTTATGTGCGTTATATGCATACCTCGGCAAAGCTCACTCATGAGCGCCCTCACCATCACAGGTGAGGTGAGGGTGAGTGAGTGAGTTTCTGAACCAAGAAAATTCATGACTGTGAGGGTGAGTGAGGACTGTGAGGACTGTGAGTGTGTGAGGGGTATGAGTGCTTGAGGACTGTGAGTGCATGAGGGCCATGAGTGCATGAGGGGCATGAAGGTGAGTGAAGGGCTGAAGGTGAGAGTGACTGAGGATAAGGGAGAGTGAGGGGCTGAGGGTGAGTGTAGCTGTGAGGGTGAGTGAGGGCCTTAGGTGAGTGTGGCTGTGAGAGTGAAGGTGAGTGAGGGCGACCTAAAATGCTGACCTCTGGTTATAAGTGAGGCGACATTGGCACAAAGTGGGCCTTGTTGAACATTTAAAATGGTTCTGGCTTGTGATGACAATCCAGAACTTACTCAGCTGCCATGCTACAGTGGAACCTCTATTATGCGTCCCCGGTTTATGCGACATCCCGCATTTTACGACGAATTTGCCGGGTCCCGACGAACCCCCCACATAAATAGTGTATTAAAAGTTTGGTTTACATGACACGTGAGTCCTACGCGTCCCGCATCATAAGACGTTCCGGCGGGAAACGCACGACGAATTCAATGGCTGCATGAGGAGGCGGGCAGCGGCTCGGCAGTGCATAAGAGTTCTGTGTGCCGTTTCAGAGGGTAAGAAAACATGCCGCCGGCGACCAAAGTCAGCCGCAGCGCCGGGAGGGAGCGAGAGACAGCGCTTTCTATTCTCCCCGGGTTCTGAAATGCCCTGGCGTTTTCGCGTTGTGTCCTTGCTCCGCTCATCCCATCATTTTCTCATCTCTTGTTTACCCTCACTCTCCTCTGCGCTCCACTGTCTCCATCTCGTTGCTCCTCCCAGGATTGAGCACACTTCCGCTGGTTCCCGCTGCTCCAGCTTTCGGAAAGCGTGAAAAGCGACAAGGATCCCGTCGTCGCGATTGTGCACGCCAGTGAACGATGTCTCGCAAACGGGTACCTTTGTCAAAGAACAGCAGATTATTAACTTGGACATCATTTAAAACCTCCGCTTGTCTTTTTTTGGTGCAAAGCGGATAACTGTATGCGTAAATATAGTTTTTTCGGATGATACGACTCGTGGATTATACAACGATTTCGCGCGGTCCCGCAAAAGTCATAAAATCGAGGTTCCACTGTGATGGGTGTTCCTTGAAATGAAAAAGTTTTACTCCTGCATGCCTAATAAAATAGTAGAAGCATTTTTTGTAAAGTTGTATACAGTTGACTCTCATTAATTCAAACTTGCTGATAATTCAAACTAACATGCAGGTCCCATCCTGTGCACCTCTATGGGAGGAAACTCCTGATACAGTGTAGACCGCATATAACGTATGTCGCGGGAGTCGCGAAAATCCGCACTATAAGCGGTACCGCGTTATAACCAAAACATCTATTTTTCAGGCCAAAATACATGCCATGAGACAACTTACCTTTGTAAAAGAATTTATTTTATGTTAGATGAAAAATAAAGCTTAGTCTGAGGAAAGTCTTTATTTCACCAGACTAGTACAGTTCTGTCTCAAGTGTGTCACACATTTTGAAAGAAATTAGCGGCTTTTGCCTGGCGCAGCCTTTTAACGGCGTCGCGGGTTGCGGACGGACGTTGCGAGCGTTCAGGATTGCTAACCCTAATCACTTTTCTCCGGAGATGAAAACGCGTGAAAATTCGCATCCTTCATACGGTACGCGCCAGTAATACCTTGAACTTGAGCACACGCATGAAATGCGCCAAATAAGAAATCCGGGCGATGTACTGTAGTCGAAGTAAACAAACACGACGACACGGGCGTTTCTGCCGTCTCGAGAGCGCCGCCACGACATCGCCGCACGAGTAGGTGAATCTTCCCTTCTGGTACGTGCTGGGTTATCATAGCGACACACAACGAAAATTCACAGTCAAGGATAGCGCTTTTACGCAGAACGATGAGATGAACTCCGTCTACGACGACGATCACAACCGACACCATGTTTGCGGAGAAGCAGCCGGCCCGCGACCGGCACGCAACGCGCGCGAACACTTCTCCTCGATCTGCGATTGGTCTGTCGGTGCGGTTGTTTGTTTCTTTGTTTCCAACGCAGCGGAGGGACGCACGCACGTGTCGTGCGTCCCTCTGTCGCTACGGCGACTGAAGCCTCTCTCTTCGCTTCTCCCCACTTCTTCGAGCAACATCCTCGCCCCGCGCCGTCAGCGCCGTTATCTAGTGTCGCACAGGGAAGCGTGCCCGCTGCTCCGGTCGTCGGCGCGGTCGGCGGGCTGTGCCAAAAACCGCACTATAGCCGGTATTTCCCTTCGCGCGCCTGCATTTTAAGCGGTATGTAAATACATGGAGTTCTATGGGAGGCGAACCGGTGGTTTAAAAAAACCGCGTTATACCCGGTCCTGCACTATAAGCGGTTACGTTGTAAGTGGTCTATACTGTAATTCAAACTTTGCTTAATTCAAACAAATTTTCGGTCCCCCTCAAGTTTGAATTAATGAGATTCGACTGTACTCTGTTTCACAATAACTTGGTGAACTCTGGAGGCTGTTGGCCTCCGCATCCCAAAAAGAGCGTCGGGGCAAATCACGCGATAACTCTCCACGGTCGGGGTCACGGAGGCCTAGTTACCGCCACAGCAACAGCGCCGTACGCGACAAAAAGTAGTTCTACGTTTATTTTTCTTTTAACGGCAATGGAACTCGCACAATTCCATCTCTATCGAGAACATATGAAACATAAGGACTAAATATCGACGAATTTATGAGTTTTCCATATCTGCTCCCCGATTTTTTTCTTGTAGCGCCGTGGCTGTTGGTGATTGCAGCTGTGTAATCGACTGCTTCCGCTCACAACATCGCCCTAGCCTTAGTACTCGCCACAGATAGGCGGGTAAATTGAGTGTATTGTCTCATGAACTGTTCCCGAAGAGCTCGCTACCCTGGCGAACGGCAATGTTGCAGTGGTGGACGTTCATCTGAAGTTGGTTAATTTCGCAGCAGACTGCTCTTGGTCAGCAGACGACAGCCGTTTCCTTAACGCAGTGACACACGCGCTCCCGTGACGTGATGATACGTGCCTCGCTTCAATGCTCTTGTTGGGTCGCGGGGGCTCTAGCCTCCACAGTTTGTCAAGTTATTGTGAAACTAAGTATATGCAAAGTGTGTTATAGGCATATTTACTTCTTCAAATGTTTTGGACGTGTGCAGCTTTTGGCTCCCTGGTTGTAGCTTCCTTGGAATTAAAAGCTAGATTGAGGAGCAGCAGTGACTTCTAGAAAACTGTCTGTACTTGCATGGAACGTTCTGATTACGAGCTTTGCATCGATACGGTGCAGAAATCAAGAAGTTGTAGCCCTTCCTTTGCTCCCCTGCAGATACAAGGCCAACAGTGTTTCCGAGAAGTACCCCCACCCTTTGTTTGGGAGTGCCTACGGACCAAACTTCCGTGACTGGCTTGCAAACTGGACCCTCGACCTCTTGGACAAGGTAGCGTATGCTTGTAGCAGCACCGCAATAGCTGAAAAGAATGACGGTACAATTGAAGGTTGGTTCTGTGCATTAGTAGTAATTCAGAATCTTCTACCCCACATTGCTTGTTGCTCTTATGACTGAAAGATTTTACTATTGTTAATTAAGCAATACAGCCTTTGTAAGTTCAAGTAGGTGCTTGGTGTTTTCATTTTATAGTCAAGTCACTTATTGATGTTTTTTGTGTTTTTTTTTTCAGGTGAAAGAGAAGACTGCGGTGGATGTCTTTCGAGCGTGCTCACTAGTGCTCAAGAATGACTCAAGCCTGGCCCTCTTCCTTCTGCCCCGAGTTCTTGTCTGCGCGCTGGCGGATTCTGACCAGGCCGGCCGTGAGGAGGTGATTTCATTGTCCTTCAGTTTTCTTTCAATTCGTGGTTTGCTCTTATTGTTATTGAATTCATTAACTGCACTTCTTTTTCTTCAATTGATGGACTGAATGTAGTGCAAGTTAAGTTAAGAATGTGTGCATCTAGTTTGTTCACTGTTGTAACCGTTAATTAGCTTTCATTCACGTAGAAATGCCCCATGCATGTTGTTACCACCAGGATTGTATAAATTACTCCAAAAATGTGCCTAGGATAAAATTGCAGTTGGTAGTGTTCAAATGTACCTTGTGCCAGTGTTTCGTGCAAGAACGCCATGTCCCTGACATTTCATTCCCACGGCAATTGGGTGTTTACTTTCCAATTTGCCTGGGATGAAATGTTCATATCAGGAAATACTTGGACTGCAGTTTTTTTCTATCTAGAGTGTTGTGCAGATAAGAGCCTTTACCCATTTGCTGATGATACCAGAAACATACTTGTGGGAAAGTACCTTATAGCTATAGTAGTGTCTATAAAAAGACTGATATATACATTGTGTGAATACAGATTATAGAGAAGCACACTTGATGTATGATTGGGTGCTGACATGGTCATTTGAGGTAGTACTGATATTGTGAAGATACTGATACAGTCGGGCCCAATTATATCACACCCGGGTATTTTGAATTATTTGTATCGAACAGTCCAAACATCCCCTTGAAAATCACATGTAATAGTGTAAGAGCGTTGTTTTTCTCTATTGAACTCCCATGGCAAGGGCACTCGATATAGCGAATTAAGCATGGCCGCCCCTCACTTCTCTCAGGGTCGGATTGCCCCAGTGGGGGCTCTCGTTGCAGGGCTGGCAGAGGGGCTGGCAGACTGCCAAGCCAGCATATGCGCACAGGGATACGCAACAAAACAGCAATTGTAAAAAAAAAAAAAAAAAAAAAATGTGGAGGTTGGCAAAAGCAAGGGGAAGGGTACATGCCACGCGCTTAGGGAGGGCAGGGAATGCCCGCTGTTGGAACAGCAGCGTGCGCTCTTTCCTCGAGCACTGCTGTCGCTGGGTGACTCCTTAGCCCCAAAATAAAATAAGCAAAAAAAGAAAAAAAAAGTCTTTGTCAAGTTGAGTGTGTCGACAACAATGGTTGAGCAATCGCTTTTTGAATGCCTTACCCTTGTTTACCTTTTTCTTCCGCCGTTTTTTGCTTTGCCTGTTTTTCCTTTTTTTGCTTGCCTGAATTTAGTGAGGTTTCTTTTTTGTTGCTTGCTTAACTTTATTCTATGAATCGAGTTTTTTTTTTTATGCAGCTCGCTTTTTTCGTTCTTTTATTTCATTTTATTATTTTGTGTTTTGTTGTTGGCACTGTGTGGAGGTCGTGGCCCAGCGTAAACGATTGCAAACAACATCGCGTAAATGCGGCGGTGTTTGTGATCTCAACCAACTAAGCTCTACTGCATTAGGAGCTCTTAGAAACTCTATTTACTAAGGTCCCGTTTGTCGCGGCCTTCGGTAGTAGCAGAGACGCGCAGAAATTTCAACTGGAGCTTAAGTTAACATATTTTTGTATATCAAATTATCGATATATCGAACTATTTTACAATCCCGTTTGAATTCAATATATCCGGGTTCGACTTTGGTATATTGAATATATTTTCCTCGAACAACTTGGCTTTCTCATAGAAGATAGTTTGTGACATGTTAAGAGTGCTAAACATTTTATGTAATATACAATTACAGTTATCTTTTGTCAGTTACAATATATGTGTGTGTATAAAAATTTTTTTTATCAAACATAACTAAAGCAAACAACAGTTTGCAATACATTTGTATCTCAGGCACAGGAAGAGTACCTAATTACTGATTGGCAGCTGCTTGTGCCTACATTTGTATCTTTGGCACGGGAAGAGTACCTATGGCAGCTGCTTGTGCCTAGGTAGGTACTCTACGTCCCTGAGTACCCCCTGTGGTAAACGCTTGCATCTTCTGTTCCGTCTCGCCAGGTGATGCTGGAGGTGCTTACGGTGCTCCGGCACTGCGAGCAGACGGACGCCTCTGGACTTCACCACCTCAGTGCCCAGACAGTGTTCTCCATGCTGGACTACCTTGCAGTGAGGGCCAAAAAGTTCCGGAGTACGACGAGTGCCGGTCCGTCGTCTGTTGGCTATGGTTTGTTGCAGAGAATTTAGCATCTACTAGGTCTGTAAGAAAAAATTAAACCCATATTTTTTTTTTTTTTTTTTTGTCCTGCATAAATAAACTGTACATCGCAGAAAGCTGGAACTCCGTGCGTGTGATAAAAGGCAAAAGAGAAAAATGAATTTTCTCTACGAGTTGACACCTACCTAAGCTTAATAGTATTCGTTAAACCAGGAATTGGCATTGCGAATGCCTGTTGTGTCTATATCCGCAAAAAAAAAAATGCAGCAAGAAAGAAAACAATATTGTATTTCTTACTAACAAGTGCTTTTTTCAAGAGGAGACTTTTAAGATAATTGTTATAAAAGAACCGTTGTGTCCTACTTCCTACTTCAACTCTAATTTAGGAGACAAAATTATCTTTAGATGTTGTATGTAGTGCATATATTGATGCAGGGTTATTCACTGCAAAGGGCTACTGCTCATTAAACTCGCTTGCGCTAGCCCCCTGATTGTCTCATTTTTTCTGCACTGTAGCAGATTAGCAATGCATGTTTCCTACGGAAAACGCTAGATTGTTTGTTTTTTTCAAGCAGCTTTCTGACGACTGGTTGGAATGACCTCCTTTTGTGTGGGCAGCAGCGTTTGGTGATGAGATGGTTGTGTGTGTTCAGAGACACTTGTGCTGGGGGAGGAGGAGGCAGTCTTCACACGGAGCATCCCTCAAGACCTCCTGGCTAGGGTCTCCTTCAACTGTCAGGCCTACACACGCTCCTTGCTTCACCTAGAGACTTACCTGCACCAGCATCCAGCCAGCTTGCAGGAGCACCTAAGATTCCTCCAGGTGATTTAGTATGAGCCAAACCTTGAAACTTCAAGCAACAAAGGAGAGCTGTTCCTGTTGTTGGAAGTTCCACCTATCAGAAAACAAGAAAACCACTTTGGAGATATTAATGAGTATTTAGCCAAGCTTAATTTTTGCAGAAGTTTTACTTATTCTTCTTGAAGAGATTCTACTGCATTTGTGTAATGCATTTTTTTCGTACCCAGTTATTTGTAAACTTTCTGGCATCTAGCATGTTGACGTTCAAAGCTTGTCCGAGGCTGAAATTTCACGCCAGTCTGCTAATCTTCAGAGGATTGTGATAAACTTTGATGTCTGTGTCTTATTGCACATCACCCTAATACAGCATTCCGGTAAATAACCTTCAACATTGGTAAATAACCTTCAACAATGTACAACACCTTCATCTGGTGTTGTACATTGTCATCAATGCCGACACAGCCTGTCTCTGCTTGTTCAGGTTTATTAGGGGCGAAGCTCCTTAGGGTCTAGCCCTGTCCGTCCGGCGTCCGTGCTCACGACTATCTTGTTGGTGCTCGTGCTCGTGATCGTGATCGTGCTCGTGAGCTCACATGCTCGTGTAGAGCAAACAATGAAAAATGGTGAAAAAAAAAAAAAAAGTTTGCGCAGTCAACAGGATTTGAACCTGTGTGGGAAAACCCCAATGGATTTCTAGTCCATCGCCTTAACCACTCGGCCATGACTGTGGGACGAGTAGTAACTCAAAAGCTGGGGATGTCATGGATGAAACGTTGCATGTAGCCGCTCAACGTCTATACAGGAGAGGGCACTGCGGTCAAATGCATATATAATTGCGTTAAGCTTTGCATGCATTGACTCAATGTTTATACATAGACGAGAGGGCGCTGTGGTCAAATGCTCAAATGCGTATATAACCACATTCCATACCACACATTCTCTTTCTGACATGGATGAAAACGAACGAAATGCACAGCTGCTACGCAGACAAGCACCACCAGAGCTTCGCCCCATTCAACATCGTTCACCACGTGGAGATGCGGTCAAGTTTTTTGTACGCCGTGTGGCACAGCCAGTGTGAACATTACGTCAACACTTTTGCATTTTTCACAGGTGGGGCATTGACGCAAGTTTGTGCTAACGACGTCGTGTTGCATTCAGTTGTGCTGCATTTAGCGTTAATTACAGTCATGTCTCGTTATTATGGACGCCTCCGTTCCCCAGAAAAATCGTCCATAATGTGAATCGTCCATAATAACGAATCAAGGTCAAAAACACAAACATTAGGTAATAATTGTTAAAAAAAAGCATTGTTTATTTCGCAAAGAACGAGGAGATATGAGTTTGCACTGACGCTTTCGATCCCACTTTAGTGTCCAAAAAGCGCAACACTTCGGCCACTTGAAGTGCACGTTCTCCGTCCCCCTGCTGCTCAAGGTAGGCGATCGCTGTCTCCAAGCCACGGCGAGCTTCACATCGAGTAACGGTTGGTCTCTCTTCTTCATCGTCTGTTTCTGTCGGCGCAAAGTTTTCGACAAGTTGATGGCCCTGTTGAGCGGATTCACCGACAAGCTCCATGATCTGCTCGTCGCTCATAGGCTCCCAGCTGTTAGTCTCTTCGTCTATGTCCAAGAATGCCGATGCCTCTTCATCTGGGTTTTTCTCCCCGAGTTGTCGAAGAGCTTCACGAAGGGCCGCGAGCGGAAGTTCATCCATCGGATCCTCCACCTACATAGCAGAGCTGTTAACAAGAATACCTGCGTGACGCCAGCAGTTCACAATGGTTTGAGGCCTCACCGCGTCCCACGCCCTCTTCAGCTTTTGAAGGCACCACCTCAAGTCAACAGTTTGCGGTTTGTTGTCTTCCGCGCAAGCGATGTAGTGCCGCACAAGTTCACCTCTGTAGTGTGCCTTAACCGCGCGAATAATTCCTGCGTCCAAGGGCTGTATTTTGTCAGTCATGTTGGGTGGAAAGAACTTCAAGGTAAGGTTTTCATAGTCCGCACAAACAGAATGGCATGATGCGTTATCAACCAACAAAACAGCCCTCCTCTTCTCAGCCTTCAAGAAGCGGTCGAATTTTGCCGAGAAGATTTCAAATATCTTTCCTGTTATCCATGCTTCCTTGTTGCAATTGTAAGAGCAATACATGTTCGGGTCAAATGTCTTTCCAAAACATCGTGGTCGCTCCGCTTTTGCCACGACAATGGGCTTCCACTTGTGGGTGCCGCTCGCGTTGCACAAGAATCCCACCGTGATTCTCTCTTTGCTTCGCTTGTTTCCAGCCACAGGTTCAGATGCCAGAGTCGAAGATGGGCCCAACTTGTAAAAAAAACCAGTCTCGTCGAAGTTGTAAATATCATCTGGAGAATACTGAGCAAGAAATTCCGCAAGCTGTTTCCGAGCACTGGCAACGGCGGCTGTATCCACGCTTCCACTCTCTCCATGAATACTGTGGCTTGAAATTCCATGCCTTCTCTTAAACCTGCTGAGCCAACCCCTTGAGTAGTTCAGGTCATGAATGTCTGCATAAAGACGTGAAGATTGCAGACATTAAAATAAAACCACTGAAGAGAGAACAGAAACAGTTATTTTAACGTAGATGCGTAATTGCACAAGAACGAGCAACTAGAAAAATCATTAGAAGAAACAACATTTTTGGGGAGGAATGCGTAACATTTTGAGAAAACATTTTCAAACTCGGTGCTTAAAAAGATACGCTCAGAACTCACTTACCCATCGTTGTGCCGAACTGCTTCGCCTTTTCTTGCAGCATCTCGTCGCTGACGGCGGCCCCTCTGGAGCGCATTTCCGCAAACCAGATGTTGACGGCCTCCTCCAACTTCTCAAACTTTGGGGGTCGCTGCCGGCAGGAACTGGAGCTGGCTGTGGGAACGCTCATCCATTTCTTTGATTCTTTTAGAATTGCGTGGACTGTCGATTTTCCGAGATCAACGCCAAGGTTTTTTCCACTCCACTCTTTCACGTAGTGAACAGACGCTGAAGGCTTTTCAATTTTGAATTTGCATATCTCTTTTTTCAGCTGAGCAGAAAGCTCTGTCCGTTTACGCTTAACACCTGCCATCGTCTCCACCTCCGAAATGACCGGAGGAGCGTCCAGCCCTGCCTCTTGCCTCTTATGCACAACGAATGTGATTCATCACGTATGCCAACCCGGAAGGAGATGGCATACGTTTAAGCTTAAAAGACAAGAAACAAACAAACAAAAAAAAAAAACGACCACCTTCAGGCGCGCAGCTCTTATCTCAAGGGCGGAGGACAATAGTGAATTCCGGGTACAAACTGTGACCTCTACGATTCACTAACCTTTTCTTCTGTCGGGTATGTGGACTCGCCTTCAAAGTAACCAGGCGGGGAACAAAAAGGCAATGGTGAATTCCGAGTAGTACACACTGGGGTCACTAATATTTTTTTTTCGTGGACACGTGTCCATATTAACGAGACAAAAATGCCTGTATTTTCCCGTTTCGTCCCCAAAATAGCCGTCCATAGTCCGGACTGCGGGTTTCTGTATTAACGGGGCAGAATTGCATGGCGGGAGACCGGTCGCCGAAAATTTCGTCCATATTGCGGGGTGTCCCGATTAACGGGGTCCATATTAACGAGACATGACTGTATTAAAATATTTTACAATTATATTGTGCTTGTTTCTGTTTGCAGAAAATCTATGTGGCCTTGGACGAGCCAGACGGCATTGCTGGCGTGGCAGCAGTTCGCAACGGCCGTGCTTCCCTCGAAGATCAGATCGTGGAGCATCAGGCCATGGGTGAGTGAGCCTCTTGTCACACAATCACCTGAGACAGTCACATAACCACCTTTTGAGTTGTGATGCTGGTTGCACATCGTTATCTTTTGGATGAACCTCTTTTCAGCGAATGCGACTGTGGTGTTTGATTTCTTTGGATGTCTTACCTAACCTCCCCTAAATAGGATGACTTTCTTTTTAATGGATGCAGCCCTTGCATCTCGGGGATGTTGGTACTATTGTTGGTTTGAACCTGCAGACAATTTTTCCGCAGTCTTTAGTAGCCCACGTGTTTGGGGATTGTTGGGTGTTAAAACGATTGTTTTATCGCAGAATGTGTTCTAGGGCTGGTTTTTAAGCCTAGAGCCTCACAAAATGTGGAAAAGAAAATAGGATAACCTGGCTAGTTGTCTTTACAAAAAACCCCACTCAGCAGCCTGATTATAGCTGCTATATATATGCTTGTGTTCTCACAAATATTTGTTGTTTTAATAGTGGAAGGAGCTCTAAATAAGGTGAACCGTCCGTTTCTACAGATTTCATTTGTAGGGTTAGGATACATTTAAATTTCCCTCTGGCATCTTCTGGATTACCACGTACAAACAATGTTAAATGTCGTTCTTGCCATCTCCTTTGCCCTCCGCCTTGTAGTTCCAATACTCACCCTCCAGAGAACCCTAGTTTTTAAAACGATGGTTTAGGAGTTAGTTGTTTGACCTTGGGTTTGAGCATGTGACCTTGGGCTTGCAGGCAAGCTGCAGGATGCCCTTGCCTGCTACGAGCGTGCACTGCGGCTGGAGCTACCCCAGGCGTCCCGCCATCAGGGACTGCTTAGCTGCCTGCTTGGTCTGGATCAGCCCAGTACGGCGCTGACCCATGCGTCTGGACTGCTGGCTCAGAGGTATCGTCAATGGACACGCCTCCCTTCTCGATTTACCTTGACCAACTTTTAGGAGGGCCTTCAGATTGCATTTGGCTTTAGCTTTTGCCTTGGTTAGCTGCATGCCATACACTAACTTAGACACTTTTTTATTTGGAGCAGATTTAGTGAAACTGCTCATGTCCCAAACACCCTTTCTTCTCCTATAAAATGTTTCAACTTTAGAAGGTATCTGATGTCTTGAGATGTTTTTAGTGTTAGCTTTAAATGTGTCTTGTTTTTTTTTAGCTATTTACTTTTATAAGCCTTTCTGTATATAGTGCGAGACTGTTAGCACAAACAAATAAGCACCTTTTTTTTTAGATTATTTTTTTTAGAATGAGAAGGCTGGTCATTGAAGCTAACAGTGTGTTATAAAGTGCTCATTTGAGGCACTAACCTAAACTGTTGAATTCGCTGTGAACCTTCAACATGGAATGCAAAAAACTGCCAATGTCCTTTTCGTGCCAATAATGTCGTGCAGTCTACATTGCCTGTGTCCCACGCTGCGTGTGGTTTGAAAAAAAGTACAATATTAGTAGAGGAACCGGGTGTGGCTTCCCATTTCATTATCAGTGATTGTTTTTTTTTTTGTTTTTTTTGCAAATCTACGCTTCTGTTTTTTTTTTTTTTTGTTTTTTTGTGAATGGTTTTGCATTAAATAGGCAGACATTTCTTAATGTTTCTGGCGATTTCTGCAGGAGCGACTGGCTTCGAGACATCAACGAGTACCGTGTAGAAGCGGCTTGGCGACTGAGCAGTTGGGATTCGCTCAACGAGTTCCTCCAGGCACAGGCGAGTTTGCTTCTCAAAAACATACCTCACAGTTTGTTTGGAGTCGCTTTATTTTTAGCCTTAATGTAGCATTCACTTTATACTGCTTGCCATTTTACATTGACAGTCTGGTTTCGTTTGGGGGTTTAAATAATGACTGTAAGCTGGGACCCCCCCCCTTTCCTCAGTTAACGCCGTAACATCCCTAGTCGCCGCCTGAAATTCATTAAAAAAAAAGCGGGTGGGCCACGTTTCACCGGGTAAGTGCAAGTTTAGAAAAAGCTATAAGAACGCCCATTTTTCTGTACGTATCTAGCATGGCTGCGCAGGAGGTACATTAAAAGTGGACGAGCAAACAGAAGGAAAGAAACTCTCCCTCAGTTTCTTTTCTCCATTTGAGAAAGAAAGAGACCCTTGTCCTTCCTGCGTGAAGTAGCTCAAAAACCCACTCCTGTGGGAAGAGGAGAAGGAAAGAGAGCGAGAGTGAATGGCAAGAAGGAAACGTGGAATCAGTTTTCTGCCCGGCAGAAGACAATTCTGCAGGTCGGCCTTGAAACCTTTAATCTCAAATTAGTTTAATTGTTTCACACAAGAAATGCTTATGAAAGAATGTTGTACTATTGTGAAGTCCATTGCTTGCACATGCACAATGAAACCTGTCAGTCGGCACGCAGCGCGAGCGCTTGTTCCTTGAAAGCGCGTTTCTAGCACCACTATCTTCTCATCGTAATTAAAAAAAAAAAAGGTCAGCAAGAAAATATTAAAACCAACCAGGGGCAACGAGCGAGTGAGCAAAACAAGCGATGCTGGGGAAGTGGGAGAGCCGTCGATCATACTTTGGTGTCGGGCCAAATTGGACACCTTGTGCAACTTTCTTGTTTGCTGCACGCATGCGTCCGTCCGTGCGTGGTTTGCTATCGACGCGGATTGAAACGGCATCGCTGCACGGCGTGGACTGCACCACGAACACGGAGCTCGAAACGGGACGCTATACAAGCCTCTGTGTGCGGCGTTCCCGCAAATCTTCATTTTCCCGTCGGCTTTGTCTCAAACATTGCACAACCTTAGCAAGTGTGGTCGCAACATTCTGGGAGAATATATCTGCGGTGACCCTATTTTGACGGAGACGGACTTTGACCTTACACTCCGCGGTTACGTTCAAGGATATGGGTGTTCGCTGAAACTCGCGGTGCCTGAATGGGTTGCTGCTTGTGTTATCTTTTCAAATTTTTTTTTTTTTTTAATAAACTTTGTGAGCACTACAAAGTTTTATTATGTTATCTCCATTGTTTTCCTTTCGCACGTATGTACTCAGATTTCGGAGTCGCGGAAACCGGGGAGGAAATGCGTAAACAAAGTGAAGTGTCTTTCCCTCCTTCATTTTACTTTGTTACGGACGTCCTCAAACTGTAAGGTCCGCGGCCATGTTATTCGGGTAGGATGTATGTTTGCGGATCGCAGAGTCCTTGTTGGGGCATTTGTAGGGCCAGGCGATCACTGTGTTTTTTTTTTTTTTTTTTGGAAATCGATATTTGCCCGAAAAGTGGGATGGGTGATGTCTTGGGTAGGGGCAATGTCTCGGGATATTGCCACACGTGTCTCTGAGCAAGCGCTCCCGTGGCCGAATGGTTATCGGGCTTGACTCCTATGCAAAGGGGTCAAGGTTCGATGCCTGGGAGTGGAAGCACCTTTTGTTATTTTTGTAAATGTCGCGTCCTGGTAAATTTGAGAACCTTGTGGCTTGTTTGAGGACCGAATGTCACGAATGACAATTGACAAGGTGACGAACAAATGAAGAAATCTAAATGTTTGATGCGGCGAACTTGTGCCCAATACAAAATAGAAGAAGGCTAGCGTCGCAGGCGTCGATGTCGGCGAAACGGCAGGATCGGGCACTGGGGTGACACTGACTCCGGCTTGCCACGCGGAGCCCCTTGTGTTCACGCGTGGGCTTCTGGAACAGTTGGCGAAGAACATTCGGTCCTCGAACAAGCAAGAGGGTTCTCGAATTTACCAGAAAGCGACATTTACAGAAATAACAAAAATGTCAGTTTTCAGGCTTCGAACCTCGGCCTTTTTGCTTGGGAGTCAAGCACAATAACCATTCGGCTACGGGCGCGCTTGTTCGGAGACGTGCATAACAATATTACGGCAAGCCTCTTTCTTCAAATTCACAAATCGCACAACTCTTCTCTGATTCGACCGATTTCCTTTATTCTTCTAAATTTCAGCGATGGTGAGAAAACGTTTTCTTGTGGGAAACAATAAAAGTATGAAAACTTAGTTTTAAGCAAATCATTTGAGCACTCAGTAAAAAATAAGACTATGAAATCCAAGAATTTTTCCAAGACCAGTTTGATTGAACCTTCTTTATTTTCGGTCTAACTTTAAAGTAATCACTTCTTTCGTTTAAATGCTATGTGACTTGACAAACATTCTCATATGGGATGCATTGGAAGCGCACAGCTGACACATACTATGATAAGGCCTACCTGGGTTGAAAAAACTAAGATAGTTGAAAAAAATGTTTTGTTCCTGTCAGGTCCTTCCTCACTCCATTTGAGTTAGATAACTTTGGTTTCTTTCAATAAAGTGTAAAAACATCCGCAAAAAAAAAGTTCTTTTAAAGGAACACTATATCAACTAAATAAATATCTCGCTTGATGCTGGAGGACAAGTAAGGAAATAGTATAGTGCAGCATGCTCAAATTGACCCGCAAATGCCCCTCTTATTCAATGGCTCTGCACAGCTCAGAATGATTCGGTTGTAAAAGTTTCCCCCATTAGTTTAAGGGTTTAGTAGAACATTTCGTCAGGTACGGTGAAGCTCGCTCAACGATTGGTGTACCTTTTGTGCCCAGGAGAATGTCCCTCAAGACTCTGGGAACAACTGGAGCAGTTGGGGTGTTGCCACTGGAAGGATCCTTCTCGCTGCCCACAACCTGGTGAGCACTTGAAACTATACTCAGCACCAACCGGCTACGTTGTCAAGACCAGCTTAGTTTCTGCAGTGCTCCAACACAGTCAAAGCTACGCTTGTGTAGTGTCTGTGAACACTGATGCACAGTGGGGTGTGTATGGTTCACACCTATGCCTCAGTGCATGATTCGGGTATGCTAACATGGTGCCTAGACTGGGAAAACGCTTTGAACCCCGGGAATTACGATCTGCCAGTGCGTCCCGTCTCCCGACAGCGGTTGTCGTACTGATAGTGTCCCTTGCACATTGCAGCACGAGCAGTCGTTTGTGGAGAGCTTGGCGCAGGCTCGCAGTCACCAGACGAGCCCTCTGGCAGCGGCAGCCATGGAGCAAGAGGCGTACCAAAGGGGATACCATTATGTTCTCAGGTAGCTCTTTGAATCTTTGAACCCCCCCTCTGTAATGCCCAAAAGGGTCCTTGGGGTAAATGAATAAATGAAAAGAATGGATGCATTGCTGTAGGAATCTGTGCTCCCCGACACTCTGTTTTCTAATTCTAGTTCTAGTCACGAAAGACTGTGTTTTTCTTTTGTTTGTTTCTCACAGCATTTTCCTGGAAGCAGCAAGTAAAGCACAAAAAGAGACATGGCCAGTCTTGACATTAACACCTCAGTAGTATATGCAACATTATAATACATAGAATGCCAAAGGAGGGATACAGACAGAAACCAAGTAAGAGTAAAATGGCAGACACGAGTAAAGTAAAAGTAAAATGGCACATAAAAGTTACCATTTTTTGTGTAAAAAACATTATGATGGTACACTTGTTATTTCATTGTTTAGTGAGCCCAAATGGCTTTTAAGATAAATGAACATAATAAGGTAAGGTAACGAGACGAGACGAGGTAAGATAATATAAAATAAGAATAAAATGGCACATACAACTCATCATTTTTTGTTTAAAGAACATTATGATATTGTTTCATGAATGTTTAAATTTTAAAAATGACGAAATTGGATTTTCAGGCTCCACATCCTGACAGAGGTGGAGAAAGGTTTTGGCGTCCTTCTGAACCTAGATGCGAGCAGTGACAAGGAGGAAAAGCAGACGGCAGTGACATCTCTTCTAGACGTCTGGAAGTCTCGCAAGAGCCTGGTTCAGGTGTGGTACCGTAAAAACTGCATCTATCTTAGGGTGGAGCTCCCTTTTGCAGGAACAATTGTCACATATCTGTGGTGCAAAAAATTATGCCTCTCAAAGATGACATAACAACTTGCTGCCCTGTCGTGTCCTCACCATGCATTGTTCTTTCGACATGTTTGCAAATTTTGTTCTTGTAACGGATGCTCCTCAGACACATGCTTGTGATATGTCCTTACGACGCACTGCTCTCATAACACACTGTTCTTGTGACAGACTGTGCTCATAACAGACTGTCCTTTTGATGCTGTTTTTGCAACACATTGTTCTTGTGACACAGTGATTTTGTGATGTGATGTTCCTGTGACATGCTTTCCTCTATGGCTCGCCATTCTCAGTACAAATTACCCTATTTACAGGATTGTAAATCAACCCCCATATTGCACGTCAGCAAAAAAAGAAAAGAACTTTCAGTTTTTCTACTTTGGCGAAGAAGGAAGACCAGCGAAGCTGTACTATGGTGGGAATGAAGTAATGGCCGGCCGCAAGTTGGCAAGCTAAAGTGGAAAGGCTGGAAAGGTTGCCGCCATCGCTAATAGATGGCGGTAGCTGTCCAGAGTTTTGTGCCGAGATTTGTTTACCCACGGACACGATACTGGGGAAACGAGCCCTAAACGACTCCGCCGTAAAAAAATCTTCAGAGGCACACTTTACGGCGAATGCGCGAGAGCGGCAGGGTACCTCTTTCGAAAGCCCAGCCTCCAGCACGCCATCGATGCCTTCTGGCGTGCTTTGGCTGTGCATGGACGCGCGAGGCGCATGAGGTTCCCAGGCGCTATCGAAACTAGGAAGTTCACGCTGGAGGCGGGACAACTAAGGCTGCTCCCTCTTGTTCTCACTCTGTCCGCGACTAGAGACTACGATTCGTCCGCACTGGTGCTGTTGTTCGCGTCGTCATCACTGCTACGTTCTCAAAGCACGTCATTGGCGTCGTCCAGCGAAATCTCGCACTTGGCAAATGACAGCATCAACCGCATTCTTCTGCACTTGCTCAGCGATCGCGTTGCACGTCACGGGTAGGAACCGATTGTGCACTTCTGCGGCGTTTGTTGCAAGCCTGGCCTCTTAATTCCGGAAGGCATTTCAACCTATCCAGACTTTGGCCCACCGAAGCCTCTTCGTTTGCCGTCGCAGTTAAGATCCCGCGCCGTTGCAGACTACTGTAGCACCACCCGCTCTGCCGAGTCAAACTTGTGTCCAACAGCGCAGTTTTTGTTTCTTCTGGGTGAACAATGACTATAAACGAGCACCGAAAACCTAAACTGCCCGGATCAGCGTGTCAATACAAAAAAACATAGTTGGCCCTCCAGCATGATCTCGACACTCTATCAAACGATGTGCCACCGTGAATAGTACGAAAAACTGCGAAAAGAAGCCATGGGGAGTGAGACACGAGGCTTTTCTACTGGCACTTCCTGAGTGGCTCTTACATGAAGTGCCGCCATCCCCGGGAGTCGGATGCACCATGCGCTGTTCTCCGCCATACATTCAAGCTAATTTGCGAATTGCTATCAATAATACTCGTTTGCGCAAAAAAAAAAAACAAAAAAAAACTTTGTAAAATGAGCGCACAGAATAGCGCAATGCCACCAGTACAGCCAGCTGAACTCGTCGAGGTCTTCTTGATATCACTATCGTTTCGTTTTTGTCGGCGGTGGGATGCTTTGGTTCGATTAAAAGTCAAACCTCCCTTTTCAGATTTTCAAAAATTGAAAAATGGGTCGATCTACACTCTTGTAAATAGGGTATGCTCATGACACTGCCTTTGTGACTCCAGTCCTTGTGACATGCTGTCTCTTGGCACATCAGTCCCATAACATATTTCTGTTTATGACTTGTGATCAGTGCAAGACACTATCCTCGTGACTCGTTTTGGTGGTTTATTGTTCTCATGGTACGTTTTTATGCCCTACACTCCCTTGTGGTATGGTGTAATAGTACTCCGGAATGACATTACATTTCTAGCACTGTGCCGAATGACAGTGTTGTGTCATTTCAGTGCTCTCCACTCTTCATGGAGCCCCTTCTGAATGTCCGGAGGGCATTATTGACCATTGCAAGGGACAAGCATCATGACCTGGAGGACCTCTTGCAGACAGAGCTGGCCAAATGTTGGCTGCAAAGTGCCAAGCTTGCCAGGAAGTGAGTTGGACTGTTTTCTTTCTACAACTACACTTTTGGCGAGAGTGATGGGAAATCATTTATTTTGAAGGAGACTATGGGTGAATGAGTAATGGCTTGCTCATTGCAAACGTCTTGTCTAACGATCAAATTTTGTACAACTTGAGGGTTCGCTTTTAGGATGCTCTTATTATGGTGCAATAGCGTCTGTGTACCAGTAAAAACAATTTACAACAGAAAAAATCTGGAGCTACTAAATGTGAAAATTTTATATTTTGTGTAAATGGACTTCACTAAATAGTAGTGGGATTCGACTGGATTTGTATTGGTGCCGATTCCCGAACAGATCAACGGACTAGCAACAGCTTTGTTTGGTTCGGCTGAATTTTGGTTGGACATTTGGTTGTTCATTGCGGCAGTGTCCTCGCATTAAAGCTCTCTTTGTTTCTGTCTCGTTTCATTTTCATAACATAACAAAGGACGGGACACCTGCAGCAGGCCTACAGCTGCTTGCTCGAGACAGAAATCTGCGACTTGCCGGACGTGTTTCTCGAGAAAGCCAAGTGGCTCTGGGCCAAGGTGAGGGAAATAAAGCAATGTTTAGGATTTATTGCACTCAAATGTCCTAGGTTGGCATATAAACCCTTTGATTGCCGGCATATTTTTTCCCGCACGCCGAACACAAATTTTGGCCTCGGTAACACTGTGGCATGCTCTGCAAAGAATATTAATTTATTGAAGATACAATGTTTCATGGGAAAAAAGTTTATTGATCTCTGAGTGCTTCCAACCTACGACATTTTTCTCGCGTTACACTTTCCGAGACACGGTACCACGCAGTGGCACCTTGACTTTGCACTCCAAGGTCACTATTTTGAGTGGACTCTTTCTGCCATTTTTTCTTCGGAACTGTAACTTTCGTGTTTTTACGGTCGTCAAATACAGAGTTTGTCAGTATTTTCTAGATCTCGGTGTTCGCCATGAATCGCAAGGTCGAACTACATAGACTCACCGTTCCGTAACAGTGGGAGAGCGTACCGAAACAGAGGTCGCCTAAAAGGCTCTTTTACGTGCCATAGAAAAGTGACACAATAACATAAAATATTGCTTTCTACACCTGCTCATACGTAGCGCTACACATAAAAAAAAAAAAAAAGAAATTGACAGCCCAGCTGGGAGTATTAGGGAGAAAACCGAAACTGAAGCCACATGGGTGTGCACAATAACATAAAATATTGCTTTCTACACTTGCTCATACGTAGCGCTACACATAAAAAAAAAAAAAAAAGAAATTGACAGCCCAGCTGGGAGTATTAGGGAGAAAACCGAAACTGAAGCCACATGGGTGTGCACAATAACATAAAATATTGCTTTCTACACCTGCTCATACGTGGCGCTACACATAAAAAAAAAAAAAAAAAAAAATTGACAGCCCAGTTGGAAGTATTAGGGAGAAAACCGAAACTGAAGCCACATGGGTGTGCGTCCCAGTATACGCGAGAATGGCACTCAAGGGGTTAAAGAAAAACTAAAACACTTCTTGAAAAAAAAAAAAAAAAGAGTTGGAGGGGGATTTTGGCATATTTTTATTCCGTAAATCTTAATATCACGTTTGTTTTCCCCATAGATGTAACTAAACGTGAGAAAACACTAAAAACCTCTGGCCAGTCGTGGCGTCATACTAAGATCTTTGGGCCGCCAAGCGCGTGTTGCTCGTGGGGGCAGCGCTTGCTATCGTAAGCTTGTCAGGTGTATTTTTCTGCACCGATGCCAATCATGACGTCTATTTGTGACCTTTTTCGAAATAGCAAGAGTGCGCGTGCATAGCTTTGACAGGTGCTGAAGATGCGCGAGAGCAGGGATTCCGAAAACTCCTGGTATGATGCCACGCCCCAGGAAGGAGGGGCTTCGGCGGTACTTTAAAAATTAATTTCTGCAGCTTCCGTGCACCAAACTGAAAAATAATCTCGTTATTTGTGATCCTGGAGGCCGAATGAAGACGATTGAGGTGTTTTTCCTCAAATACAGAACCGCTTCAGTTTCCGTTTAAGGTGACTGTTCTCTTTCGTGGTGGTGCAGGGTGAGCGGGAGCATGCCCTCAACGAGCTTCAGAGGGGCATAGGACGCCACTTCTCCAACCTGACGCCGAATTGCAGCGGCGACCTGACCACAAGTCCCGAAGACCGCTACGTTTGTGCAAAGGCAAGTCGAGCGTGCGAGCCAATACTGGCGTCGAAAGTTGTCGCCTAATGTCTCGTCATTCGAGTGTGAGTCGTGCTCTTTCGCTGGAGGTTTCTTTCTTGCCATTTGAATGTGGGAAGAGCATGAAGATGAGCCTTTAAGATAAGGGGGGACGAGGGTCTTTAAACAACAAAAAATTACAAAATTGTTTTGAATTTTTCAAAAATCACAATTTTGAAACCTTATTCAGAGTGGAGGGCGTGCTGATATGGATAATATTAATCATGGGAAGAACACAAAACACAAGGACGGACAAGACGATTTCCCAACTGGCAGCAGACGTTTATGGCTCGAGTATCTCTCCACAAAATATGATTGCTCATTTCAAGGAGAGACTTGAGAGTGATTTGCTCTACTTCTTTCTTTTTCGTCCAGTACCAATACCTAACGGGGGTTTTGACACTGTTCTCCTAAATGGATATCGGGCAACTTGCATCATTGTTTTCTGCAATAATTGAATTGCACCCTAAAGCTTTACTTATTGCCTACACTCGATAGGTAAAAAGTAATTAGCAGCCACTGAAGGTAATTATTGTCCCATTTATTTTATTTTCAGAATTTGGATTTTTTTTTATATTAAATAACACTACTTTATAAAGATTCCGTTAGCTTTAAGCTGTGGAAATCACAATATGCGGTTAGAAGGAAAGATTTTCAGCAAGATATTACCCTAATGACTTGTAAGAAATCAAGGCCCGTTCACGCACTTGCAACCTCTTAGAACCGAGTCCCTTGGAACCTCTTAAATCTCTTACGACGAGAGGACACACTGGCGCCATCTATTGGGTAGCAGTGTAAACTTGGTGGCCTGGCATATTTTCTATTTCTCTCGCGCATTATCCTTTCTTTCTTGGCTCAAAAAACTTTTGTCAACATTATAAACGAGCCTTTCTCCTAGGTATTACGCACATTTGACCTCGGAAATCCTGCAAAACCTTCGCTCTTGCGAAATGCAGTTTCAGGGTCATTGCATAGATGGCGCCAGAATGCCATTGTGTTCCCTTGTCCTAAGAAATTTTAAGAGGTTCTGTAGGTCTCGTCTTTTTCGGTTGTACTCGGTTGAAATTGTACACTGCAAAAAAAGTTTATTTTGAAAAATGCCATATTTACATCCACCAACATCTAGAGAGTGTTCCCAGAAAGTTTCATTAGTTTACACTGCATAGTTAATTTTTTATAAATTATTTTCGGTCCACCAAAGAAAAGATAGGGGTCAGAGCACTTTGAACACATATTTTATATTTTTGTACCACTTTTTCGCATAAATTTCACTTTAGGAAAACTGTCGTTCGGTAATGAAACAAAAGGAAAGACTCACTCATTTTTTTTTAACTGGAATTTTGTTAGCAATGCGATTGGGGAATTGTGTTTTGACTTTGTGGATATCTTTTATAAAAGATGTTAAATTTTGTCGACGACATAAAAGGCAAAAAATTTATTTGATTTTTCACTGCAATGTTAGCATAAAATAAATTACTTTTAGGAAATTTTGTTTTCACAGTTGCACTCTCCAGGCATTCTGCTGCAGATCTAGTGAAAAAATACATTAGGTGTTGTATTATTTTTCAAACGTTTTCCTGTACAAAGTCAGTGTGTTCTTGATAAAAACAACTATAAGTTATTTTACAATTCATGTACACATATGAAACTTTGCACTGCATTCTGCCCCACAATGGCCAGTATATACTGTAAATTTCATTCATATTAAGCCAAAAGGTTCAAAAGTTGACCCCCTTGGGTAGTGTCCCCCCTTAAAAACCTTTTAAAATTTCTTTCGCCATCTATCCGGTAGGCGTGAAACACTTGCAGTTTGCTCATGCTTCCTATTTTTTCCATTTATCCATCTTTCTTTTTTGGCTCGAAAATTCCGCAAAACCTTCGCTCTGGTAAAATGCAGTTCCGGGGTCACTTTGTAGATGGCACCGGCGTGCCTGCGTGTTTTGTCATCGTAAGCGATATCAAGAACTCGGTTCTGAGCAAACGCAAGTGTGTGAACGGGCCTTAGATCTTCCGCAACGTAAGATTGGCAGTAGATGCTCCACCTCCAGTGTGAGCTTTCTGCCTTCGATCATACTTCATCGCGTGCGAGGCCAACCGTGCCGGCAAGGAGCACGTGCCGTTTCAATCTGAACGAGCGTCGTACCGACGTGCGCTCGTATGCTACGTGATCCCTACTGCGTCAGAGAGCCTGGCTTAACAGTCGTACTGCACTGGCCAAGTTTCCCATCTATAGTGGAGACGCCAGATGCCATTTCACGGCGGGCTAACTTCCTAAATTTTCCTGCAACCAATGTGGCTTTTTTGGCTGGCGAGTGGGTGTAGATTTAATTCCAAACGGAGACTGTGGTAAAATGACAAAGACCTTGTCTTTGGGTTGTCCTTCTTGTTCTTATCCTGTCCATGCTTGTCTTTTGATTGGCATCTCCAGTTTTCGAACAGTATCCAACTGGAGCATTCTCAAATCATGAAACTCGTTTGGGTGCGAGGCGAATGAGTAGCTAAATGAGCTAATCAAACGGTTAATTACGTATTCGGCAGGTAAATGGTTAATTGAACCGAGATTGCCCGGATTAGACGTGGTAACCGAATTGGGTACGACGACGCAGGCGAAGCTCCTACTGGCACGGTACAGCGAGGAGTCGGCGGCGGTGGAAAGCACCAAGCTCGCCATACTGTACAAGAGCGCTGCCCAAACGTGCTCCGCCTGGGAGGACGGACTCTTCCACCTGGCCAAGTATTGCGACACCGTGCTCAACCTCCACGAGAAGCAGGAAAAGAGAGCGTGAGTCCGTCGCCCCTCGAGTCCGAGACAATCCGCACTCAAACTCGCGTTTGCGCTTCCCTCGTGTGAGCGGCACACTGAAGGCTGCAACAAATGCCTTCTCAATAGTAAGATGCCACTATTTGGTGGGGGGTTTGTGAGTAAGTGAGTAATGGGGGAAGGTAATGTAAGGGGGTGCTCTCCGCAGGGAGGTGATGGTGCACGTGGTGCGGCACTACGGGGAGTCCCTGCGCTACGGCTGCGAGCACGTGTACCACTCGATGCCCCGCCTGCTGTCCATCTGGTTTGATCTGGGCTCCCAGGTGGCCGAGATGGGGCGCGCCCGCCGCTCTTCCGCCGCGCGGGAGAAGCTCGAGCAGTACTTGGCGCACATGACCGACAAGGTGGGGACGGCCTCCTGGCTCGTATTGGATTCTGACGGTCAAAGACTTTGTTTGGTCGCAAAAACCTATTTTTTAAATTGTTCCTAAAAGGGTACATACTTTGGCGAGTCGGTGATTCATTGTACGGAACGAAAGTGTCAGAAAGACGACGGAAGATTTAAAGGATGACGAACACTGCGAAGCACTACTTGCAACTGAAGTATAATAATAGGAAGACATTATGCACCGTGATATCAAAAAGACATGTGTACTAGCCAAAGTGCTTTGTTGATCTAGATCTTATTGTGCCAATGTTTACCGCTCAAACAATTTCAAATATGCCATCTCAGAGGCACACATTATAGCGCAGTGCAATGAGGGCATGTGTGTCAGTGCCTCGTCGATACCCTTGCTTGGCTCTGAGATGGCATATTTGAAATTGTTTGAGTGGTAAACATTAGTGTGATAAGATGTACATTGACAAAGCACTTTGCCACGCGTCTTTTTGATATCAAGGTGTATATGTTTTTTATTATTATTAAACTTCAGTTGCAAGTAGTGCTTTGTGATGTTGGTCGTCTTTTTAGCAACTTTATCCTCCTAATTAATTTAGTTCTTTTTTGATGTCCCATTTCCTTAGCTTTCTCAACCACATGTAGCATTTCGGGATTACTGACCGGCACAACGAATGCATTTGTCAATTCAGTGGGGGTGTGCAAATATTTGAAACTTAAAATACTTTGTGAATAGCGCTTGCTATTCGATTCGATTCGCTTCACACTTTCGCTTTTCGAAGTATTCGAGTCCTTTGAATACTTCAAAAACTATGAATAACGTGGAACTCGCTGATTAGTGCCAACTCGCGGTCGATTTCCCCATTTTGTTTTTGTACTGCGCAGTGTGATTTCGAGCTTGGCAAACCCAAAAACCCGACATAAGGGCCTTTTTTTTTTATTAAGCACTGGAAAGTTATTTTGCGCTCGGTAGCGCCATCTGTCCTTTGCTTTGAACACCGAACGTGGAAAAGGCTCTGTTCTCATGTTCTCATGGTTTAAAGGGATGCTGAACCGAAATCTGGATTCCACAAAACACCTGGCAAAAGCGTGCAACGGGATGCTACAAACACCAAAACATCACTTATACAGCGATATCTCGAACGGATGACCGTAATTTAAAAAAAAAAAGGAGGCGCATTTGACAGATATGTTTATGTCTTGTTTTTCCGGGAAGGAGGGGGAACAGCCTCGCGTCTTCTCCACCTCGCCGCCTTGAGGGGGCAAAGCAAAGAGAGGAGGAAAAGAGATATCTCTATGTCACTTTCCTTGTGGGCGTGGTTCAATCCCGACCCCTTTTTCCAAAAATACAGCCGTCCATTCGAGATATCGCCTTAGTAGTAGTGTTGTAGGGATTGTAGCGTCCCCCGCCTACATCTCCTGCATTGTTTTTTTTAAATCTAAATTTCAGTTCAACATCCCTTTAAGGACGCAAGGGTGCGAAATTCGCTATTGGCTGGTCAGCTTGTTCAAACGAAAGCAATCAGTTTGGCGTGTCTGCTAGTGTATGATGACTTCAGCGTGAGCAGTGGTTGGCTTCAGCGCAGTGGCTCCAGGTGAAAGGGCACCAGCCCAAAATTACGTCTTTCTTCAAATAAATTAAATAATGAATCAAGCTAACGTGGTTTTTGCGTTGCAATTGATACCCTCATGTTCCACTCTATTTTTTTAAGGCTGCTTAGTGACAGCTAAGGATCTCGTGGTCCACGATATCTCGTTTTTATATCTTAGTGCAGTGCACGTTCTTGCACGGGCTGATTGCAGCATTGTTCGCGTAAATTTTTGTGTGTGCTTTTATAATGAATATCGCATATAGTGAACAAATTTCTGCTCGTGATGCTAGTTTGTTATAACAAGGTTTAACTTAGTAGTGAATAGTAAGTGCCTTGTTCCTATTCCCTTTTAAACTCTGCTGGGCATTGGGCATTTATGGGTGCAATAAATCAAACTAAATAAAAAGTGCCGGTGAAGGAGCTTTCTGCCTACAAAAAAGCACTATAAATTAGTTTATTTTTATTGTTTGATATATTTATCATTTCTTGGTAACATTTTTATTAAATTTTGCGAGTCTGACTTGAGTTACTAAAATTTTAGAACCCACCCCACTATCGGGCGATTGCAGTGTACCATGGTCTGCACAGCATAAACAATTTTTGAATATGTTTCTAGTTTGTTGTGTTTCAATGTTGCCAAATCTGCTTTGCAGGTGGTGGCTGTTTTTGCTGATCAGCTTCCCTGTTACCTCTTCTTCACCGCTTTCCCGCAACTGATCTCGAGGATCTGCCATTCACACGAGCAAGTAGCTCGCCAGCTCAAGGTGGGCCTCGGACCAGTGTTGATCGATCTACGGCTTGGGCCAAATGGACCAAACCCACTTTAAGTGAATCACAAACGTCAGTTTTGCATGCTACGGCTCCATACTTTGCCACAAGCGCGTTTGCTTTCTCAAAATTTTGAAGTCAAAACTGTCGTCATTCGGAAGTTTGAGATAAGAGCCAAAATTTTCCTATGAATCGACGTCAAGTTGGAGCCTTGTTGGTGCCGGGAGTGAAAAAGATGTGCAAGGACATGTTTTATTATATCAAAGACATTTGATTTCACAGAAACGAAAAGAATGAAAGAAAATGATGGAGCTTTTTCGAGTAATGAGTGCCGTCCGACGGCTCGTCTATAAGCTACCAATGCGAGGCAACCTAGCAGACCACTGCCTGTCAGAATGCATTGGCGTGGCATCATCATATGCCGTAGAATACCGCGCATCCACCCATTTTACATTAAGCGCCCATTCCCAAATTTCTAAGATCTGAGAAAATATGCACAGTAGCTTGATATATAAAATTGATGACCGGACATGCGCCCGTCCTCCATTTTTTCGCGATTATCTCTAAATTTTGAGTGGGCTCTTGTCCGGTATTTTACGGTAGGACTTCATAGCTTTTTTTGGCCCTTTATTCTTTTTCTTTCTAAAATTCACTTACATATATCTTAATTCTCCTCATCAAGGGGGAAACTGATAATGTTCCGCAAGGAGCCAAACTTGTTTTACTACGGTTCTTGAGGCTTCTCTCCTTGGGGAATCTGCACGAGTCTCTGGTACCGGTATAAGTCACTTCTCTTAATATTTTTGGAAATGCTGCTCTGGCTCCCCAGTTGGAGCACTATGCTTCTCGGCATCCATGGTCATGCCGGTTTGGCTCGGAGCAGTTGGTGGCAAGCCGTAGTTTCCCATCAATTGATTTTGACAGAGTCTCGGTGTGATTGGCCGCAAACACGCCAGGACAGCATTTTAAAAAAGAGATTCAGGATTAAATGTTGCATTTTTTTTACAAAGCATACGAGTCCACTTAATCAATGTAATCTACGAAAATTGATCAACTCAAATTTATATTGAGAAATGGGAGAAATATAGGCTGCTAGAAACAGCTTCCTTTTGTTTTCTTGCCTGTATTCTTGAATTTATTCAGGTGCAGTACAAGATGAAGTGAAGGGTTGATCAGGCCATTGGGTTTGTGCATCATCACTGTTCATGTCTCTAGTGTAGCACATGCACATATTGAAAGTTTTCTAGGAAGTTTGGCATGTGAGATGGTAGGACTGGAACATGTTTTATTTAGGCAAGAGATTCTTAGAGCAGGTGTTCGCATGTGAATGATTTTTCTTTCTGCTTTGGGTTCCAGGCAATTGTTGCTCGTCTCTTGAGAACCTACCCGCAGCAGGCCGTGTGGATGATGATTGCGGTGTCCAAGGTAAACTATATTCTGAGTTTTTCTTGGTACCTCTTGTGGAAATTTGCGTACCGCCGCCGATTCGCCGTTTCCCACGTGGTCCGTCAACAACCCGAGTCCAGCCTGGTTCTTTCACGGGAGCGGGATTCCGCTCCCAGTTTATTAGTACAATAAAACACAACGCTACAAAACACTCAATCTAAACTACAAATACAAGCTGCATTACACAATTATTTACAAATGCACGTTAAGCCTAAAGCTAAACACAAAGAAGGCCCTTAGGCCTCGCGTCCCGCGATATCCTAGATCCGGTCGCCACCCACTTGCCTGCCAGTGCCTGCGTCTCGGTCGCGTCCGGAGCTCTTAGAGGCCTCTTGCCCCCTGCCCCACCGAGTATATCTCTCGATGGGCGAGGAGGTTTCTCCTCGCCTGCCACGGGGGCGCCTGCAGCGCCCTCCAGTGGCTAGGAGAGAAAGCGGCGCGTCGGGAGCCGAATTCGAGATCCCGATCGACCCCGCGGCAACACGACCATGTGATCATGTCGCGGCCAAGATTGGCCGAATGGTTTGATGGGCGCCCTCATGAATTCATGGTGTGCCATACTCTTCAATAACTTTGTCAAAAGCAAGCCAGTAATTTTCGACTATTCTGAGTAGTAAGGCTGTGCAACAATTGAAATCGTGAAGCACTGAAATATGAATGGTTGGGAAAGCCATTGGTATTAGAAAAATACAGTAGCACCACCTCTTATGGGTCCCTCCTTCCTCAAATAAAGTTTTATAGTATTGTTATTCTATGGAAAAAGTCAGGAGACAAGAAATCTGAAATGTGCGGTGTGTTTCGAGCTGCGCTGAGTATTTTTTTGTGAGCTGTCCCGAGTTCCAAATTTGCACCAAAATCTGCTCGATTTAGCGGACTTGCGTGCCGCTGAATTTGTCAGGAAGCGTTTCTCCACCAAATATAGCGGGGAAATGTAAATTAGCGTATAATTATACATTAGTTCAACTTCAAACTTGTGTATCATCGTGCACGAAAAAAGTCCTTTGTCTCGAGTGACAACGCGCAGAGCAGCATGCTTCTCAAAAGCGTTTCTTGTCTTACTTTTTTTTTCTTCCTGACAAGGCTTGGTAGCTGCTGCGGCTGTTTCTCTCTCCCTGCTCGACATCATCTTCGACTCTTGGTCTTTTTCTTTTCATTCTTTTACGTCGAAGCTGTATATGACTCGTTGGTCGGGTTTTTTTCGCGTCCGTCGACAGAACAGTATGTAGTCGGCAGAATAGTCGACAGAAAACCATCGCCCGCGCCTTGTCTCTTATCATGTGGTTCTGGCACTTGTTTCAACAAGAAATCCACAGAACAAATGTTGAAACCATGTGATAGATGATAAGCACGTAGCGCTCCCCACTTGCGTTTCTCGGTAAAGATTGCGGTTGCATAAGCTTCCATGGCAACGGCAGCGTTAGTCTTTCATATATAAAAAAAAAAATCTTTTGGTACACTGCATTTACTTTTCTTTCGTCAATCATTTGGCATAGACCATTTTTCTGTTTATAAACATGAACTGTCGCTTGCGTCCTAAGCGACTTCCGGTCGCACCGTCTTTGCAAGCCTGTAGAGCTTGCTTATGTCACCAGCGCTAGAAAGCATAAATGCTACACGAACAACAAAGTTGGAGATTTAACGAGGGCCTTCGGCTTTACAATAATACATCTTGGAGGAGGCAAGCTGGTTTACAAAAATACTCTAAACATTTTAAGAGATCTCGCACTCCTTCGTTCTCTTAGCGTTCACCTAGAGATTTGGTGGTTAGACGTTTCATCTACATTCCAAGCAGCGGTGTTAAGGTGGCCTTTATTCATTCTTTTTATAAACCGGAAGTTCTCTGGGACGCCAAAGGCTGGAGCACCATTTGGTGACGTTTTCCATAAAAAGGGTCTATAGTGCGGTGGGCAATCGTTGCAGCTGATACCACAGCTTTGCTGTCCAACGACCTTCAGAGTGTGGATTGGAGCCTTAATTATTTTTCTTTTTTTCTGGGTTTTTTTGGTTTTAGCGCGTGCAAGGAAAATTTGGTACCTTGCCCTCCGCTTATCTCGAATTCTTTTCTAGTCTTTATGAGTTTGAGTTAAGGAGGGTTTACGCTTCATGTGGGCGGGCTCTTCCGACCAGCGGACGACTTTTGTTCTAGCATTATTGCAACTCGGATGTTTCTTATTTTACCGTCGGGATATAAACGTAGTAAGTCCCTCGGTAACTGTATTTGCCGTTCAGAGGCTATAGTCACCGACAGAGCAAAAATAGCGGGACGCGCCTTTCTAACGCCCGACCTCCAGCACCCGCTCCGTGCTGGACGTCACGCCTCGACCAAGCGCTCGTGCTCGAGGTGTATGAGATGTTGAAGCGTCCTCGAAGGTAGCGAGCTTGCGCTAGAAACTAGACATTCAAAGTTCTCTGCTGTTTTCACCTCGTCAGTGACTATTCCCCCCCAGCCCCCCGTATGCATAATCGAGGTAGGTATATAACATGTGCGTGCCACCTGCTTCGTCGGTTACAAACCAAGCCACAGACGCGAAAGTGAACAGTGTCCGTTCGTAACTGTCGTCGCGTTGAAAGAGACAAAAAGGGCCGACCAGTCTTAACGTTGCGCTTGCAGTCCTCGTACCCGATGCGAGTTCAGCGCTGTCAGGAGGTGTTCCAGCTAGCCCGTCAAGAGATGCCCAGCCTGGGCAAGTTCCTCGGCGACACCCTGGCCCTGTGCGACAAGCTGCTGGAACTGTGCAACCGGCCCGCCGGCGAAGCCCACGTCCTCAGTATCACCCAGCAGCTGAAGAGCCTGCACCGACTGCTCGAGGACAGGTGAGCCCGAACCGCGGAGCCTCGAGCATGCGTCTTTGTCCGGCACGTTTGACGTCCCATCTCTAACCACGCGTCCATGTGTCCCGAAGTGGCAACGAATGATTACGGGCAAAAAGACAGAAGTTTGGGCAAAAAGTGTAAGCAAATGCGACTGTTGTTGTTGTCTCTACAATGTTCCTTCTGCGGGGACATTGAGACTTTTCAACTTTCCTTGTTTAATTCGGGGTGGTTCATGAAAACGGTACACTTTCATTGTTCGAAGACATTGCCATGGGCACTGATTTACCGAGCCCATTCTATTAGTTTCCGCAAAGCCTGCCTCCAACGAGCTTTGCGGCCCTCGGGCAATGCTGTCGACGAAGGTCCGTCGTTATCTGTAAACTAAAATTCACTTCGGCATCCCTTTAACGGGAGAGGGTATTTCGGAAAAGAATTAAGTAAAAACTTTTAGGAAGTGCCATTTTTTTTTCTGGATGCCTCTTTTTCAGAAATTTCAGTCAGATACTGCTGCCCCTGCAGTCTGCTATTTCGGTGACCCTTCCAAGTGGAGGAGCTTCCAGGGGCCACGACCCGTTCCCACAGACTCCAGTTCACATTGTGGGCATCAACGACAAAGTAAGAATGCCTTTTCTTTTTCCGACAAAGTCGGTCTGCGTTGTGACGTAATGCGAGCTCTGTGCAAAGTGTCAATGTTCGAAGGAGCTACCTCGAGGCAGACAGCTGCAAGCTCTGTGCAAAGTGCCAATGTTGCAGAGCTAGGGTGTGGATCTGCCTCGAGGCGGACAGCTGCAGTCCAGCTTGTATGTGTTCAGAAGATTTCGAAGCCACAGGGTCAAAAGCGCACAGTCTCAGGCTCGCAAAAACCTTTATTAAAGGTGATTAAAATCTCAGTGACAATGTTTTTGCTGAAATACTATATAGCACACAAAAGATTGAAGTTAATAAATAACTCCTTTACATATATCTTTTAAGAGTTTGTGCATTATTAACTAGTTTATGAGACCGCTCCTGCCTTGAAAGTCGAAATCCTATAAGTTTGCTGAGAGAAAATTTGTACATAGTTTACATTTGTAGAACTTAAATTGTGTGAGTTTCAGTTCTGTACTGGTGTTTAGCATCTTCTGGGAACTAGAGAGACTCTTTGTTCTGCCGCAGAAGACGGTGAAAGGGTATTATACATTCTGATGGTTCAGCTCCCTTTCTAGTTTCAAACTGGCCTTTCCTTGCATTGCAGGTCGAGATCTTGTCTTCCCTTCAGAAGCCCAAGAAGATCACCATTAAAGGAAGCGATGGAAACTCCTATGCCATGATGCTGAAGCCTAAGGTATTCAAAATTGCATTTGTGCTTCTATCACGGAATATAGTTCTCATTCACTGTTAGCGAGCACTGCCGAATAACAGAACCTGAAACTTGACTATTTCTCTGCAGTCTGAAAGTTGGGGTGTGGTTTCTGGATGTCCGGGTGACGGGAATTGTTGCGCACACAGGATGACCTTCGGAAGGACTGTCGACTCATGGAGTTCAACAACCTGATGAACCGCTACCTCCGACGCAACGCAGAAGGACGGCGCAGGCGGCTGCACATCCGGACCTACGTGAGTAGTGGGGGCTAACGCAATCCAGCTTGTTGCAATGCTAAAATTCAATTGATTGCAGGTTTTTTTTTTTTTTTTTTTTTTCATTTATGTGTACTTTTTTGTCTTGATACTGATGGTCTGTAGAGCAGTCATCTGTCATAGTAGGACTTTGGGTTTTCAGAGAATGCTAAGAGATTCCCCGGGGCAGCAAGGATTGAACGAGAGTCCCCGATGTAGTGACAAAAGAAAAGGCAAATTGGACGTTGGATGTTCCGGTGGTGTGGGGTCAATTTGCCTTTTGGATATGGCAACACTGGTTCACGCCATAGATGAGATATTTAGCCAGTGTACCATCAGCCTGGGGTCTTTAACGTGCACCTTGCACTAGCGAGTGTATGACCGCACGCTGGTACGACGCTCCCCTAGATTGAAAAAGGCAGGGACGAAAATCATACCCAGGAACGATTCCCGGATCCTACGGCCCATCTCTGGCGCCGGCTCCCAAAGTGACCGACAGAATAGAAAGGCGGGGCGTTTCTTTCAGATGCCTGGCTTCCAGCATGCGCTCCATGCCTTCCGCCATGCTTTAGCTGTCCGTGCATGCTCGAGGCCCGGGAAACGCCATCCCGATTCGCATTGAATTAAATTTGTAAATAAGATATGATTCTCTTTGCTCGCGATCATGGTTGCTTTTGAAATTAGATTGTAAAAATGCAACGTCCAGTTTGTCAATTCTGTGTTTGTGTAAAGCCAAATGTTCTGAAATGGGGAAGTTTGGGAAATGATTTTACATGTGCTGTGTGATTGCTAAATCTCAATCGAAAAAGTGAGCTGGTCTGGCCCACGTACTGCTTACCGCAGGTGCCACATGTCAGGAGGTATATCGCATCACTTGTGCCGCAGTTTAAGTTTCCGTGAAATATGTGGTTGAAATTGAAACTCATACTCTCTACCGTGGTTTTAGGTGTCACGTGTTGACACACCTCGCAATTTGTTCTTCCGCAAGGGCGACTGCTAGTGCTTTCAGTGCACAGTGCAAGTTGTTCTAGATCTAACTATGGCGCCCAAAGATTGCATGAGCGTCTATAGACTACTCGGAAAACGGAAGGAATGATTCTCGGAAGGCGGTCACTTCGCTGTAAAATGTTAAAATGTTTTCTTACTATGGGAAAGGGGCACGCTGGCAGTGTCGCCTGTCGCCTATCGTTCGTAGAGAGCCTAAATTGTAGAGAGGGTCCAACTCAAACGATGGGGAGCGTTTGCAGTTTAATGGCGGACTCCTCTATCGGAGAGCAGTCGCAAGTGCTCATGCGCTGCGTTATCGCGTGGCTAGGAGGAAAGCAGGTGGAAAGGGGGAGACGCTCGTAAACGACCAATGCGTTCGCCCTGTGGATCGTATTGCAAACGCGGCCCATAAACCAATAATTTTTAATTAGTGAAAATAGACACATGGTTCCAATTAGAAACTTGATGAGCGTCATCGAAAACCACTAAATCAACTCTTTTTAGAAAGAAAAAATGCAGGGGCAGCATTTTACAGCATTGCGGAACAACACTAAATTTGGATGCGTTTCTAGGTTTCTGCCTATTATCAGAGCGCATTTCTGCACCCGCGGTCCTTCTCCCCAGTGGTTGAGACGCACAACACACATGCGCGATACTTCCTTCCATCCTGCGAGGCGGTGGCTTCGCACCGCGACCACCAAGGAGCAGGACCGCAGGCGCGAAGACACGCTCCATTAAGAAACCGAAACCTAGTAAGGCATCCCAACTGTGCGTTTTTCCAGAACGCCATAAAATGATGCCCCTGCCTTATATATTTCTAAGAAGAGTTGATTTAGCGGTTTTCGATGATGCTTCGCAAGTTTTTAATTAGAACCATACGTCTATTTTCACTAGTTAAAAAGTTAACAAATTCTACCTGATTAGCAGACTGATTGTTACGATTAGCCCCCAGTATTATGTTCCCATGACCGTATAACTCGCCTACACAAACTGCATAAGTTCCGCTTTCATGGTTATTTTTAAACAAATCTGTTAAAGGGGCATTGACAGGTCAAATAATATTTTTTTTTTTTATGTGAAAGGATTGAAAACATTGCCTGGACATTAACCTCAAAATTAGTGAAGTAAATCATAATTTGTAAAGTAAAAAAATTTCCGAAAACCGAATTTAAAGTTTTTGTGGGATCTGCACCAGTGCAGTGATGTCAGAGATTGAGTCGTCCTGCAACTCCAGTTTCTTTCACGCCTCCGAACCGCCCCGACCCAAAGTGTCATGTTCGCCCGCGTCCCGCAGTCAACCGCTCTTCCCCATGCCTGCCGCCTATCACTGTGAGCAGACGACTCTTAACTTTCGAGTTTGAAGCTCTTTTAGGGCCCTTTCAGCGATCTCAATTTCTTTGAAACATTGTGAGTCGAAGAGAATGTGCAGTGGACTTTTGTGAGCGATGTGAGGGGTCACGTCGCACCGGTTCTTCGTGAAAGGCTGCCCCGCGGAGTCACAACCGAAGCTATGGTACACAGACACCAAATCCAGTTGTTTTGACCGTTTGACGATTTCCTTTCAAAGTCTGAGAGGTCGTCAAGCACATAAAAGAGATCTTCCGATTCCCTGACTCACTAATCGTCCTCAGTGCTGCATGTGCCGAGCGCCGCCAGTGCCGCCATGTTTTCTGAAGGACGATAAAAAGCCAGGATGTAACATCGCTCCGAACTCCAATTTTCGGTATTTCAAAAAGGGCCATAGTGCGCTCGCAATGGCGTTAAAAAACAAGTTTTACGAATGCCGTTATTAGATATTATAGAAATGTTGCTTAGAAACCTGATAAATTTCAGAAGTCTTGACGTCACGAATAAAAAGAAGCGAGGAGGTGAAAAGAGAGAGAAGGGCACCAAAAATAAAAAAAGCGCGTGCGCACATGCAAAACTTTTTTTTTATTGTGGTATTTTTTGTGTGTCTACGAGTACAACTTGCATCGTTTACGACAACAACAAAAAATATGGCCTTTGGGGTGCTGTGTCCCTTTATGCTCGATAAAAGCACTATTTTTTTTTTTGTGTTTGAGGGAATCAAACCTGCCGTGCAGTAGATGCTAAAAGAATCTTAACACATAATATTTGCCGTGGTATGAATAAAAATAAAGTGTGTGCATGTGCTCCAAAAGTACTTCTTAATGCTCCAACATGGAGTTCTGGCCGCTCCAGAAGGTGCTCCAGAATGACTCGGGCCAATCACATCACTGTAATTATCAGTACCATGATTGTTGTTTTCCTACTCATCATTGCCATTATCATTGTTATTACGGTTATCAGCAGGGTGTCTAGCGACCAGGGACACCGGGAATTGTCAAGGAAATTTCAACTACCGGCAAAAATCAGGGAATTGTCAGGGAAATTGTCAAAAAGCGATCCCAGTCAGGGAAAATGAGCCAGAAATGGCATCGAGTTCCCTGAGCAAAAACTTCAGGACTTTGGGGGCAGAAAAATAGGATATAAGTTCTGCTCAGAGCGGAGCACAGGCTCTGCTCACCCGATGTAGAGTGTACTACCCGATGCAAAGGGAACAGCCGAAAAATCCAGTCCAAGCCATGCATTGGATTGGGTTGAGGGCATGACACTAGGCTAGATCCAGTTAGAGCTACTAGATTTAGTAACAAATGGGAAAGCCGCCGACCCCAATCCAATCCAAGCCTTAAGCCAAAGTTATCCGAAAGTGAGCATCTGGCGGCCATGCTGCCATTCGGTTTTTGACGTGTGTGGTCGAGCGTCTTGTTTTCATTGAGTTTCCGGAAATGGCCTCTTCACTGATGATGTCGGCGGCAAGAAAGGGCTCATTTAATCCGGTCTGGACGAACCCGAATATTTCGGAATATGCGAGTTGGATTCAGTCCGTGCAAAATAATCCTCACAGTGCTCAATGTCTATAGTCCGTTGCAACCTAAGAACGAAGGGCGAGGGTAAGACGGGAAGGGGAAGGGGAAGCAGACGGAACTCTGGAGAAGAGAGGGGGGAAACCTCCTTCTTTCTTTAGCGTTCCGTCTGCTTCCTCCTCCCCGGCCCGTCTTACCCTCACCCTTCGTTCTTAGGTTGCAACCGACTATAGTGTTATAATGATCTTATATACATTTAACCGCCTCTACGGTGGTCAGAAAATTTCACCCGAAATCGTCAGGGAAAACCTGGAAAAGTCAGAGAATTTCAAAATAATATTTTGCTAGACACCCTGATCAGTATCCGAATTGTCACAATCCTTATCTGCATCGTCATTGTTATCATTGGGGTCGTCGTTGCGTCGCTGTTTCCCCTCCAGAACGTGGTCCCCCTGAACGAGGAGTGCGGCCTCATCGAGTGGATCCCCGACCTGCAGGGTTTCCGGTACATCCTGAACCGCATCTACCGGGAGAAGGGGCAGCTCACCACGGGTCGCGAGCTGAAGGACATGATGCCCAAGCTGAGCGCTTCGCTCGCGTGTGTACTCTTCCATGAAATTATCTTTTTTGGTAATGAATCAAATGGCTTCTTAATTGATCCTTTGCATGCCACAAACTCCTTTGTGCTACAGAGAGAAGCTTGATGTCTTCAAGAACAAGCTCTTGCCTAGGTTTCCGCCAGTCTTTGTGGAGTGGTTCCACAAGAACTTTCCTGATCCCACAGCCTGGTGAGTGCCTCTCTTATCCTGGCAGAAGTAAAGAACTTTCCATTTATGCATTAGCATATATGTGGCAAGTAAGTAAACACTCATGACGAGGATGATGAAAAGGGCTGTCTTGAAAGGGCACCGACACAGCAGTAGAGGATCAGAGTGGAGGACTGTGGCGTCAGAAAATCCAGGAGTCGCCGGAAATCACTTGGGTTTTCTCTCTTCCTGTGACTAGGCATTCAAAGTTTTTTTTTCTTTTTTATCTCTGCAGTTTTCGGTGTTTTGGCGGTCACAAAAGTTGTTTATGGAAATAATTCTTTTTATTAATGAGGACTTGCTGTAAGCAGCTTGCTGCCTTTCAAATATCATGTGTTCTGTGTTTTCATTATCACGAGCGACCGATAAAAAGAGGTCCAGGAAAGCCATGCACAGCCGATTCTCGGCCGATAGCTTTCTTCCGGAGAAAAGCCAGATTTCGAGCCGCAACTACCACTTGATCGTTGCACCTTTTAGGTCTCATTTCCGTAAAAATCTAGCCACGCATAAATGCCCCGCTATCTTTACACCCGAGGAAGGGAGAAATCTTTCTTTTTTGCTGCATAGATGTGGTTCTGGGCCCCTAGTACTGGGGAAACAGTGCAAAGTGGAATGTGGAGAGGGAACTTGGGAAGGAATATTCGTTCATGCTGAAAATTATTTATTACGTTTGCCAAGCGACGTTCTGAATTAATCTGTCTTGTGGAACTTTATATTTTTGTTTCCTGTTTAGTGTGTGGTGCAATCACAATCTCACATGCGCCATATCGTTGTCGTCCCAGGTACACCGCGAGGCTGTCCTATGCGCGCACGCTTGCAGTGATGAGCATCGTGGGCTTCATACTGGGGCTGGGCGACCGCCACGGCGAGAACATCCTCTTCGACGCAAACTGCGGAGATGCGGTTCATGTTGATTTCAACTGCTTATTCAACAAGGTGAAGACATTGCTTCGCTTTGCTCCATCTTGCTCTTGTTTCTTTTTTCATGCATGTGCATGTCTTTGCCTGCTTTTCTTACATGTTTATCGTTGTGGCCTACATGTTCTTTTTTTTTATACCTGTCTTTCCTCTTAACATTTTTCTTTTCGCGTGACATTTTAGGGGGAGACATTTGATTGGCCTGAGCGTGTGCCTTTCCGCCTGACGCACAACATGATTGATGCCATGGTGAGTCTTTGCTTCCGACGACGATGGAATAGCATGTGTGACAATTAATGTGATGATAGAGACGGCATAAACTTAAATGCAGTTTCATTTTGAGAATCGCTTACTCTCACAACCCACTACGATAGACCCTTTATGCCGCGCCATCTAGCGGCGCCGATTCCAAACTATGCACACTTGCTGGGAGTGGTCACATACGCTGCTTCGGCGGGTGCGCGGCCGCCATTATGGTGTATATGGCTGCAGAGGCTAGAACTCTGTAGTGCCCGCATAGCACGTTTCCAGATACTTTTTTATAGCTGTGCGTCACTGTGCGAGATGAAAGGCGTGAAGGATAACCTGACAAACAGGACGAGATTTACTGTTTTTCTGCAAAACTACAGCTGTCAACAAAAAACGCATCAATACGAACCACAACCCATTAGGTGCGCGCTCCCTACGCTCAGAATGAATGAAGTCGGGATATGCTCGCGTGCACGAGGATTCATTGTGACAGCTCGTGCAGCAAAAAAAACTGTCATGGCTATATGAGCACATGCTCATGGCACGTGGCAGGTGCTACGTCGGGCAGACGGGGCGCTGCCTAAATGATTAGCTTTGCAAGCACAGTAACAGTTTGCAAAAACGAAACTGAGGCTTTCTTGACTTACATTGCAAGACTCGCGGTTGTACCCCACTGTTGGATGGATGCGTAAAAATTGGGAAATGCAAGTCAACATTAGCACGCGAAATTGTAGAAGCCGAACATGTTGATTATTTAGGAGACACGTGTGTTGCTGTGCCGCCGATTGCGTTATCGGAGAAGGAACTGGTTTTCCTGAGAACGAGATAGTGTTTTTCCCAATCATGCTCTGATGGTTGTTTCTTTGCTTTTGTTGTTTTGTTTGTTGTCGTTTTTTGCGTTGTGACGATGGTTCAGATTACAAATACCAGTACACATATTCAATAATAATCAGTTGAGAGTTGCGCCTCGTTGTGTCCTGTTCTCCCTTTTGTCCTCAACCTTGCTGCGCACAAGATTGCATAAGATGTCAAACCAACTCGCCCAAACAACCACTCTTCTTAGTTACACCACTGAACCCGCATTCCACCGCTCCGAGGCGCAACACCTCCTAGATAACAAAACCGTAGTGCTGAATGAGATGGCGTCATAAGAGAAGGCCAACACTGGGCCCAGATTGAACACACGACTGTGTCAATGTTCGGCTCAAAGTTCAAACTTGACTCGAAACCGAGTGCTGACGCGGTACTCATTTCGAATCTGCATCCAGCAGTGGCCTTCTCTGATGTCGTGATCTCATTCAGTACTAAGGCTTTGTTATGTAGGGGGTGTTACGCATTGCCCTCTTTCTCTGGCTCTGAGCCAGCTGTGTGTGTGACTGACGAAAACCAAAGGGCTCGTCTTAATGAAAACCTGGCGGTGTCTTTTATTTTCTCAGCTATGGGGAGAGAGGAAGAAGGTGGGGGAGAGGTTGATGCATGCTGACATCAGCGCTTTGAACCAACGAGAGCTTTGAACGCGTCACGCTCTCTCCCTGTAGCTGACAAACGAAAGACGTGCCGGGCGTTTGTCAGAGCAAACGTTCTAATGCTAACGCATTAAAAAAAATCTTGTTTCAGGGTCCCCTTGGTTATGAAGGCATCTTCAGGAAGGCCTGCGAAGTGACACTGAGGATCATGCGCAATGAAACAGATGCTCTTATGAGGTGAGTTAGTGAATGCCTTCAACAATAAACAAGACTTGGTTCTATGTAAGTGTTGATTAATAACAATCTAGAATGACAAAACAAGAGAACATAAAAAGATTTATTGACTGTTATTTACCTCTTTCTGTTTTGCCTTTCTAATTTGTAACTAATGTGGATGCTCATTGAAAGTGACGTTTATCAAGACTTGTTTTGCATTGGAATGCTTCATAGTAGAAAATTTTGCTTAGGAAGAGCTTGCACATTTTGGATTCTTGTCCAATGCAACGACACTGACCCACAAGTTAAGTTTCCGTTCCGTTATTTTTCATCCGTCCGCTTCTAAAACCATTGTGTGATCCAAGTGACCAAGCGGGTGATTGGCTGATAATATGTGATCAGATTTTTTGCCACATTTATCGGTGCCTTGCACCCAATTTAGTAGTCCACTGGAGTGTGGTACTCTGTCAGGTAGCAAGCAAGGTTGGAGAACTGAGGAAGTGAAACGAGGGTCCGTGCAATTCAGTAGTTCTATTTGCTCAGCCAATCACAATGGTTAAATGGACGAGCTTTCAGGTAGGAGTTTTAAAGGAGTTATGGGTCAAGGATGTCTTGCAACGATACCCCAGTGACAGCAGTGTTAAACACCTGATAGATGTTGCTGATTCTTGAAGGTGTTTTTTGATGAATGCTTGTTACCTCTTTTTTTGTAGCGTGTTGAAGCCATTCGTGCATGACCCCTTGGTCGAGTGGAGCAAAGCACCTAAGGGATCCAGGGCCAACCCACCGGACTCTGGCGAGATCATCAACGAGAAGGTGTGTTTGCTTTTTTCTGTTGCACCGTGTGTTGTGTGTTGTAGTATTTGTAGTTTTAAACTAGCATCCATAATGTGGCTGTCAACTGGTGTAGGGAGGGACGCTGGTGATTGTGTTGAGACGTTGCTCGTCCTCACTAGGCCCTCGCCAACGTGAACGGGATCGAGCAACGGCTCAAGGGAGCCTACAGGGGACGGAACAAGGCCGCCGGACCGCCCCTTTCCGTGGAGGGGCAGGTGGACTACCTGATTCAGGTGAGTCGGATGGGGGCAGCCATCTTGGAACACCCAGTGGTTAAAGTGACTGTGAGGGCAAGGATCAACCCTGTCTCCCACGCGTGATTACCTCGGAAGGATGTCACTGGGTGTCCTGCGTAGCACGGATTGTTCTGAAACAACTGTTGGCTGCAGTGTTGTTTTTATGTTTTGTTTTGTTTATTTGAGCTTTGCTACCTCTTTTGCAATCATTGCCTGGTAAAGGGCTGTCCACACTGAACACGATTTTTGACATCCACAACAAAAGTCGTGTTCAGTAAGGCAGGCCCGACTAAGCGAATCATCCATTGCCAAATAGTATCCTTTTGTTGTTTGTTTCAATTCATTGCCTAACAATATTCTTGTTTGTTTTAATAAAAGGACCGCCTGGGTGGATAGCTGGGGAAGAAAAGGAATGAGAGCATCTTAAAACATGTGCATGGAAGCAATAACAGATTTCTGTTTTGTGGTTTTAGCTTTTGAAATGTTTATGTTAGTTGAACTACTAGTCAAAGATGTGTTTGGGTTAAAGTTTTACAAAGTCTTGCAGTGGCACAATCATGAGAGAACACGAGGATAACGAGCCAAAAACTTAATTTCTGCCACAAAATTTAAAAAGTAAGGGTGGATTTTTTTTTTTTTTTTAATTGTGTTGAACTTGCAGTCCTGAAAGTTGACACTTTCAGTCTCGAAACGCAATGACGAAATGTGACTCACGTATTGCCCTTGAGCGCTGCATTGTTGCTCGGATGGTGCTCACAGTACGCTGGGGATGTGTCGGCAGGCATTCGTTTTCACGTTTCTGACCAACTAAAGCGGTTATAAAAAGCGGCAAACATTTGTGGCTCTAACAGGCGAAGGAACATGCAATAGCTTGTTCTAGCCACTAGTTCGGGATACTTGCAACAGTTCCAAGATTGTTCTAGGAGCACCGTTTCTTTCTTGCTCGGAAGCTGAATATAGCCCAATATTTTGGTGAATTTCACGAACTGATTGGTCCATTTTGTTTTAAATGATTTCTGGGTTAGGAAATCAGCAGCATGGTCGATTAAGGTTTGGTTAGTGTTATCCAGATATGTATAATGGTGTTTGTTTTTTTGTCAACAGGAAGCCACGAGTGAAGTCAACCTCTGTCAGATGTACGTGGGCTGGGGTGCCTACCTCTGATTGGTCGATGCATCGCTATGGTCACAGCCGCAGCATTTCTAGTTTGCCTGTTCTTTCAAAAGTGGTTCTGTCTAGTTCGAGCAAAGTCTCAGGGCACAAGTGTTGTTAGCTCGCTGAAATGAGCCACATCTTCCGTTGTAGGCATAGCGTTTCTTATATCGGAGAGTCCTTGTCTTGTGAGTATGTTGTGTTTCTTTGTGCTTATTCATTGTTTTCTTTTATTTCTTTTTCACAAGAGCCTCAGGAACAAATTTTTTAAATTTTGGCATTGTGGCATATTTTATGTTCATACTTTAACTCGAGTTTTGTTTCGTTTTGGAGTTGTAAACTCGTTGCTTGTTTTAAATAAAATTCTTTAAACAATTTTAATGTCATTCAAATTTACTCATATATTTGTTACTTGTTAGTGCTAGTGCAAACAATTCTGTGATAGCAAGCCGTTTATCATACACTCATTTTCACTAGTTGCGCACAGAACTTTGAAAACATAAGTGCATGAATGCGTTACTTTGGAAAGTACTTACCTTGCGGAAGCGCTTCTCTTAAACAAAACATTTGGTAGATGCCCCTCTCAAGCCTCTGACGGTGCCACGCACTACTCATGAAATTGAGTGGAGAAGGTGTTTTCGCGTAGACTTCAAATAAATTTGCCCTTTTCCCAGACTATTGAGGCAAGAACAGCAGTAGCAGGGAATGTTTCTGTGTGTCGCCCTGTGGCGATGTTGCACGGGCGAACTTGATAGGCATTTTGTGCTTTGGGCGTACGAACATCATCGTGCATAGCATCTCAAAGTCAGTCCTGCCTAAACTAGCGCTCGAGCGGGGAGTGGAATGCAAAGTTTGCAATTGCGTCTCTAACATGGTCATGTGCCTAGCTTGGACCCTGCTGTTTCACCACTCTCTGCTTCCTCCTAAGCATGTGCTTGTTCTCTTTCCACTTGTCTCCTGCACACTTTATCGTCATGTGCAAGCACCCTCAGTTAATACCTTGTAGCATTGGGAGGAAGGACAGAATAGGGGGACGGAGAATTTAACCTAGGCTTGTCTCCCATTTGACTGTTATGCACTGAGGGAGGAGATGTTTAAAGAGGAAAGGAAGGGGAAAAAAAAAAGTTAAAAGCTACGAGGCTAGAGTGCTAAAAACTCTGCACCATCCTGAAATGCTAAAGTTGACCCTCTACAAGCAGAAGTCCAGGCATACAGTCTAAGCTCATTATAACAGACCTGGTTACAACAGACATTTGGATATGACATACCAATTTGTGAAGTTCGGTTGGTTTTCCTCTTTGCGCCATTGACTTAACTTCATATCTGCATACAACATACTCTTTTTACAACAGACCGAAAACTTGGAAAAAATCAAGGTATGTTATAACGAGCTTAGACTGTATTTGGACCGATGCCTTTATGGGCTTTGCTTTTTTTCTGCGGTTTGTCCCAGGCACCAAGCATGTTTGCCACGAAGAAAGGCCAATTTTTTTAGGCATGCAAGCAGGCTTCAGAATTTACTCCTTTATTTTATATGTCGCCTACCAAAGGCTACCGTTGCACGCATACTAAGACACAGGTGCTACGTCGGTGTTCGGCTGTGACTCAATCGATGAGGTTGCGAGAGCCAGCCATGCGTAGTCGAGCCGCCGATCGCACAGCAGTTCACCGGATTCAAAGGCATCTCGCTGCCGACTGAGCATACGAAAAGCGAAGCGATTGTTCATGCATGTGCAGGGTCCCATCTCACTCTGCCAATTGACGGCGTGCCCCGGGTTAGCGGGATAATAAAAATTGCCGAATGCTTTCCAGACATACCCCGTAAATATTCTGAACGAGATGGTTTTTTTTAACACTGAGTAACTGGTAAATGCAGAGCTGGATTAAAATGGATACTGTAATATCCCTAGAGATAAGTTTTAAAAAATGCTAGTTTTAGATTCTGTGACCTGCAAAACTTGGGATCACAGGGAAGGGAGATGAACCATTAAAGACTATTGCCCTTTCCAGTTGGCAATGTTCGCTTTTCTCCTGCCGTAATTAACACCGTTTTTGCCGAGGTCACCATTAAGCTATCTTTTGGTGTTTCTGAAAAAAAAAAAAAAAAAAAAGAATAAAAAATAGCTAATCATGCCGAAAACGAAGGTGCCGGTTACCTTTCGGGGATGGGGCATCTCTGGATATTTAATATTTATGGTAGGTTCAGCAGGATATCACGAGGGTTTTGAGAACCCCTTCCGAATTCCCTCCCCCATCCCACTGTCCGCGTTGCACGAGGATCAAAATCAAGGAGGTTCCTTGATCAAAATAAGGTAAGGCCAATAACTTGTTCAAATTCATTACCAGCGCAGCTGATGCTCTTTTTTTAGTGTTTCTTCGAGCATATTTTTTCGCTTGCCACTGGCTGGCGGCCATCTTCTGGAGGCGGGCCTGAGTATCTGGTACCTGGGCTTTTAACGGCATTTTACAGCAACGCCGGTTGTGTCGTCTAGTTCATTGTGAATACTGAATAGAGGGCAGGGACTAGGAACATAGATGACTAGGAACGACTGACGACTCGCACACCACCTCCTCGCCCTTGGTAAACTGGTAAACTCGCGCTATCTAGAACATGGAACATAGGCTATAGGCTACATAGCCTCTAATTAACTTTAATGCCATGTGCAGCAGTGGTGTCGGTCTTCGGCAGTCAAGGGGTCAAGGGCCACCCGCATTCATATCAGCGCGACGCGCGCGCGCTCGGATTTAAAGTGCTTTTGGCTTGGATGGGATTGAATATTACGCGCTATTTAACCTTTAAAGTTGACTTGCTCGAATAATTTAAAAAGAGTGAACGTTAAAACAAAAGCTGTTTTCGATTTTAATTTTTGTCAGTGCAAGTATTACGGTTTCTCATTTTTTTGCCACCAGACAAGCGGGTGGAGCATCGAAAGCCAATCCGTAGTCGCAGTCGATTGGCCGATTGGCGGAAAACAAACAGCGCAAGGACAAGGACAGAGTAGAAGGCGGTAGACACACACAGCGCTGTGCGTGTGTGTCTACCGCCTTCTACTCTGTCCTTGTCCTTGCGCTGTTTGTTTTCCGCTAATATGAATGACCAACTAGCCCAATCGTCAACACTACTGGCCGATTGGCCATGGCATGGTACATTGTTCCCCCTTTTTTTGATTGAAGTTGACGGCTCGCTTTGTCGGCGTGTGGTTTGAGTGTTGTCAGGTTTAAATCCCACTGGTGTTAGCAGGGCCCTTCATCGTTAAGCTCCGTGAATCGGTAAGCACACTTTCTTTGACGATTAGCACTACCAGTCTCCAGAAATCATTATTCGCGGGTCCATTTTGACTGGCCGCATGTGAGTCGTGTTCGATTGTGTGCAAACAAATGTTTTTTTTTTTTTTTTTTAGACGCGCAGCAGGATAGCGTGGGTTCGATGTTCGATCCCACTCTTGCCGATTTCAAGATGTACGGGTGCTCCCTAGAAGCCGTAGTACCTTTATTAAAAATATTGCGGAGCAAAGTGAAGATATATAAAATTTCGAAAGAAGCACTTCGACCAATACACATGTTCGGGAAGCAAGACAGCGAACAAGAGAGGAGCCGTGAAAAGGTGTGAGGGATCGATCCTGTTTACGGACAAAGCTCTACAAAATGCAGACGTCATTCTCTTTGGTGGGCAGCAAGCAACCTCGTGGCCACAAGTTCTTCGCTTGTTCACCCTGCAATTGTTTTGTTGGCAAAAAACAACATATGTCCTCTGAACAGTTTTCCCTCCCCGTTTCGCGAAGGCCTTGCTCGTAGGCAACCGGTGGATTTCCGACGCTGCATTCCCATTGCATGAGGAGCGACAATGATCAGGACACGCCCTGCCCTGCGTTTATTGAAGGGGCGCTAAACCACTTCCTGAGATAATCTACTTATGGTCATAACTCAATCTATGGGCTCTTAAGCATCCTAAGAAACCAAACGGTACATTCCCATGAGCACAAGATGTCTCGTAGCCGGCTTGAAACAGTCGACTAAGCAAAAGACGTCTTGGGCTACACAAGATGTCTCAAGATATCTTGAGACGTAGACGTCTAAAAGACATCTCAAAAAGATGACTCACGTCTTGGGCGTCCTGTAGCTGTCACTAAGATGTCTAGGAGATGCCTTGCAAGGCGTCTTGTAGCCCAAAAAAGAGGGAGCGTTATGAAGTCTACAAGGCGGCTACAAGATGACAAGAAGTCTTAGGCTATCACGTCTTGCCAAGACGTATACAAGACCTCTTGTTCGTCTTGCCAAAACGTCTTTAGACGTCTAATAAACGAATTTGTGTTCAGTGGGACTCTTGCGTGGCTGATTTCTCTAATAAAATTGGTATGAAAAGATTAGTACCTCGGAAGTATCGCAGGCACCAGAGGGCGTCGTCGCACGAGGGAGAGCCTTCCTCGTCCAATGTCATCTCATGTCATTCTTTTGGTTACGATTAATACAGAAATTGGCCGTGCGTGTATATAAGGTTTAATCTTTTAGGATGCTTAGAGCCCTTAGATTGAGTTATGGCCATACGGCATACACAGACTATCGCAGAAAGGGGTTGAGTACCCCTTTAAGCTGTTGGTGGCATTAAAGGGATACTACAACGAAATTTCGGCGCTTATTTTTTTATCTATATGTGTTCAAAGGAGCAGTATCACATCGAACACACCAACATCTTGTTAAAAAGTCACAAAAAGGAATTTTAAAACAAATTAAACAATTAGCAAAGAGCACCTGGTAGATGTCGCTAACGCCTCATAGTGTGATGCCCGTCTAAGAACCTTGAGAGGTAGTGACGGTAACTGTCTTGCGTCCGGCCACGACGAAAGAAGAGAGGAAGCAGGAACTCCCCTCTTCCAGAAAATCCCTTTTGTGTGTCCCAGAAGTCGCTATTGCCCTTTACAAGATTATTGAAATTACCCCGTCACTCGAAATTCGTACAAGAGCAGCCGCTTCGGTGGCTAGAGCGACCAGGCCACCTCTCGATGTCAGCCTCGCCGTAGCTTTGCTCGTCCCGAGGCGAAATACGTCACAATTGCGTTGAATGTCACGTGCTCTCCGCTGGCTGTTCTCCGAGCGCTTGCAAAGTGGGCCGTTTATAGCGAAAAATACAGCCATTAGGCTCAAAATACGAATGTGTGATTGTCATTTACGGATATTCTGGATCATATTCAACCTATTTTTGAACACGACGGGTATATTTCAAATTTCGTTGAAGTATCCCTTTAATGTGTGATGCCGGGGCTCGACACCACGATGCCACGTCACCCCTACTCAGAGAGCAGACAAACTTCTGCCCTTGTGTCCGCGCATTATATCCTTCAATCGGGTTGAGGCTGTGACATCCTTAAACTACCATGAATGGAACAAAAGAGTTTTAGAGAGCACTGCAGCGGGGTTTACTTAAAACACAGACCTGGTGTAAAAAGCCACTGTTGTTATTTGCATCGAAATTGCAGCCCCACCCCAGCCCTGTCATTCATTCATTCATTCATTTATTTCATTCATTTATTGATACTGTCAGCCCTTGCACAGGGCTATTACAGGGGTGGAGAAAAAAAAGGACAATAACAAACAAACATGTACGCTTACACGCAAGCATACACAAAGGTTACAGACATATTGAGAGGCTTCGTCATTTCGGCAGTTTACGAAACGAATATCACTTCGTAGTTGTGAAACATTTCTTTACACAAGCTGTAGTGGTTTTAGTTTGTAGCACATACAATAATATCACTGACACGGTCCAGAAATTCATTTAGCGACATAGATGACACAGCAGAATCAGGTAATATATTCCAATCTTTAATAGCCCTCGGAAAAAAACTGTACTTAAAGCAATCGTTTTTAACAGATGGATTAGGAATGTACATGCTATGACGATGTCTTGAGGATTCGGTGGAGGAAATTTCAAAGTACTCGGATTTCCTTATTTTTACGCAATTATGAATAATCTGAAAAAGAAACTTTAACCTTTCATACTTCGTTCTTGATTCAAATGTAGGAAGATTGGCAAGTTCACATAGTTTTGTGGGGGAATGAACGTGGCTGTATTTATTAAAAATAAACCTGGATGCGAGTCGCTGGATTTTCTCCAGCTTATTGCAATTTGTGACGGTATATGGGTCCCATACAATTTTAGAATACTCGATGACGGGTCTTACCAGTGTCTTATAAGCTAGACTTTTTATTTCAGGAGTTGCAATAGCGAGGTTTCGTCGAAGGCACCACAGTGCTTTATTAGCTTTGATGCATACGTTATCAATGTGAGTGTTCCATTTTAGATCAGGAGTAAATATTAAGCCTAAGTATTTATGTTCTTTAACTCTCTCCAACTCAGCACCCGCAATGCAATAATTATAAGCCAAAACATTTATTTTTCTCGTAATAGACATGAAGACAGATTTTTCAGGATTTAGCACCATTTGCCAATTTTGACACCACTTTATAATTTTTTCTAAGTTACAGTTTAATTCGACTTGATCAGCCGATGTTTCAATTTTATTGTAAATCACACAGTCGTCGGCGAATAGTCTGATTGGAACCGAGATGTCATTGCGCAGATCGTTAATGTAAATCAAAAATAAAAGAGGACCCAAGACACTGCCCTGGGGTACGCCTGAAACAACTGGGGACATAGTGGATTTGCTACCCCCAACTTTAACGTACTGTTTCCGTGATGAAAGATAAGAGGAAAACCACTTCGTGATGGCTGGATTCTTAAAAACAGCACTGATTTTCAATAGCAATTTGGGGTGAGATACTTTGTCGAACGCCTTTGCGAAATCTAGGAATATTACATCAGTTTGACCACGACAGTTTATCCTTTGAGAGAGATCATGAACAGTTTCTATGAGCTGGGTAGTCGTGGAAAGACCTCTGCGGAAACCATGCTGCGATTTAAATAATATGTCATATTTTTCAAGGTAAGCCAGTAGATGTTTAGATATGATATGTTCAAGGAGCTTTGAGCATGTACTAGTAAGGGAAATGGGGCGAAAGTTACAGACGTCATTAACACTACCGCTCTTGTGGATGGGAATAATTTTTGCTATTTTCCAAGCGCTGGGAAAAGAACCGCTACTCATAGACAATCTAAAGATGATAGTAAGGTATTTAGAAACCCACTCAGCATACCTTTTTAAAAATTCATTCGGAATTTCGTCTGGACCTGGGCTCTTTTTTGAGTCGATGTTAAGTAGAAGGTTAAAAACTCCTTGCTCACTTATATCTAAGTTATTGATGGGAGGATTGTTGGAAGAATCACTAAAGCTTGGCAAATTTCCATCATCGTTGGTGAAAACGGATGAAAAAAAAGTGCTAAAATTTTCAACGCTCTGCTTTTCATTTTTTAGGTCAGAGGCACGCTGCTGGAACTTAGCCGAAGGGTTGACGTACCGCCAGAACTTCTCAGGTGCCTCGCTAAGGAATTTTTTAAGTGTTATACTATAAAACCTTTCTTTAGACTCTCTAACTAGACGCCTCAGCTCCCGACTCAATCGCTGAATGCAAGTTTTTTTTTCTACACCTGTACCATGTGAACTCACTCGTCTCCGCTTCAGTTGTCGTTTTGCGTGGATTATTTCCCTTGTAATCCAAGGATTTTTGTTCGCGATTTTTTTAGGGCGCTTTGGTATAAATCGCTCAATACACCGTAACGTCATGCTTGAAAAATAGTCCCATAACGTGTCTGGGCTAGCATCTGATTGGTAAAGAAACATAAAATCATCAAACGATTGTTCAAGGCAATCAAGTACGCTTACATCATCAGCACTTCTAAAATCCAAAAACATCTTTCTTGAATGACTGTGCGATTTTTCTGGGGTAACATTCAATGAGACGAGTACCATCCTATGATCGGATAGGCCTTCTTCGGTTTCACATTTCGAAAAATATGGTTTTAAACTCTCGGAAACAAAAACTAGATCTAAAATTGTTGACGTTGTTGAACATACTCTAGTGTAATCTGTTACCACCTGGGATAAGTTATAGCAAAATACAAGTTCTAATAATTGATCGCAACTAGCTACTTCCGCCGTTCCATGAGAATATGATGACCAGTCAATCCCAGGTAAATTAAGATCTCCCAGTAACAAAATGTTGTCTCCGTAACGTAAATTGGAATCCATGTAGCCCCTTAGTTTTAACAGCATTTCAACTGGCGAATTCGGGGCTCTGTACACGCCACCAATATAAACTGTACGGTTATTCAATTTTGTCTTGATCCATAATGCTTCTACATCCCGTACTTCCTCAAGGACTTCAAATTTGATGTTATTTTTAATCATAATAGCAACTCCGCCTCCCCTTCCCTCTCTATCTTTTCTTATTATTGAATAATTCGGTGGAGTAACTTCGGAGTTTAAGATATTTTCATGAAGCCATGTCTCGGTAATTACGGCCACTTCAGGATCGTGCTCTAGCATTATGCTTTCGAACGCGTCAACCTTGTTTGCAATACTTCTGGCGTTTATGTTTAATATTTTAAAACATGCTGAATCATTTTGTTTTAGTCACTCGTTATTTGCTTCCGGTGGAACGCGACACTTGTATCTCTCATTGCTGACTTCATTCCAGGCGTACAGAACATTGTTAAGCCACAGCTTATCAAAGACTAGATTGACTTTGGCACCGTTTTTCCTCTCCTCTGCGGTTGAATTCCACAGGTTCTTTCGAAGCTCAACAACCCTCTTGGAATAGTCTTCATTGATGCTAATTTGGGTACCTTTAAGTTTGACACAGTTTTTCATGATAGCCATTTTCTCTTTAAAATCCCCAACTGTAAGTATTACAGGGCGATCTCTACCAGTCATCTTTTTTCCAAGTCGATGTATACGTTGGATAGAGTTCAGTTTTTGACCTAGTATAGCGTCAAACACCTCATTGTTGATTTTCCTCATTAGTACATCCTCGTTTTCAGAAGACTCTTCCTTAATTCCCCTTACGATAACGTTATTTCGTCGTGAACGATTTTCTAAGTCATCAATTTGTTTTACAAGAGTATTTATTTCGACATCGTAGCCACTAACAGAGTTTTCAAGTTTAGCAAGCCTGTTCTCAGTTTCACCTACGCTCTCAAGTTTTTTTTCTATCGCAAGTAGCCTGTTTTGCATTTGTAGCATACTTTCTTCCGAAGAAGTCTGTTTTACTTGTACCTCAGTAATTTTAGCAAGGATCTCCTTTTGTGTCCGAATCATATCATTAAACATTTCTTGCGTAATAGGCCCAGGGTTTTCCTCCACATCTCCAGCTAGTATGAGCAACAGGCCTGCTACAGAGAAACAATCGCGTACACAAGCTGCAATTGTGTGTGGACACGGCAACACAATCAAACAGAGGTAATCGCTGTGAAAAACATGTTTTCTATCACCAACCTGCATGAGTAGTGGTACATTAGGCGACATCATCACGGCTGGGTTGCCGTGTCCACTGACGCCCGCAGCCGCTTGCGTTTCCTTTATAGGCAGTGGTGGCGCTGCTTCTTGAAGTTCTTCTGACGTCATCGTGCCCGTGAAGGGTGCGCTGTAGATGTTGGCCACGTGTAGCAACTGCAGATGAGCGATGTCAGCGCGATATCCGATAGGCGATGAAGACGACGTTTGGCCCGAAGCGATGAGTAGGCACCAAGTGCAAACCTGCATGAGTAGTGGTACATTAGGCGACATCATCACGGCTGGGTTGCCGTGTCCACTGACGCCCGCAGCCGCTTGCGTTTCCTTTATAGGCAGTGGTGGCGCTGCTTCTTGAAGTTCTTCTGACGTCATCGTGCCCGTGAAGGGTGCGCTGTAGATGTTGGCCACGTGTAGCAACTGCAGATGAGCGATGTCAGCGCGATATCCGATAGGCGATGAAGACGACGTTTGGCCCGAAGCGATGAGTAGGCACCAAGTGCAAACCTGCATGAGTAGTGGTACATTAGGCGACATCATCACGGCTGGGTTGCCGTGTCCACTCAAATGCGATTTACTACGCAAATCGCATTTGCTCTGGCAAAGTGTAACTGAAGCCGCATTTTCGCTGCTTTTGAATGCACAAAATATCGGTCTCGAATATATCTTCGGTGTATCCAGGCAGCTTGGCGATTTGGAACTCGAGTGCATTTGGCCCATCAGTTTAGCGGGTGCCCATTAAACTTGGTCTCATCTGGCACCATTACAGGTTTGCCTCCGAGAAGATGGCAGCAGACGACCATGGCGCCGTAGAGGCTCTTTCCCACCGCATGGTTGGCTTCTCCGACGCTCTAGACTGGAGACCGCTGCTTTTCGTGGAGCCCGTCATCGCAGAGCGAGCTTGTGCCCTGTGCGGTGTGGTTTGCGGGACGGCGGTCAGGCTGAGCTGCGCCCACACCCTCTGCCCGGACTGCTATGCGGAGTGCGTCGAGCAAGGACGCACCTGTCCGCTAGACCAGGAGCCCTTTAGCGAGGACGACCTGCTGCGACTGGACTGCTCCACGAGCTACCTCGGCAAGCGCAGGGTGAGTTGGTCGGAGACTTCGGAAGGTGTAGACTACGGTTTCCAGAGCGCGTCTTCGATCGGTGTGTTTACTACATCCTCAACGGTGGTTCCTCGATTTCTGCCCGACGACGTCAGCGAAAAACAAAGCAGATGCGGGACGGGATGCCGCGTCAACAGAGGCACCTTGTGGTCGCCCATCTTTTTCACCAGGATCGCGACGTCCGACAGCGAGGCATCCCCGCTTCCACGACACAATTTATTGCCATTTGAGACCACTTTTTATGTGTGGGTGGGATAGGGTGTGAGTGTAAACGCACTGGTCAAAGATACGTTCCAAGCACCGTAATGCAGACACATATTAACGCCACGGTGACCGTGATACCCTGCTGCAAGGTAGGCCTGTCCGGACGATTGCGAATGACGTGAGATGCTCGAACTGGTAGACAGGGCTCCATCTTTCTGGACGTTGGGTTGCATGCGACGCCCTGAATCCCCGTTGCAAAGACAAATCTGTGAAAGATGCTTCTGAGCATTTTGGCCTTTTTCTCGACTATGCTCCGTATGGTGGATTGCAGCAGACGCCAAGTGCCGTCGGAGCCCAGGCAATGCAGTACAAATGTTGAGTAACCTTTCGGAGGGGCGCAGCAACGTGTGGGGCGTAAAGTCACACGTCGCATTCACGTCGTATTTGGCTCGGAGCGCCCGCTGCAATTCATTGAAAGGTGAGGCAGACCATAGTTGTACCTTGAGCCACTGCGTGTGCCCGCTTCAGCTGCCAGAAGCACTAGTTTTAACCTTATTTTCTGGTCTTGAAAAATCCCCTTGAACCGAGATTTTTCCCATGTTTATTTTTAAGGAAAATCGGAAGATGTTGTTTTTGGCATTCTTTGGTTAAAACCGGAATATGTGAAAAACACATCAGCGCCCAGTTGCCATGGGCAGTCATTGTCGCCGCAACTGGTGAACAGCACGGGCATATTGCACTGGTGAAGTGGCTTCAGTGATGCTGAAGCTGCTTCACCGGTCACTTTTTAAATTTTTATAATGAACTATTTATTGTATTTACTCACGTAATGAACGCATTCTCTACAACATAATTGTCAGTATATTGACTTTTCTCTTCTCCTACGGATTCGCTGACTCAATTTAGCTACCAAGCAGCCAGGCCAAGCCAAGCCAAATGAAGCATGGCAGCACCCGCGCACAAGTTATGAATATTATAGTGTCACTTTATTGTGGGTGCAAGTGGGAAGCTCTGGAAGCGATCAGCAGAGTAACTGCGTGGCACGCACGACCAACAAAGCTTGTGTTGAGGAATCGCCCATCCCTTGGACATATTACGTCCATCAGATATGAATTGACGTCAACGAACATGTCGTGGCCTGTGGACCATTTTGGATGCTGAAATAGTGAGTGGTTAGGCCCAGCCCCAAAAATGGGTGCGTCAGATTTTGTGCTTAGTGCTGCAGATGCGAAAACTGTGTTGAGTGTCGTAGTGTGCTTTTTTGTATGCAAAAAAGACGTTAAAAGTTTGATTTTCACAAGTTGGCGTGCTCGGCTAGCTTCGCAAACGACAGTTTTTTCGACTTCAGTGATCGGACCAAACAAGGGCCCACTTGACCACATGCTCCTTCTGCACTTTTACTCTTGGACCTAACAAGTGCCCATTCCCCAGTTTTTTCACAATTAACTTCCAATTTTGAGTGGGTGCTTGCTCCGTATTTTGATGGTAGCTATACAGAACCAATTTCCAGATAAGTAGCGACGCCAAACAGTTGCTTCACCAAGCTGTAACTCACATCGTGCATATTGTTTCCTTTCTGAAGGTGGCCTGCTGGAACGCACCCAGTGGCTGCGACTTTATTGGTCCTGTCACAAGTCTCCTAGATCATTTCAAGCAGTGCACCTTCCACACCGTGTCCTGCCCCCAGTGTCACTTCCCTGTGGTGCGAAGCAACATAGTGAGACACTGCAGAGGTGGCTGCTGCTCACGTCCAGCCACGGATACAGTTGCCAAGAACCGCCAGAGCCGTGAACGTGACAGCATTCAGCAGGCACGTGACGAACTCAAAGAAGCCCTGGGAAAGGTGTCTGAAGAGCTCATCTCGCTGCAGAGCGGTTTGAACCAGTGCCGCGAAGACATCAGAGCAACTAGAGCAACGGGTACAAGCTGTCAACATCTGTTGGAAAGTCACGCTCTAAGGCTCAATGCTCTCAATGCACTCTGCACCTCATCCTTCACCGAAGAACGGAGGACAGTTGAGAAGGTTGCGGCAGATGTGGCGGCGATGAAACTGAGCAGCAGTCTCACAAATATTGAGGTTTCGACACTGCGTTTGGCACAGAGTACGCAGAGCAACCAGCTGATTGCAGCCACAGAAGACTTGTCTTATAACTTGATTCGTTTTTGTGGACCCAAGACATTTCACTGGTACGTTAGTGATTGGGCAAACATGAAGGCAACAGCACACCAAGGTCGCACTGCCTCTTCCGAGAGCCCTACGTGGAATGCCTTTGGTTACAATGTTTGCTCCTTTGTCCAACTTGTGAAGAATGATAACCGGGGGCTCAATTTCAACTGTTACTTCAAGATTTACGCTGGCAGCAGTGATTCGGAGCTTGGATGGCCCTTCAGCAAGACTGTTGTGTTCAAAATTATTCATCCCAAGGACAAGTCAAAGGACATTTCCTACAAAATGGATGCAGATAATTATAGAGAAAACGACTCTTTTCACAGGCCAACAGGAACGTCGGATGTGGGGATTGGAATCTCTTCCCTCTGCACTGCGGGCAAACTTCATGGAGAAGGGTTTATTCGTGACAACAAACTGCACATGCTTTTGCAGGTCAAGCCATAGATGGCCAAAATGCTTTTCTTTTAGTACATAATGTTCTGGCGAAAGATTGATGTGACAACCTCTACCCAGAAGTGTATCAGATATGTATTTCTTTAACCTTGGAACTGCAGGTATGTATTTTTTGGCAGTGAGCTCTATCCAAACAATATTTAGACGCAAATAAAAGATTCCAACTTGATGTGCAAAGAAAGTCGAAGCTGTCCCCGCTGTCTCCTTTGCTGGCATATATGACAGGGCATTCTTTTATTCCTATGTCTTGGCTACTGCTGACCTTGCCTGCATTTTCTCAGACTTGCACCCTGTATAGTACATACTTCATTCATACAAGCTTTATTTTTTGTTTTCCACGACATGTCATGCGAACATTTGCGCCATACATTTGGAGTTCTGCTACCAGTCTCGCCAGGTTTGATGTGCACGGGCCGTGCATGCGCATGTGTGCGTGCAATCGCTAAGGCGCGAGGCATGTGGAAAGACCACTGGCCTGCAGTGGAGACGCATATCACCGTTTTGAGACAGACTGAATGACTCGTCAAATTGACAGCAAAAGGTCAGTCTGCATGTTGACATCATGTCACTACGAACTGACATGACAACAGGCAGGAAGACATCATAGTTGAATTGGCCAGATGGTACAAAATATCCTGTTGGGTAGTTTCAAGTTGTGTAAGCCGCCTATTTTTTAAAAAGTGAATGCCTCTTAATTACAATGTCAAAAGCAGGGTAAATGTCAGTTCATGTGTATTTTGAAGGTGATTCAGTGCCATGGCAGACATGGGAAACATACATCCCCAACAAATAGACTTCTATGTTGCATTCAAAATTTATTAAACATACTGGTAGAACTTAAAGCATGTCTTCATATCTTGGGGATTTACATTTCATTAGAAAGAAGTTGTATTTAAAGTTACTTTTATATGCACTGTCTAAGGTAAAGTCGGCACTTTTTTAAGTTGCGAGTACATTTTGTCATTCATCTAGCGAAATTTCGTTACAAAGAAAGGTAAGTAGACACCGTGGTGTGGTTTTTTTTTTTCCCAAACACTCGCTATTTTTTACTATGACCGCCGCAAGCTAATGCCAAAGGGACTGAAATAGTTTGCTTACATTTGCTTGCACTTTTCTCTGGGCATCATTGGAGGTCACAGTCAAATTCGATGGTTTTACACGCCAAACCAATGATGGGCATCTGGCACGCCCCAGAGGACTGAGGATCAATTTGGACCACCTGGGGATCTTCCGACGTGCAACCAAAAGCTCGGTTACACGACGCCTTCTCCGCAATAGGCCTCAGTCAGATTTGGGGCACATCAGTTGGGATTTGAACCCACCACCTGGGGATCTGTAGGCTGGCGCTTTGCCTTGGAGCCACCAAGGCGGCTCATCAGTGTTTGGCTATTCCCACCACCGCAGCAATTTGACATGAGCATCAACCCAAATGTCCAGCTAGGCATTGACTAAACGTCGTAACTGATCCCCTGTCAAGCTTGCAGTGCCCATGTTCAATTCTTGGGCCACATATGACTCGCTCTAGGGTGATTCCCGCTAGAAGCCGACAGAAACGTCGGCTGTGGGATTTGGATTCGCTCCCCTCTGCACTGCTTGCGAACTTCACAAACGAGGATTTCTTTGTGACAACAAACTGCATATGCTCTTGCAGGTCGTGTCATAGCCTGTTTATTGCACTTGCATCGATCGTTAGAAGATTGCCCAACTGCCGGGAAAGGTAACGTGAACATTTTTCCTTACAGAATGTCTCGGCAAGAGATTGACGTAATAATCTTTTCTCAAAAGTCGGTAACATAATTGTTTCTGTTGTCTTGAACCTGCAGATATATACTTTTAGGCAGTGAGCTCCACCTAAACAATGCATAGACTCAAATAAAAATCTGATTTGATTTGCAGAGAGTCGAAGCTGTCCCAACTGTCTCCTTTGCTGGCATGTCATTCTTAATTACCAAGATCAATCTGGACATGGGCATGTGTGCCCTCTACATGACTTGAAAGGGCGTATGCACGTGAAGGAACAAAAAGGACATTCCCGTATTCCTGGCTGTCCATTACCTTGCCTTCATTTTCCCAGGCTTTCACCCAAAGTAGTGCTTAATTTGTATTGGTGCAATTCTTTTTTCGTTGGCCGCCGCCTTAACACACTGCAACATGCTAAGTGCCGACCTTGTCATTTTTTACACAGGCGTACTGTGAATGAACAAGTGCATGTAATCGTTAACCCCCCCCCGTGCGCTGCACTCGGGGTAGATCCCCCCTCGTGATGCCACTCATTTATCTAGCAAAACTTGTGGAAAGAAGGTGGGCAGACTGTAGGGTGGTTTCTCATCTCAGTCTCCCATACTTTTCACGTGGTTATGGCAAGACAGTGCCAAAGAGGCCATAAAACGTCTTTTTGGGATTTTCGTTACATACTGCTCATAACCTATGCCAGTGGTTCTCAAATGGGGGTCCATGAAGGCATTCTAGGGGTCCGTGAAGCTCTGCCTTATCAGTCAAGCCCAGCAATTAAAGTTGCATATTTTTTTTATATTGGCATGAAACAATCCAATTTTTGGGCGAGTTTTCTCGTGTGTATACCAATCAGAAAATTCTACTTCACACTAGCCCATAGTTTTATTCATTTATTAACTCGTTATCATAATTAACCTAAACCTTTTCCTTCCCCTCACCACAAACAGGGTCCTCCATCATATCTGCCAATCCACAAGGGTCCACAAAACATCAATGGTTGAGAACCACTGGCCTATGCAATGTGCACTAGTCTCCCTCTCAATGCATTTGTCAATTGTAAAAAAGATGAAAAATTAGCAGCGTTTCTCCCTCAACTCTTAGCTAAGACAAGCAATAACGTGGAACAATGCTGATCCCCGAGCATCCCACAACAATTGGACATAAGCAACAACCCAAATTTCCACCAAGATTTTGATGCAACAGAGTTCAAACCATGCACTCCCGCAGTGCTCGTATCCAATCTGTCGACCGCATTCGACTACCGTCACACTGGTGGAATCTTTGTGACTGTCGACAAGTCTCGCAAAGACTGAAAGAAACAGTCTGCAACTATAATTTAAATTGTGCAGCAACAAGAAAGCTTCTGGTGCACTGGCATTGCTTGTAAGTATGCTTTTGTAAAGAGCCTAACATTCATATACAATATTGTTTCATGGCCCCTTTGATTAAGCTCAAATATCGATCAGAAATTCCATGAAGTGAAAGTATACATGGCTTGCACATGAGGTCTTTGCACCATGTTGGTGGTCAACCCTACTCGTTCTTGCCAGAGTACAAATTCAGTGATGCAAATTAATGGCGCAGAGGCTAACGGCTCAGCAGCAAGACCACCACAATGGCAGCCAATGTGACGTCAATGCAAGCCACCCGTACACAATCTGCTGCGTTGGCCATGACAGCAAAAGCTTGTTGGAGTTTCATGCTACAATGCTTCTGCATTTGTCAAAGTAAAAAAATCTTAGTGTATCAAGTGCCTAACAAAGTTATGTGAAATAAGACTTCGTAAGAAAATAAGATCAAAGCACTCGCCACAGCAACAGGCTCGCGCCGAGATTGCACAGCGCGTCCACTTTCAAGAGCATGGAATTAATCGGACAGGAAAATGGCCAAGGAATGGGCACTCTCAGCATTGCTTTGTTAGCCATCACTTTACAAGATCTCGTAAGTATGAAGACATACTACTCAAAAGGGTGTTCAGGCGCCATCCTCAATGTTCTGCTCATCTAACGTTCGCTAACAATTTACGGCAGTACGTTAAAGCATAAAGACCTGGCTCAGTGGTAACACTCATTTCTCACGACCACCTGTAATGAGCGTAAGCCTTGTTGGCCTCGCACTGCTTGTGCAGTTCGTGCTTCTTCTTCACCACACGGCCCTGGTTGTTGAACGCGTCCATGATTTCCTTGGCGAGCTGATCTTCGAAGGGAACCCTCTGGTCTTTGTCATTGGCCGCGTCAAGCATCCACTTCATTGACAGAAAGCGGGCGCGGTTGGGAGTCATCGGAATCGGGACCTGGTAAGTGATACCGCCCCGCTTGATAGGCGAGAGCTCTACCACCGGGCGACAGTTCTCGAGTGCCTTGTGCAGGATGGTCACTGGGTTACACTCGATGCTCTCCTTCGCGTCGGGGTCTTGCTCCCGATGGTACTTGGTGAGCTGCATCTTCTTGACGTTGAACAGCGCGCTTTCCACGTTCCTGGTGGCGAGCGCCTTCTGTCCCTTGCGCATCAGCATGTTGATGAATTTGTGGAGGACGGGGTCGTAGAAGACGGACGACGTGACATCGCTGAGTGCCGCCTTGATGGGGGCGAACTTGAGCTCCTTCGTTTCTCCGGCGGCCTCCAGTTCTTGAAGTTGCGTCTTGTCCACAATGGGTTCTCGGTATCCCTTGTGGTAGACGGACGTTCGGACTGGCACCGCGAACACTGGGTGTATTCTGTTCGAAAAGAGAGTTCGCGTTTGGGAGCACGCGAGAACTCGAGTAGACGCCGCCATTTTAAAGGAAAAAAAACTTGTTTGTCAGCGTTACCAGACGACTGAGAATTAAGCGCTAAAATTATCCAAATGACAGCTTTTAAAGTTTACGTGATTAATTGGAAGCATATTAATTATTATTATTTCAATAAATCTTCAGCTTAATAATCATTTTAGTTGCGTGGGATTTTGATGAAAGTAACTGACGCCGCTGACCCAAAGGGAATGTTTAATACAAATTTATAAAGTTTAATAACGTTTTCCGTACGGAACACTGAATGGAATTGAAAACCACATTTGTTTGTGGTCAAGAATGAGGAATTCGGTTGAACCGGTTCAACGATTTCTGCCTCGTTTTCATTTGCGTTTACATTGCAAAACCATCACCCAAGCAACACTGGTCTAGACGTGGCGACAGTTCGTGTTTTGTACTCCCGTCGCATCTCGGTAATCTTTTCTCACTCGAATTTTCTTCCCTCCCTATCACCGCAATCGAATTTTCGATACAAATTGTGAACATACTGCCAATCTTTCCTAGATTTAGACATGCCCAATTAGAATCGAGGCCCGATCTGTAGACCGGGCAGCAGGCAAACATATCGTACCCCGATTCACATTTCCTGGGGACTCCTAGTCTTCCGGTCTTGGCGTAACAGGTTTTTAAGAAGCGACATCCCCTATAACTTAAAAGTTCAGTCACGGCATGCGATCTCCATGTCATTATCCTAAATAAGATGACCACTACATGCGGTCGGTGCACGGTTGCATGCTGCCACCGAGCTGAATGCATGCTGATGTGTGCGTCCATGTTTGTGTTTTCGTGTCTTCAGCCAAGATGATGGAAGAGGCGGCAGACGACACAAACGGCGACTCCACGTTCGAGTTCGTGGGAGTTAAGGATGCGACTGGCCACCAAGACGCCGCCGACAAACAGCCGGGTATGTCCACGGGGTCAGAAATACGGGGTGTTCCGAGGGAAAGCAAACACGTCGAGAGCCGCTTAAGAAGAGCGACAGGCTCGTGCAACACGTTGCATCTGATCCGATTGATGCTGTTAGCCATTTCTCACACAGTACCAAAATTTCAAACCTGTACACATTCCGCACGAAAACCTGCGATAAGTCATCAGCTTTGTTGGCAAACGTATTCCCTTTCGTATTAGAGTTACAGTTTGATTTGCTGTGTTGGATGTCATCTATCGTGCAAAAATAGCAGGCGATGCCTGCGACATTATTTATTGCTACTTCGGGATTAATTTTGACGGATGGGCGCACTATAGGATGCTAGGCGCACCACTCCAAGACACATTCCAGGCATCGTGGTCCTGTCTCATGACTTATTGAGGACAATTTTATAGGACAAGCCTTTCCAACAAAGTTCTTTGCTCGTTCTGATTGATTGTTTCCTCCTCTCCGGCATTCACTTTGCTAAAGTTGAAAGAGTGGGGGGCTTGGTGGGAAAAAGCTTGTCCTGCTTTCCTTAACCTGCAAAACAGATTGTAATACTACTTTTCCTCAACTTTTTTTTTTCTCGTGTGTTGGGAGTGGCAAGTAAAATACATAGATAGCATTCCGAAATGATTAAATAGAGCTGCAGCTTTACTAAGGTATTAGGTGCACCGCAGCTATTTGCGTTTAGCTGTACCTCGATACCTATCATGATCTCAGAAACGCTTTCTTCCTGACCCCACTCAGACGGCGGCAACAGCAGCACGGGGACTGGCGACAAACCACCGTCGTCCGCACCACCCATCGTTGCCACAACAAAGCAGACAATGTTCCAACCTGCCTCGCCGCAGACGACGACCCAGGCGCAGATTCCTCCTCGACCAATCACGTCGCCGTTTCAACTGACTCAAATGCCTACATATGCCGTGCCAGCGCTGCCCACTGTACCAAACGTAGCGCCAGCTGCCGCTGCACCGGGACCACAGAGTTTTGTGTCGAGCTTCCAGCCTCAGCCGGGTTATCAGCCTCAGCCGGGTTATCAGCCTGCCACACAGCAACCAGCAGTGGCTCAGCCGCCACCACCTCAGCAGTGAGTGGTTTCTGCCGTCTGTTTGTATGAGTTTTGATCTATACGAGTTTATATGAACTTAAGTGAATCAATACGAGCTTATGTGAGTTTTATGGGATCTGTGCGAGTTTATATGAGTCTTGTGGAATTTATATGAGTTTAGTGCAATCCACTTGTAACGATAATGAGAAAACCCGAAAATTTAATTGTTATAACTGATTGTCATTGTATCTAAAGCAGAAACTGATCATTTCTAGTCTAGAAAATCTAAAAACTGATTGTTATAAGCAGCACATGATTAAATGTGGTATCAATAAAGGTGGAGTGCACTGTATATGAATTTCATAGAATCTATGCGAGTTTATACAAGTTTTTTTTGCTATAGACAAGTTTTACAGCGTAGTGAAATTAGCCGAAAATTGATTTGGGTGTGCCGGGTTTTATGCTGTTGCTCATACAAGCCAGTAGAAATGTCTTCACTGTTTTCATTCCTTAAAAATACAAATGAACGGCTGAAAAGCTGCTTTATAACATTTCATTATTACAAAGATAACAAACTCACTTTGGTTATTCATCCACACTCATGGGAGTTGTGGCTGTGCCTTCCAACTGCAGATTAGGAAGATGGAATTTCGTATAATGTCAAAACTAAGCTTAAAATAGATTCTGCTCTTTAGGATTAGTGGCATGAGTTGGCACTCACATCTAGACATTGGTAATATGATTTGCTCTCTGGTCAGATAAAAGTATCTTTGCTATCCTATTTTAACCAGCTAGACACAAAACAAAGACAATCAAAATAGTAACCATATTTCAAGCTGAGGTTACCATTTTGAGCACCACTTAACCAAAGGGTACTAAAATGTAAACCTGGGATGCTTGTGATCCTTTTTCTTTACCCTCTCCTTGCAGATATTACACCCCTGAAACTAACTATGAGGCTTACATGTAAGTCTCTTCTTTCCAAATCTCTCGCTGGACTAACCGCTTGCTTGTCCACAGGCTGGGTAAATTGGAGATGCCGGGTCGCATTAAATCTACTTTAAATGTCGCTGGCATATGTTGGGTCGCATTAAATCTTTTTTGGTGTCTTGTGCAATAATTTGCTATGTAGTTGTAGCTATACTGTGCATATTGTTTATAAAAATATACAAACATATAATCTGGATGAAAAGTTAGACAAGGAAGCTTCTTTTCATCCACTCTCCACAGAGAAAATCTGCAGATGATCTTTGCTCAGTTGACAGTGGTTTGAAGCTGTCAAAGGCATCACATCAAAGTTAGCAGCGGTTATTGGCCATCACTATGATTAGGCTAATACCATCTGCTGATTAGCACTGTCATTATTGGCATTGGGATAAAGCGATGGTCATGCCTGCGCAGCATAGCACATGCATATTTACACACACACACACACAAGAAAAAGTTTTTTACTTTTTTTTGTGTGTGTGTGTGTTTTACTGGCAGCGGGATTTACTGCTGTTTATTGATAAGTTCTTGCTTTTTAACTTTATGTCCAGATAACTTCATATTTCCACATTTCGAGTGCGAATGGGCATCGTCTCATTACGCAACTCTGACGAATTGCTGTGTGGTAACTTGAAGAGCTCCTTATCAGTCCCTTTCACCCACACTGTTATCCAGTACAATAACCTGTTTCTCAGATTATACAAATCCTCCTAACCTGATTGATCAAAACTGGGGTTTCGTCAAAACTGGCATTGCTTCAAATACTTGTAAAGTGGCCTCATACCGATAAGAGGTCAAACAAGACAAGGGGTATGGATTCGAAGAAAGAAGCAGCCTCACAAACAGCTCATTAGTGTTTGTGTTCCAGGTAAACGCAAAATCATGATGTAGTTACAGATTTGCTTCCTGGGAAGCTTGGATTTTCTTCGTTCAAGGAGAGCTCTGATTTGGGGTTTTTGGGTTTTCTCAGCTCGGGGGTTAATTTTTGGGGTTTGTTGGTACTATTTATTGAAATTACGGAATTCTTACCATAACCAACGAAATAATGTGAGTTGATGGCCGAGTTGGTTAGACACAGGGATGGGCAAAATACATGCAAATATGTATCGAAGTTCAAATACAAAATACTTCGTCAAAAATGTATTTAATTACAAATCTAATTACATTTCCAGAAAAAGCATTTAAATACAAGATACAAATACAACCAAATGTATTTGGTCTCCTCCAAATACTTTTCCAAATACATTCCTTAAAATTTGCGTCAGCAACTTCAGGGCACCTGCAACGGGTTTCTGGGTATCTCATTTTAATTTTGCATCGCACACTCGGGAGTTAGTGTGCGAGGCTCTAGTAACGTAATAGAATAATAATCACACAAAAAAAATGTAATCAGCTTGAACGTAATAGGTAAAAAAAGTACAGAGCTTCAAGCAGCTTTTTTTTGTCGATTACATTTTGGTATAGACCAACAAAGAACCGGGACTCCCCCCCCCCCCCCCCCCCAAGACGCGCAGCACTAGCTAGATATTTCTTTTATTGTTGCAACTCGCACCAGTTACGAAAATCTACACGACCCGCACATTTAGAATTGCCAGGAAAAAATATGGATGGAACATATGAATCAGGCTGGAAAGCATCACAAGTTGTCACAGGCACTTATTTACAGACTTGGACGTAGTTCAACTACTCTACTCAAACTACTGTAGTTTAACTACTTTTTCGAGTAACTTGGTAACTTTCGATTAGAACTTAATTTGGGTAATTTGTAGTTTAATTTAACTACTTTTTTCAGGTAACTTCTACTCAAATTACTAACTACTTTCGAAATTATATAGTGCTAAATTTGCCCATCACAAAAGTTTGAGCGCAGAAATGAATAAGACGCCGGCAAATAAGGTGGCATTCCCGAACAAGGGGCCCCCTTGTTCGGGAAGGCGTCCTTGGGCCAAGGTGGCGACGAGCAGCCAAAATATAACACCGGCACGCACGAACGCAGGAAGAGATGCTTAACAAGCCTTGGTTGGGTATTGACCTAATCCGGTAATGCACGCAGGCGCCGCGTTTCCAGCTGCAACCGTGAAAGACGGGGACACTCCGAGAGTTGTTGTTTTCGTGTTGTCTCTCTGACTCAAGCGGTAGGTTCCACGGGAGGCGCCACTGGAATGACCTCGCAGCTGAACGCCTGTTCGTATGGTCGCCTTGTTGTCAGCGCATACGCCTTTGCAAAGCCGGACTCCCCCGCGCACAAACCCTGGCACGGATAATCCGTTCATGGGATTACGTTCCCGCTTCCATGCTTGTTCACGTAATCCTTCGCGTCCTTCCGACCATCCATGCCTGGGAGACCTCCTCTTTGTTAAAAACGATTTACTTGTCAGGTGTGTCAGGCGCATCAGAATATTGTAGTCGCCGGCGAGGATTGCGAGTTACCCTTGGGAGATCATTTTGTTGGACCCGGCGTCAGCGGCGAAGTATGCTTCGTTTCATCTTCTGTTAAATCAAAACTAGCACTACAGCGGGACGCGCAGTCGTCCGGATGATCTCGTCGTCGTGGCGCGAGACTTGAACCATTGACGGTCTGGTGCACTCGCTCGGCGTACTCTCAGAATGACGTCGGGATAAAGAGGGGCCAGGCATAAAAATCTCAACTTGACGAAGAAAAAAGAAAAAAAGGAGGAAAGTTTGTTATAAAAGACCCTCCGAGGCAAACCTCACGTGTTTAGTCATGGGCACCTAAGATGCCGACACTCGCTTACCCGACCCTGCACAGCCTGTTTCTCAAATTCAACGCTGCGGTTCCATCCAGCCCGTCGGTGGAACGTCTATTTAGCTTGGCTGGGGACGTCCTTAGAAGGAAAAGGGGAAAACTCTCCTATCAAGAACTTTGAAAGTCAATTGCCTCTGCGAGCAAATAAACTATTTTGGCGAAAACGCAAGCCATAAATCGAGTGCATTCATCTTCTGCTCGCATGGTTTTTCATTAATCAAAACTGCTGTTCATTTTGCTACCACAAAAATACAAAAAAGTAACTTCGAAAGTAACTTCAAAGTAACTCGCTACTTTTTTACAGTAGTTAGTAGTTTACTCAATTACTATTACAAATGCGTAATTTCTACTCTACTCCAATTACTTTTGGCGTCGATACTCAGTAACTTAACTTAACTACCTTTTTTGAGTAATTTGTACATGTCTGCTTATTTAGCCAGTCTGCCTGTGAACGTCGATTTCGTCACTATTCTTGCCCTGGACTAGCACCGTAATCACAAAGTCACTAAACGCTTGTGCTTGAATGAGAGACACTGCATTCGGTGCAGAACGCAGTTTTCTTCCTGCTCTGGACAGTGACAATAAATTTGAGGGATATATTTTCGCCCACAAAATTGTATTTAATCGCAATTGTATTTGAAATACCCACGTTTTCGTATTTAAATACACACGTCAAATACATTACCCAGTTTGTAATTAAATACAAATGCAAAATACACAAAGTATTTGAAATACGTATTTCAAATACTTGTATTTGAAATACTGCCCATCCCTGGTTAGACATTTAAAAAATAGCTAGCACGAAAGACAAGGACAAGTAGAAGACTGGGCAGGACAGGTGCTAATTTCAAATGAGGTTTTAATAAAACAACTAAAAATCAAAACTTAAAAAAACAAAAAAATGAATATGCTTTTCTGAAGGGGTTGGTAAGAATAATAATTAATTAATCTAAAATTAAAAAAAAAAAAAATTAATAAAAGAGCAAAGAGACAAAAATTAAGTTTAGGAAAAAATATGAAAGTAGTGATGGGACAAACTTTTTTCCGAACCAAGATTCGGACTTGAATCTGGAGATTTGGAAAGGTTCGGATAATTGACCAAATCTTCTAGCAATTCAGACGGTTCGGATAGATTTGGAACGTTGCCAGACCACACCACACCCTTTGGAAGAAGCAATGAATCCTTTGCTCACTCAAAGATATTTATTATACGTGCATTATAGACGACGCATTAAGCTTCCATATTACGTTCAAAATCTGTATCATACGAAAGGTTGAAATGAATAAAATAAGTACTCACTCAATCCTAATTCCTGACAAAATGTTGGGACGTACTCCTATGCGTCCTCAAAGCGCGAAGACCCCGACCCGAGAATCGGGCTTGACGCCAATGGCGGAGATTGAACCTTGTAGGCACGCACCATGTGCATGAAACAAAACGATGGGCTACCCGTTTCTCTTCAATAACGTCTATAATAAACAAAAACTGATTTATTTTCGCGAACAATACAAGACCGCTGACGAGTGACAACCGAACCTCCGAATATTCGTCTCGCAAAGTTCGGAAACTTCCAAATTGACCCGAATCCGAATCTCTGGTGATTCGCCTCATCACTAGTTGAAAGTACCACTTGCCCTGTCCAGTCTCTTACTTGTCCTTGTCTTTCGCGCTAACTGTTTTTGAGATATAACCGATCATCACCACAAGGAACCTTTCCCTAAACTTGCCTGCCACTTCTTTAAAAAAAAAGGACCTGCCCAGTTTTTATGGCTTTGCTCGCTTATCTCCCTTTTGCCGGACAGCCACCAGCTCTTCGCCATTGCACAATTCTGTGCGATGGCGTCATGAGTTCAGGAGCGCGCCCCGGACTGCAGAGTTGGAAGTGACTTGAAGTAGTGCCTCTTCTTCTACCCTCCTTTCCTCCAGTGGATCTGGGGACCAGTCGTCCTTCTCGTTGTCCCTTCCGACGGACTACGAACAGGGCGTGCCCCACTCTTCGGCAGGTGGGGCCCCGACAGCTGGGGTCTGGGGCTGGTTCAAGGGAAACGACTTCCTCAACAAGGTGGCCGAGAAGGCCAAGGTGGGCCTCACTCTTTCAATTCCTTTATACAATCCGCTCCAGTCTGACGTGCATCTAAGTCACGGAGAGGACGAGTTGTAAGTGGAGCCCACATTTCTTATCTGCTTGTTGTTACGACCTGGTGATGGTCAGAACTTTAGTCTGTCCGATCTCTCCAAGGCATCTCTCATATAGCTGCCTTTCATTCCCCCCCACCGCCCTCTCTTGACCCGTGTATATATCTATGCTTCCCTTCTTCGCACAACAGAGTGCCACTTTGCACAGCAAGGTCCGTGCTGCATGCTCCACCAAGGCCACATCCCAGCCTCTGACGCCAAAGAGCTAGAGCTATAAATGCTGCACATTTACAAAACTTCTACCTGTTTTAGTTTTTACTCAGCTAAGTTCATTCTTCGAAATTTCAATACACAAGATTATCCCGGCTGTAAGTCGTAGCATGATACAGCAAGAAACCGATCATTGCAGTATTCTGGAAAGGCTAACACTCCACCAGTCCACTTGGCTTTTTAAATTTTATATTTCGAGCGATCGACATTCTGGCACCCCGAGATATTGGATTTCGTGAATGGTATTTGCATACACTCGTAACATTTTTCACGAGATATATATTCTTTTTCTTACAGAACTCTGTGGATTCCATGATTACTACACTGGATCCTGGGATGAAGGAATTTATTTGTGAGTTCTTAGCTAGTTTGTTTTGCCTGTTTATTGCGGGCTGTACACGAATGTTATAAGAAACCATTTTATCTTAAAACCCAATCATTTCTCTCGCACTCCTTTTTTCCAATTCTCCGTTACTGCCAATTGTCTTGAAGAAACAATCTCTCTGTTGTAAATCAAGAAACAGTCGTTTTGAATAACCACAATCTATGACTGCAATATTCAAAAAAAGATGGCAATTTGCACCAAATGCGAATAAGCACAAAATTCAAAGTCTACCGATTGCTGAGCCTATTTAGCGGTGAATTGGTTAACAACCCTCACGCACGAAGTTTTTGATAAGCAGTTCTAATGTTTCTTACATTAAAGTAGAATGCACTGCGCGATAGATTCTTTACAGAGATCCCATCGAGCAACATTGGTGGTCACCATCTTTTGGTGACCACCATCTTTTGGATTGTTTTGGGCGCTTTTGGGCGACGAACGCGCAACGGTGTTCGGCGCGATGTGCGATTTTTCAAATTTGTGTCGTAATATAAGTAATTTTGAAAGAGTTGCAGAGGTGCTTCTGATGCGTGTGTACTTTTGAAAAGTGATAAGACTCTAATTGCCTCACGGGGACGTTGAGGAGGTGATCAACGTTTTTGGCGGGGAGGAAATAAGCGGGATGCGACCGTTGGAAGGAGCGAAAAGTGACTCCGATCGAGATAAGCGAGGGGGCAGAAAAACTACAAGAACTAGAAAAACACCCCAAGGCACACCTCAAGGAAAGACAGATAACAAGGCCAGCAAGCCAAGTAAGAAGGAGACAACGAAACAAGCGAATACGACCGAGAATGACGGTGGAGGGATGGTAAAGTGCGAGGGATGCGACCGATGGGTAGATCTAGAGGCGACGCCATTTGAAGCACTCGAGGAGGCAGAGGCAAGCCGCTACAGATGCGCGCTGTGCATCAAAATTGAGGTACTACAGGAGATTTTAGAGAATGCCCTGATGAAGGCAAAGGAAGAATGGAGAGAACGAGAGGAGTGTCTCAAGACGCTTTTTGAAGAGGAGAAAACTTTGAGGACAGCAGAACAAGCGAAAAGGGAGAAGCTAGAAAAACAAGTTGCAGAGCTCATCAACACACTAGAGACAATCCAAGGTGAGACGAGGAAGGAAAGGAGGCCACCGAGCCCGCACATGACGCAAGAAGGGGAAGGGAGGATACAGGAGACAGGCCAAGTCAGGCAAGAGGGTACGATGGCACCTCCGAGAGGTCGAAGAAACTCCCAGGTGGGAAATGAAACCCAGGAGGTGATAGACGGGGACAGCGAAGTGATAGACCAGAATGGGGAGAAAGCAAGTAGGGTAGAAAACGAAGAAAAGACAAAAGCTGAGGAAGTGACTAGCACAGACAGAGAAAAGACGGACAACACAGGGGCAAAAACAAAAATAGCCTTCCTGCTAGGCGATGCCAATGCGGAGAAACTAAAGCCCGTACTGGAGGAGGAGGTGAAGGATGCTAGAATGAAGACGTGGTTCAAGTCAAGGGCAACTTTGGGACAAACTCTGGAGCAAGCAAGAGATCTGAAAGAACTGGATGGAAGAAAAAGAGCCCTCGTAGTCATACACGCAGGCATGGAGGATGTCATGAGTGGACAGGAGGTCACCAGCACGATCGAAACGACAAGGATCCAACTGAAAGAACTGCTGGAGAAGTCACAATGGCACTGCTATGCAATATGTGCGGTACCTATGATACAAACAAGAGGGCAAGAGACCTTACAGAGAGCAACGGAACTTAACGACAGCCTGAGGAGACTATGCAGAGAGATGGGCCCACGAGTGGATTTCGTCCCAGTGACGGGAATGTGGAATAGACCAGGGTGGCTGCAAGGGACACAGTATTCGAAGGAGGCGGCAGAACATGTGATGACGAGAATGAGTGCAAGGTTTCGGGCTTTTTTAGAGACCCCAAGGGGGCCCAAAACACCGAGGAGAAAAGAAGGCAAACGAGATCAACTGGAAGGGCTGCTGAGAGCCTTGATGGAACAGCTGAAAAGCGGGTAGTTGAAGGACGCGACGAGCCTGGGGCAGAGGGGCCAGGACAGGCAGCGGAGCAAGGGAGACTAAGGAGAGTGAGTTTGAACTCGTTTGGTAAAGGCACCAGAAAAAAGAGACATAGAAGAGGACGTAAACGCAGGGAGAAAATCAATCTTGCTTTTTTGAACATACAGGGGGGTCGAACAGAAGGGAAATGGGAAGAGATATACAACCACATGCGGCAAGAGCGGATAGCCCTGTTTGGGGTGGTGGAAACTCACCTTAGGGGGGAAGAGGTACCACCTCATGACCAAGACTTTGTGTGGGAGGGCTGCAACCGAACAACGGAGGACAGAAGAGGAGGGGGCATTGGGTGCCTCTGGATCAAAACGCAACAATGGACTAGAAGGACCCCTGAATGTAAAGAGCACATGTGGATGCTGGGAATGCTGATGGGTAGACCGGTGGCCATAGCAGTGGTGTATTTTTGGTCAGGGAGCCAAGAAGAAATGAACCAGAAAATTTATGAATGCCTAATGCAAGACATACAAGAGCTGCAGGGGCAGCACGAGGTGATTGTGTTGGGGGACTTTAACGGACATCTGGAGGAGCTAGATGGAAAGATGGACGCCAATGGCAGGCGACTGATGAACCTAGCTAGACGAAACAACCTGGTGGTAAGCAACCTGGAGGAGAAATGTGAGGGAACCGTCACATGGACAGCAAGGGATCAATGCTCAAGCATAGACTATGGTCTACTCTCACCTGGAATATATGACAGGCTGACGAGCATGAAAATAGATGAGGATGGCTTGGGCAACCTGGGGAGCGACCACAACCGCCTCAGGTTGATCTTTGAGACACATGGGGACAGAACAGAAAAGGGGAAACAGGAACATAGAACAGGACACCCAACAGAGAGGGAGATAGAGAAGATAGCAACAGCACTGGAGGGCTTGAACTTACCTCTCAAGGGATATGAAGACATGGAAAACGCAATGAAAAAGGCCCTGAAGGAACAGATCCGGTCACGACCCCGACGGAAGCGAAGACCGAAAGCTTGGTGGAACCAAGAGGTGGACACGGCGGTGAAGAGAAGAAGAGAGGCGAGCCGATACCACCGCGGAATCGTAAAGAGGGGCAGGCGAGAGGAAGTCAACAGAGCCTGGGATCTCTTCAGAAGCTGCAAGCAGAAGGCAGCAGCTTGTATCCAGGCCAGTATACAACGGTGTGATCGACGATTTATGGAAGAACTTCGAAGAGCGGGAAAGAGTGCACCACAGCGCTTCTGGAGGAGACTACAATGGGAGGCCAGGTCAACGAACCACACCCAGATATTGAAACAGCCGGAAACCGGAGCAGAGATGTTGGGTATACAATGCATCCCCCTCATAGAAGAATGGTATGGGAACATGATCGGGGCAGAAGAACCAATGCCTGTGGAGGGAGATCAGGAAATCCCTGATGTGGACAATAAGGACCAGGGGCCGCCGGCAGAGCTTAGAGTAAGACCCACAGATGGGGAGCTATCAAGAGCGGCACGGAGGGTCGACGCAAAGACTGCAATGGGAAGAGACGAAATCCCCATGTCACTTATTCAGGGTCTGGGACCTAGAATGCGAGCCTTGGTGGCAGAAAACCTCACAGAGATCCTCGCGGATGCCCAAGTACCGGAGACATGGAAAGAAACAAGAATGAAGCTCTTGTACAAGGGAAAAGGCGAAAAGACTGATCTCGGTAACTACCGGCCGATTAGCATCACATCAGTGCTTTACAGAATGTGCACGCAGATTATCAGAACGAGACTGCAGAAATGGGCCGAGGAAACGGAGGTGCTGGGAGAGCTGCAAAACGGTTTTCGAACAGGAAGATGCATAGAAGACAACCTATTTGTGGTAACACAATGCATCGAAGTGGCAGTCCAGGAGGGCAGACCACTTTACGCAGCTTTCCTGGACATTTCCAAGGCATACGACACGGTGGACCGGAACATACTCTGGAGTCGACTTCGACGGCTAGGAATAAACGAGGCAGATGTGAATCTGCTGCAGGCACTGTATGCTGGGGTCTCAGTGCAGATTGAGTGGGAGGGCCACATGACCAGGCGTCTACCAGTACCCAGGGGCCTGAGGCAAGGATGTCCACTATCCCCCCTGCTATTTATGCTGTACGTGGCACCGTTGGAGAAAGCGCTGGAGCAGTCGAGTGTGGGCTTCGACCTATCATACAGAGTGGAGGGAGCCTGGAAGCGGCAGAGAATACCGGCCCTCATTTACGCCGATGATGTGGTGCTCCTTGCCGGCTCGCCTGAGGACCTCCAGGTGCTTCTGGACATATGCGGGGAGCTCGCCACGCATTTTAGACTCCGTTTCAACCAGAGGAAGAGTGCGGTCCTAGCCTGGGGAGACCGAGATGGACCGAATCGGGAACCAGAGGAACAACGGTGGCACCTGCAGGGAGGGAGGTTGACAAGACAAAACACAGTCAAATACTTGGGAGTGACCCTGACTGCGGAGCCCGACTACCTGAAGGTCCATGAACGGGAGAAGAGATTGGGAGCGATAAGGGGGAAAGGAATCCTGGCGAAGAAGAGCACCTGGACGTTCAACAGGTTCGAGGTGGTGAGGGGTCTATGGAAGATGGCCATCGTTCCGGGACTCACGTACGCAAATGGCGTAATCGTCCTCTCATCGCAAACAAGGGCCTTCCTGGAGAGAAGACAGAGGGATGCGGGAAGAATGGCCTTGGCAGTTTCAAGAACAGCACCCAACGAGGGTGTCCAGGGGGACTTGGGCTGGTCGTCCTTCGAGGCCAGAGAAGCCAGCGCCAAGGCACTGTACGAGAGGAGGGTGCACAGACTCCCGGATGGGAATTGGGCCCACCGCACCCTGCGCTACATGATATACCAGGGAAGAGGCACCAAATGGATGCACCGCCTCCGAAGGCTGCGGGACCGCTATGGTTTCGAACCGATCTGTCTGGAGTCAGCGGGCGAGAGCCGGGAGGGCCCAGCGGCAATCAGAAAGGGCATCCGAGCAGTGGAGACGGAGAGATGGAGAGCGGGAGCGGCGGCGAAGCCGTCCCTCGCGATGTACTACGCGGAGAAGGAGGCCATAGGGAAAGAGCCCTGGTATGACAACTCGACAGGCAGTGGACTCCTCGCAGAGGCCCGCATGGGCACATTACGGACCCGGGTGTGGAGGGCCAGGTTCACGCAGGGACAGGAAAGGACGTGCACACTCTGCGGGCAGACCGACGAGACGATGGAGCACCTAGTGCTGCAGTGCCGGCACATTGTACCGGTCCCAAGTACAGAGGTGCTACCTGTAGCACTCGGTTTCCGAATCGGCGCAGAACAAGGAGAGGAAGAACAAAAGAACGTTCGATCGGCGGTAGACGTGACGAAGAGGCGGCTGGAGGTCTGGTGGAGGGAGACGCATCGGCGGAGGGAATGCAACCGATCAGCGGAACATCAAGCGGAAGCGGAAGTCGCGGGAGGCGCGACAGGCTAGATCCAGTATCCGTTGCTGTTGATCGCCCGATACAAAGGGAAGAGCCGCAGACTCCAATCCAATCCAATGGTCGTCGCTCCAAACACAGAGCTTGCGATTGGACCCGAGTCCATGCCAAATGCTGGCGCGGCGTTTGTTTTCTAAGACGTGCTCAGTACGAGTCTTGGACTTGCATTACTATTCGTAGTCCCCTGTTTCGTGTCTATGTAACTGTGTTAGAATTTCTTTGCATTCAGTCGTATGTCGTGCCTAGAGTCCTGTGTCATAACTACTGCATCGTCTGAATACACCAAAGTTCCTATGTGCTTTGATTTATGCCTGGCGAGTTTTCTGGGTCACAATTATTTTGTAACGTCATAATTAATCACATATGGAACGTAAAAATAAAGTATATGTATTCATCCATCTTGCATTTAAAAAAAAAAAATTGACTACATTTTTAGATTTTTTATTTAGATGCTATTTATGTGTATTTCTCTAATACATATTTCTTTTTGTACTTGTTTATTTTCTGCTTTTGAGACCGTAACAGATACCCAATCCAAACCTATGGCCAAAACATTTAGAGGCTCAATGTGGGCTAGGGATGTTACCTTTTTTCATCAACGGAGTAAACAATGTTAATGAAATAAACATAGCAGACTCGTTTTTGCTGTCATAGGCCAAATGCAAAACGAGGACATTCCGTTAACGGATTTCAGATTCTGGAGGTGACATCGACGTCCTGGTGGCGTCTGACGACGAACTGCGCGTGATTGGTCCGATCCGCGAGGCCTTCCAGAAGGTGTTTGGGAGGGCCACCGTGACGGGCATCTCCATGCTGCCTTCCAACATGGCTCCCCAGCCGGTTGGATTTGCGGCCGGATTGCAGGCGGCCGAAGACAAGATCACCTCCCTCCAGCAGACGGGACGTGCATCGCCCGCACAGCCGACGATAGCCATAGAGAATTTCATTGCAGAGATGACCTCGGAAAGGTATGAAATGGTCTCTTGCTGCCGCTGGGGTCACTTCGGACCGAAAAGCTCCAATTAAAACAGTTCTCCGGAGCTTTGAAAAAGTCGGAGCAGTTCTTCAAGGCTCGGAAGAACTGCCCTGCTATGCACGCGTGCTCGTGAAATGAGAGCGTCGTTGAGGCTACATGCTCGTGCTTATGGTAAAACGCAGTGTAGTTGATGCTACCGTGCATGTGCTTAGGTTGCATTTCAAACAGCTGGCATAACATACTACGCATGCATTCCCACCAGTCAAAGAATTCACCCTGCATGGTATTCCAGATTGAAAAGCTGGAGGTAACTATTAGTCATGTAGGCGAGGCTGATAAAGATGAGTAATTCGCAAGCAAGAAAAAATGGTTATATTTGAAGATTTTTAATGTTAGTCATGATCATGCATAGGTGTACTTATATCATAATACTATTATAGTCCCAAGCAGAGCTGATGGTGTTTCTAAATAAAAAAGAAATCCAAAAATAACTGTTCAAAAGTGTGCTTGAACAGTCCTGTACGAAAGAAAAGCAAACGACGGAGTCAATGCCGGTGACTGTTGCACCGCTCAACGATCATCAGCGCAAGCTCACATGCAGCCTGCGGTGCGCTTCAAGATTAGTGACAGTGCCAAGTGGCCTGCTCTTTTGGTATGTGCTATACGCTCAAAAATTTGTTTCAGCACTCCGCTGAATTGGGCGCTAATCGCCAAGTTGACGATACGGCACACGGATTTTGAATGCCCGGTAATGACACGCACAGAAATACAATACCGACCTTAGATCGAGATTAGAATGATGCGACGATTCACCCAGTAGCGTGGGACCGATAGAAGAATTGTTTTCGTGTGCCATGACTGGGCTTCAAAATAGTGATCTTGTACAATCAAACAGAAGCAGTGCAGACAATTGTAACAGAGCCAGCTTGCCAGAGGGCGTACGGGCCGGAAATCTCCATTCACTATCTATATTACGGCCTACTCGATATAGGAAGCCTTGGCGGAAACTAGCACGTCTTTCAATCGACTGGAATTCATCTGCTGTTCGTAGCTCCTGCCTTAACATTTAGCATGCCTTGTCACGTAAGATATGGTCTGTCCCCTCCCCTGCCAAAGGTGTAACAATAAAATGCACATTCACTTGGTGTGTTTAGTCGAACGCAAGCCCACGGGGCAAGCGATGCCCAAGGCTCCCTAACCGATTGAAGACCACTAGGACGCCACACAGGCATCCACTAACCATTAACATGTTCTATGTGCTACAAGATTTGACGGTAATGACTGGGCTGCAGTTTCCGACTCGGCGCTTCTCTCAGCCTCGAGATGGCTGAAACCGGCCAGTCAGAAAGCTTGGTTCTCCAGTTCAAGCAGGGGTTGTGAACTATACAGTCTCAACCAATATGAAAGATCCACTCGGATCGCGTTGCCAACACAATTGCTGGCAGGGGAGCGGCACGCGTCGTGGACACTTCCACATCGCTCTCGATAATGTAACCCTACTGAATCGGCGTGCACCGAAAAAGCGTCTCCCCTCCCCTCGGTGCTACATGGACTGAACCTTTCTTGAGTAATGGGCCCTAGTGTAGCCGGTCTCGAAACGCAACCAGAAGTATGTTGCCCTGCACTTTCCTGCACACGCTACACTTTTCTGCACCGGTGCAGATAAATCGAATGATTTTTCAGCCCCGGTCGGATTGAATTGAAAATGACGACAGCGGGAAGCAAGGGTCGAGGTGTACGCACGTGCAGAGGGTTACTGGAAGGTAGTGACTATTTCGGCGTCCACCATCAAAATATTTCTCAAATTATTTTCACGTCTGTGACGTCACTTCCATGAAACGTCACAATAGTGGCCTTATTATTTCGACGTCCCCTGTCCCCCATCAAATGGAGCCGTCACAGTGATAGGGTGATGGCCTTTGCGTCGTTGCGTTCTGTTTAGTTTTTGATGGATAGTCATGCGTCGCTGTGTCCCATTGCTGAGATGTTTTGGTCCTACTTGACACTGGAAATGTCTTACAGACATTTCCAGGTCAGTATGAACAGGCACCATGCTAACCTTGCTAGTCTGACAAACCTACAAAAAAAAAAAATAAAGTTCTAAGAAACATTCTCTTCTTCCCCCTTCCTCCCCCCGGGCGCGTTGGCGAATCATCGCCGAGTAACGTTGCCTCTGACGACCCATATTTTTCTTTCTTTGTAAGATAGCACTTCGAACACATTGGAAACAAAACAAAAAAAAATTGTTTTTCATTGAAATGGATTACAGGCGACCCTACAATCCATACTGCTGATGCAGCGCGGTCTCACCTTCCTTCAGCGTGTCGCTGCTGTAGAGATCAGCGGTTGCTGCACTCAAGCGGGAAGTCACGTGGTGCGCTCTCGGCGTTCGATCGGCTAAATGGCTCATTGACTGCAACTGGTCCATCTTGTGATCAAACATTCATGGACGCGTAAGCCTCCGTGCCTAGAGAGCCGCAATCCGCTCCCACACTTGGACATTTCGTAGCCATGTGCCAAGCGGTGCTTTGAAATTGCCGCCGCCGCTACCGCGCTGCCAGGGTCAATCGAAGAAACAAAGTAAAGTTGAAGCTCTCCAGATGCCTACTCAGAGGCAGGAACTGAGCGAGCTCGCCGACCACGCCGCCGACCTCGTGTATTTTTTATTATGTATGCAATAAAAACGAAATGTAAAAACATCTGACAGTACATACGATTAGTCTTGGCAATATAAGAAAAAAATACACCCGCAACTTTTCTGATAAAGACCAGTTATTGACACCATTGGCCCTAAACTGTTTTCGTTGAACCGGTGACCCTCACATCGGATTATGGATGTGTTCCGGTTCGGGTTCAATATGAAGCATTCGATATCGGTTTTGTACCGGTTTGGTGAAAAATAACGGGTTTGATCCGGTTTTTGGTTCGGATTCGGTTCGACACCCTGGTCATTTCGGCACGTGTCTTGCGTAAAATGTTAAATCCACACCAAAGCCGAGCTTGATATACCTCTACTGCACGTAACAAATGTAAGTGCATACACTATGTAACGCTGAGAGTATGGTACGCTTTCTATGCCTCCGAGTCTCCACTACCGTGCGAGTGCAGATTCTTCTGGTGGTTGAAGTCTCGCTTTGCATCTGGCTCCCAGTCTGTTTTAACTGGGTTTCATGGGTCCTTTGTTTAGTTTATATTTTATTTTCGGTTTGTGTATAACAAGTGGGTTAACGACGAAATGATTGGGATGCTAAAGAAGGTGTTGCGAGTGCAAATATTGAATTCTTGATGTATCTGGACCGGTGCAAAAGAACAACAAAGATTTTGACACACTGAGCAAAACATTCTCATACGTGAAATATATGAAAAGCAATGGTGCTACATTCTGTAATGTTTAGCGCAACTAACCAAACATTACATGCAGCCCGATAGCTGATTTACACCGCTAAGTCTTCTTTGCATTCTCCTCACTTCGAAGGTAATAAAAACTGCAGTTGACTGCACAACACTGCCTGCAAGCAAGATTATATTTTTTTGTCTGCCATTTTTGATCTCTTTTCAGTCCAGACTCCAAAGCTGTCCAAAGTTCTAAGTTTAAAACATATAAAAAAAGGGGAAAAAGATAAATATATACAGGGTGTCACAAAAGAAAACTTACACGGTCTTTTTTACCGCAAAAATAAACTAGACATCGCCAAACGCTCATTCTCCGCCCAAAGGTAGAGCTAGAGGTCACAACCAGATGCCAAAGTTTCAGCCCGATCCGATAACTTAATCAAAAGTTATAAGTGATTTTCTGAAAATTTCAATGGGAAAATGGAGCCCATTTTTGCCCGTTTTCGGTTTCTGGTGCCATAGAGCCCCATGTGTTTGAAAAGTCCGTCGGCCGCCATTTTCCCATTGAACTTTTCAGAAAATCACTAATAACTTTTGATTGAGTTATCGGATGGGGCTGAAACTTTGGCATCTGGTTGTGACCTCTAGCTTTACCTTTGGGCGGAGAATGAGCGTTCGGCGATGCCTAGTCTATTTTTGCGGTAAAAAAGACCGTGTAAATTTTCTTTTGTGACACCCTGTATATATATATATATTTTTTTAGGAGGGGGGCACCAAAATAATTTTGAAAATATTTTCACAGCTTTAGGAAGTGGTGTCACGGATGTCAAAATAATACTTCAAATTATTTTGAACATGGACGTCGAAATAGTCGCTGCCTTATTGGAAAAAGGTCCATCGCTCAAAGCGCGAGCAATACCTCCACCACCTGCCGTCTTGGTTGCATACTCTGGTGGGCCTTTCCCATTGGTGGAGACTGTATCCCAATAGTGTTCGATGGCTCTGAGCAGTCACGCCGGAACCGCCAAAAAAACATGTTCTCCCGTCCACATCTCACAGCTGGTTCGACCTGTGCTGCCTGGTGCTCAAGGACGGCACCCACAACGTCTGCCTGCACACCTTCGGGCAGCCGACACCCGTACCCGCCGAAGTCGTGGCGGAGATCCAGGACCGGACTCCGGCGGACTACCCGCTACGCTGGTGCGGCCTCGCCGTCACGGTCGGCGAAGTCGCCGGACCGCGGCTCTGCGTGCCGCAATCCGAGTGGCGCGCCGTGCTGGGCGGCGTCGGAGATGCCCAGCTGATCGCTTCCGCCGCCTACACACTCGCCACACTGTACCGGAGGTCGTTGCACCGGTGACCTCGGGGTCATTGATCTCGTTCCCCCACCCCAACCAGCAAATCTGAGACTCTTGTGCCGTAGTCCCACTAGATTGACAAACAAAGGTAACAGACGCCGGTAAGCCTCAGGCATGTGTAGGATGCATGCAAAGGTGTCTTCGGAAGGCTTGTAATCACTCGTGTGTACAATACGAGCTGAAACATTCAGTCCTATGCGTACAGCTTCCACAAGCTCTATTAGTATCTCTCAAATTGTGAAAGAGTTCAAAGATTGAGGTCCAAGCTTTCTGTACCAACACATTTTAGCACAAAAGCTTTTTTAAGACCGACAGCTAAACTGAAGAAGCACGGTGGGTTGTTTCGGCTCGTATTGGCTGCAGGAGTACCTTTGCGTGCACGCTGCACAAGTTTGAGGTTGGTCGGTGTCGGTTGCTTCCGTTTGTTGCTCTAGTGGGATTCAAGCGTTGGCGAGCGACGTCACTCAAAGGAGTGGCCGTGATATTTCAGGATTTTGGGGACGCACGTTTCGTGTTGCCGGTTTTGAGGACTGTGATCGGCTGTGGCTGAGGTCGATGCGGTTTCTATAGTCCTTGCACGGCGTCTTTTTTTTTGTTGCGTGTAATTTTTTTATTAACTACTTGGCTGCGAGAGTTACGAATACAGCTGATGCGATTCTGTTGTCCTGAGCGAAAACAAGGTTGCACCGAATCAGTTTCGTAGCGTACAAAACACATTGCGGTGTTACTGTGTTCTAGGTTGATTTCTTCACTTTTTCTTTTCCACATCTAGTATCTTGGTTCTCATAACCTTACCCAGCTGTTTCAGCCGCTGCTATTGAATGTTACAAAGATGGGTCTGGAAGCTAACAGATTGCAATGGTGCCAATGTGAGCTTCGGGTCTCTCTTATCATGCACTCGGGACTGTCCTTTTATCCTTTTTGGGTGCCGTTTGCAGAGCCTTTGTTCTGTTCTTTAGAGTCATTGCTGAGCCAAGAAGTTTGCAGACTTGCGACTGAAGTAATTCTTGCCCTACTGTTGTTTATGCTGTGCGACGTCTTCGGTGATTGTATCAATTTAATGTTTACAGAGATTATCGAATTCTTGGCAAGAGTTATTGCTAGGGCTATTGTGCCAAGACCCGCACGCTTGTGTAATGATTTATGGGAATGCTCATTGGTGCTATAGTTGGTGGAAATGCCAGATTTTTCTTGTAAATGAAATTATGAAGCATGTTTCGTTTTTTCTCAGCCATGTACGCCGTTTGATTGGACTTGTTCGATTTCCCCTTCTGCTCCAGGTCTTCTCGAGTGTGTTGAAACATTATCTTTGAGGCACATGTGGTTACTTTTGTCTCGATTAAACGTGGTGTTCCTTTGCCCCTCTAGTTTAGCATAGATTCCGTTAGACATGTTGTAAAAAAACAATAAAGGGTTAGTTGTACCAACCTTTTCTATGCAGAACTGGCAAGTGAGTGATTATTGTGTTTTTATCTTTTGTAAAGGGCTGTGTTGTAACAGTATTGAATAACGATGGGGTTGGGGTTAAATTTGCACATTAAAAAATCAATGCCAGTCAGACGTCTGTTTATTTCTACAATCCAGGGCCCTGCATATCTTGTTTTCCTGGCGTGTGCAAGTTTGGTTTGTGCTAACTTGACGTAGAGTGTAACACAGCATGAAAAAACTAATTTTTTTTTACTTTTACTAGTAAAACTGTGTCAACAATACTGGTGCGATGGACTGCAGACGTTTGCAGTACTGACTTGGGAGGCAAAACTTGGTGTGCCCTGACACCTTGTCTAAGCTAAGTATAAAAGAGCACCAATCTTGTGTTCATACTAACTGAAACGCACAGTGTATATGGTGCGCATAAAATTTTTGGACGACGAGTCTATACTCTGCCTACCATTTTGTGTTACGTTGCCAAGACTAGTGTAGCGTCTGTAGTGTTCCAACTCTTCAAAGCCAGTTATGAGAGCGCATGTGGATGAACCACAAGACAAAGCCACGTGCTCTAGCTAGCAGTAGTGTTGGGCTGCGGTACCTATGCTAGCCTTGAAAATGGGGCACAAGGTAGTTAATGCAAAGTACAGAAATGCACCGCTTCCAAGAAAGATAACCTGCATTCTGTGGCACCAACATGTGACACCAGCAAAAACTATTACAAAATATATAGCCAGTGCATGCCAGTCATGTTGCATTTGTTGGGTGATGAATGACTTTGCTCATTTTTAACTTGTTTTTTTTTTTTTTTTTTAGAAAGGTGTGTTTGTGGCTAGTGCATGGCCTGGTGGCTGCACTAACATTCCATGGTACCTTGTGTTTTCTTTGGTTATGCCGAATAAAGTACAGTTGTGGTGGCATATACTGGTGGTTGATTTCTTTTCATGAACACAGACAAGGAAAGAAACTCAACATAATCATTTACTACCACTACCTAAACGAAGGATTGACACTGCTTAGACAGTCTTCTGAGCAATCTGCCCGACAGCAGCCAGAACTTGATCGGCGGTCATGCCTGCCAAAGGTACGTGACTTTCTTTTCCAAATGCTAGAAGAAAAGAAAAATGCCAAAGGTGAAGAAACCAAGAAGTGTTAACCTCGGCAAGGTCAAAGCAATATTTGCAACGATGCACCTGTAAATTGTACAAAACTCGGACTGTTGGAGTATGGGCTTGAGGAGGAAATGGAGCTTACCATATCTTGCGTACAGCTTTGGCTGAACACCGCTGCATTCCCGAATAAGCACGGGTAGGGTTGGGTTGCTTGCCTTCAGCGAGGGATAGTGTTTTGTTATGAACTCCCTGCGAAGGTATGAACCATGTTATAAGTAAAACAAATCTAGGTTATCACTACAAAAAAAAAAAAAAAAACAACACTCCATCTATCGAACGCGGTTAAGTAAGTAGGTGTTTTAGATTCTGCAAAAACAATTTTTCGTCATTTTACTTCGGACGCGCTTAGGACGTCCTGGCAAGAAGAGAACCACGTTGCGATAGGTGACAGTTTGTAAAACTTGAATTGCGCGTCCTCAATACCATAGAAAGCACTTACCTGACACCTGCACTTTCGGAAGATTTCTGGCAAAGATGAAGACGCAATTCTTTCAGATGGGCACCGAATTTTGCAGCAGCTTTGGAAGCGGCCATCTTGCTTCCTCAGTCTGGCTTAGCTTGGCTTGTCATTTGCTAGTCTTTAAGACTTCGGATAGATAGATGTTATTGGCTGCACACTTCGTAATAGAGGGTAGCTTGCGCCACCTAGCCTAAGTCTAAAGAAACAAACATATGATTCCTTCCGTCCTTTTATGCCAGTTGTATGACATGCCAGAATGAAGCCAAACTATCATCGGCAGCGTTTTTGGACGCATTTTATCAAAAGAGAACAGCTACACATCTGAATATCTCAGACATTGATAGTGAGACACATGGAGTGGTTTATCATGATCACCACTAGAGATCAGTGATGATCACGCTTCTTGCTTGGTGATTCGTTAGTCGGTGCTTTTATCGACTGATGCCAAAATCGTGTTGGCACTGGGCAGCGGATGGATAATTACTTGCTCGGGGCCCACCACGGCCCGCTGTTCTTAAACCTTCAGTAAGTAGAGACCGTTCCATTAGGGTCATAGCAGAGAGGGTAATAAAGAGAAAAAAAAAATGCCCTCCCCTCTCATTCCGAATAGAGTAACTGTATAGGCTCTGCTTGCAACTGTATATCCTCCGCAAGCGGAGCATATACAGTTACTCTAATTCCGAATGTTGTCTGCTCCGCCGAGTGGGCTGTACCCAGCATCCAGCTGGCGCGCAAACTCTGTTTAAAATCGCGTCATTTTGGAAATTTCAAGCGCAGATGCGCAGATTCTGATATGCCAGTTATCGTGTAATACTATTCTAGATAAAAAAAAAAGACTAACGGGGTCCAATTGCGCTGTTACCTACGTGCAAATAATAATAATAATAATAAATAAATAAGGAAAACTGTGTCAGATTGGCCGGTCTCTCCGGCGAAAAGTAAATCCGGTTGCTGTACCTTTTTTACTATAAAAGTTCGTACTGGTGTAGGCTTTTAGCGACTATGAGTGGAAGTCTGAAAGAATAAATAAAAACGTGCTCTCCTGCCGCAATACACGCAGTAGTTGAGGGTAGTACTGCTGGCTGAAGTGACGGAAAAAAGATACACTAGTTGATTATTTACCGAAATAGAACAACATAGAGCTATAGGCTGATTTTGGAGTAGCCACAACTATTCCAAGAACGCGAACTACTTCTCAAAGGCAGCCACGAGCGAGAGTTCGATGTTCCGTACAGCCCGCCGGTACAGCCCAAAGATGGAGAATGGCAACCTCCCGGTTGGTCGTCTGCTAGCGGAGTCGGGCGCGTGCCCTCTCTCTCCTTTTACCCCGCCGAACCCGCTGAATTTCCCGAATTTATGGAAAGGGCGCTGCTGTCGAACACAATGGTGCCGCCCAGAGAGCGCTAAATGGAACGTTTTCTGCAGGGCACGGCGCGAGATGATACACACATCAAACGAAAGCAATCGACCAGGGGAAGTTTAAACATCGCTCGCTTAAAATATGTTCGAGGCTTTCACAATAAAAAGCCCCAAAGCGTGCGTAATATTAAAAAAAAAAAAAAAATACTGTTGCTGCGAACTGTTTTTCTACCCCTGTTCGTGATCTCAAACGGGACGTTCTCACGGACTATATGACTTCGACAAACCATGGTTTGCGAGTCGTCCGCTAAAGGGCGAATTTCCTAAAGGGGACGCCACTGCCACTGGGGAGTTGTAGCAGACAGTTTCCGCAGCCCGCTAAGCACCCGGATAGCGCTCCGTAATCCGCCACAGGACCTTGAACTATGCAGACAAGGCTGGCGGCGCGCATGCGCAGCTGCGGTGTTTTCTTCGCGGATACCAAAACGATCTACTACAATTCCCTACACTCTAAAAAAAGGCTGTGCGTCTTCTTTCCTGCTTAACACGCGAGCAGCCAATCACTGCTGTTTGCGGAATCAACACAGCGAGTGACAACGCCGAAACATATGTTTAGACCAAAAAGTGAAGTCTGCGATGTCGCATCAAGCAATGCAAGCGTGACGTTTTGCTACATCGCAGACTTCGCTTTCTGGTCTAAACATATGTTTCGGCGTTGTCATTCGCTGTGTTGGCTGTTCGCGTGTTCTGCGGGAAAGAAGACGCACGGGCTTATTCTGTTCCCGTTTCTTGTTCTGTGATTGGTTCGTCGGCGTCTTTATCTGCTGATGCCGCGTGCTGTGCTCCGTGTGGCAGTCGCCATATTGAAATACGACGTAGCTGGGTGGCTGGGTTTTGCGAAACAAGAAATAGTTTAGGCATATATATATATATATATATATATATATATATATATATATATATATATATATATATATATATATATATATATATATATATATATATATTGCTATATATATATATATATATATATAGCAAGGCAAAAGAAAAAAAAGAGTTCTATTGATGGCACGAACCTCTTCAATTCTAGCGCCTTCCAGTCGGCAAATAATGTGATTTGCTATTTCTTTCCCCAATTCAGCTACGTTATAATCCAACATGGTGGCGGTCACGAACAAGCGGTCTATAGGTCATTCGCATCCGGGACCAACGTAAGGAACCACGACGTCAGGGGAGTGAAAAATTACACAAAATCTAATTGGAACTATATCTCTATTTTCACTGATTTTAAATTTCATTAAAAACTGATCGTTATGATTCACTCTCTATATTGTGTCCCCCTGGCCAACACACCTGCACAAACCGCATAAGTGTAGCTTTCACGACATTTGTTCTTTATCTGTAAAGCTTAAAAAAACACATACAGTGTTTATCTGTACAGGGTGTACAAGTTTAATTCTAACATATTTATATAAAAAAAAAAAAAATCCGTGAAAGGTACCGTTATGCGGTTTATGCTGGAGAGTTGTACGGCCATGAGGACATACCATAGGGGGTTATTCCTCACATTTCGTCGGATAATTCACTAAGATTTGTTAATTAGCTTTCTAATTAGTGAAAATAAATAAATGAATCCAATTAGAAACTTGCTGAGCGTCATCGAAAACCCCTGAAAAAGTACATTTCCGATGAACTCGAAGCACACGAAAACCACTGGGGTGCGCTAGTTACCACTCGTGCCACACGCGCGAGTGGTAACATGAAGTGAACTGTGTGCGCATGTGTCACCGCAGCGGTATGACGTCGGTGCTGCGATCTTCCTACTGGTGTGGGAAGATCGTCTGATAGTGGAGCATTGCTGAGGTGTTACGTATACCCACGGCCTCGGCAATGCTTGACTCTCAGATGATCTACTCACACCAGCAGCAAGATGGCGGCGCCCATAGGCAGTACTTGCAAACGTCTACGCACCGTCTCAACCGCTCGCCACTGCGGTGGCGCTGATGTCAGCCTTGCGCATGCACAGGCGGTTCAACGCACGCGAATCTTGTTTCTGCGCACGCGCAGTCCTCGCACCTAATCTAGGAAAACGCGGGGTTGTTTTTAGACGGCCGCTGGTGTATAACCCCGTAGACAAAAGTCAACTCAACACTAAAGACCGACTTTTACAGCGAGAAAATGGGAAAAAAATAAATAAATAAAAAGAAACGAGTCTTGTTTTACGGCAACACGGAATTAAGTTTCCTTTTTTTATTCTTACTTTCACGCTTTGCAGTTACACACAGTTTAATAAACGAAGGGCGTGGTCTACAGCGACCACGTTTCTTGCTTGGTGATTTCGTTCTGTGATGATCTGGTTAATGGCTTCGGTGCCATGATGCTCGGTTGTTCCAACAATATACAGTTCCAACTACATATAGTTGGCAACATAAATACGTGTTATTATCTTAACGCTATCATTATTACTTATTTACAATCCTGTGTTTCGGGAGAGGGCAGCTCGTGACTCGTGGTGTGGCTGGGTTGGAGACACGGTCATCGTCTTTACGTGAAAACCTCTGCGTAAACGGCTCCTCGCAAAACAAAAAAACGCGTGCCCAAAAGTTTTCCGTACGCAAATAAATATCATCGTAGCCGAGCGCACCCACCGCTGTGCCGAGCGGCCCGAGCCCGAACCGAGTTTCGGATTGGCGCATGGCGACGCCGCGACTACTTTTTTGTACGCACATAAAATGAAATTAACGACGTGAATAAAAGTGCACGACGTGCCTTTACTTATAACGAATATACAAACCGGGTCACCTCAACGCCAAGGCCCAGCGGAAGGAGACGAGCCCGTGCTGTAGGCGGAGCTTCTATTGATCTCTTATCCTTTCATCGAATATAGACCTTTCCAGCGCTTACCACCCAGGCGAAAAATGCCGAGTAATTCTAGGTCGTGTACGCATCCGCGGCGCACCTTATATTTTGCGAAAGAGAGCTACTGCGCACGCCGAGAACGCGTTCAATCGCCCAGTAGGAAAAGATGGGCAACGCGCGGCAGGCGATTAATGGTGAGGTCAACAATCAGACAAACCACTCGCCGAGGACTTGCGCCAAATCAGTCTCTACGTCGCGTGTGAACGTTATCCAAGGTCACGGACGACTGCCACCGGGGTCCGCGTGCGTGCGTTTGAGCTTCGCAATCCAATTTATCGTGTCGTTGTTTCGTTTGGGGCATAGGTTGGGGGCGCGTCATCGACTTTGGAAGCAAGGGCTTGGACGCAAGAGCGGTCCGTCCATGCGTGTGCGTGCAACGTTCCTGTTTTGTATTCGTGAGTGCTGCGTTCTTTAGCGTCATTATTGTTTACCAGCGGGAGGGCGGGTGCACGTAGTGAAGAATGAGTTCGCACCCTCGTGATTGGATGTGATGGGCAGCCATTTTATGTGAACTTTGGTAACGACAGCGTGCAGGAGCAAAAGTCCATCCGTGATTAAATCCACAACGTGTTCCAAACAAATAAACATCTACGTTTTTTTGTTTGTTTTTTTCACCGCAAATATAAACTACGCGTCGTCGAAGGCTTATTTTCCTTTCCAATCTTGCTCTAGCGATCCGAACCAACGCCAAAGTTTTAGAACTAACCGTTATCTCATTAAAAAGTTGCGTGATTTTCTGAACATTTTAACGGGAAAATAGGGAACGTTTTCGCCCATTTTCTCTAACTGGCGCAATTCAACTTCGTGTACGCGTATTCGAGACCTTCATCGCCGCCATTTTTTTTATTGAAAATATATATTTAAAAAATGCTTACAAGGTTTGAAGAAGCTAACGGTTAATTATGAAACTTCGGCGTCTGGTTCGTTCGTACCATTTTAGGGCTACATTGGGGACAGAAAATGGGCGTTCGACATCGCGTACTTTATTTTTGCGGTAAAGGAAACCCTCTAGGTTCTTTTTTGGGAGACACACCCTGTACGTGAAACAAGATATGTTTGACTGCTTAATGGGTGGCGTGCCACCATAATTGCATTATGAATGTCGGAAGTGATTACATTCATTTCTTTACGGTATAATTTTAGTATGTATCCTCGAAGTTGTTAGGACCATTTATGTAAACTTCACATAAAAATATCATTTGTCAGACATAGCAAGAAAGCACGGAATGAGCAGAATATGTCATTGTTATGCATACTAAAAGTAAATTTTGCTTACATCTGAGACGATTTTTCTTCTTTAGAATTTGAAATGTTATTATTTTGCGTGCTCAAATTTTTTCTTAGTTCCTAATTAACAATGCGCTGTAGCACACGCTATGTGCTCATTGTCGTCGTTATTCTAGGATGTCTCTTGAAGCCAGTAACATTCAGAAATACAAAAAAAATATTTGAAAATGAAAAGAGTGGATGGAGTACATTAGAAATGACTGCTAAAATACGAAGACTAAAATAAGGTGGAAAAAAGTGTTCAGTGTATAATACACTTGTAGAACAAATGACGAAGGTTTTAAAAATACAAAAATAGAAAGACACAGACGCTAATATACATCTGGGATAGCACAGCGTCTTTGCCCTTCATAGCGTACGATCGTTTCTCGGGCGTTAAGTCACCACCACAGACACTGGTCAAGTTTTTGTAAATAAGTGCAGCGAACCTAACGATAGTATTTTAACTGCATTATCTGGATTTCAGATTTAAAAAAAAGTTGTATATAATTGTTCATCTCTTATATTCTTCGATCACTGCAATTCAAATTGAACTGGACGGATTCACCTTTAGGAACCGACAAGGTCTTCTCGGCTACAAAGGACATATTGCCCCTTCTCAGGGGTGAGCCAAGTCTGTCAATTCATTGCCGGCAGACTAATTTAACGCAAATTTATTAAGGAAACAAACCTTTTTTTGTTGTTTTACAGATTCCCTATCTGTAAGGAGAAATTAATTTACGTAGAGTTTAATAAAATAGACTTTATTTAAACTAATTTATTCACAAGGATAAATTAGTTTGTATATAGAGTCAAAAAACATCCGACGCACAATCGCAAGCCAAGTTTCTTTACCCTATAGGGGAACTCGTAAAATTTCCTAGAGATTCCGAATCATAATTCAGAATACCCACTAATATATTTCTTCTCAACCTTCAGATACCCGCCCCTATGCCAAAAACGATCGCTACACAGCTACCTCTTTGCTCTCTTCTGGAAACGCTGACGCAATCATAATTGCAACGCTGTTTGACTCGTCAGTTAATATCAATAAACAACTGTAGGAATCTTAGTTTTTTTTTTTAACTCTTCCCGACCCCCTTTGATATCTGAACTTGTTGTTTTTTACTTTCTGAAGCGGTTGCGGTTTTTTTGACACAAGTCACTGGCGATATTGAGCTTCAGTTTTTATTTTACTCTGGGCACTGGAAGGTTACACCAAAATAAACCGAACATATTTTCTTCATTTCTCCCAGAATTCCCGCTACCTAACCTCTATGATGTATTGATCAACAAAAAATTGCAAACGACCGCACAAAGTGACTTGCTATTATATAGGAGCGGTAGCTACTGCATTGTAGAAAAGCATATTGAAGGAGATTTGCCTTCATTTAGCGTGCTGTACAATGATTGCAATGGGTTCTTTGCTTTCAGCAGGATTGGTGTAGGCGACGTGTGTGAGGAGATGTGTGCTTTGGTGGACCCCGATTGTACGAGATGTTGCATGTGTGAGAGAAAAACACAAATACGTGCTTTTCTTTCTTTCTTTTTGCCTGAAACTGTTTTAAAACGGGGGCGTCCGTTAAAGGGGTACTCCGGTGATTTTTTGAGCAACCCCAACTAACTATATTTTCGAAATCGCCGTCTTTTACTCTTTCCGTTGTGCTATTTAGATCGCGAAATTCAGAATAATTATTGTGAAATCGGCAAATGAAAATGACGCCAGAACCAAGATTCGAATATACCCGGGTTTTTCATTGCCGTGACGTTACGGGATGGCAGGCTTGCGGTTCGAGCGGGCTGTCTTAGAAATGAACTATGCCGAGCATTTGTTTTGTGCTGCTGCGCGGGAGCTGGAGCGACCTCCCTTGCTTCGAAGCGCATTTATTTAACGACCGCATAAAGCATTCATTTGACACCATGAAACTGTTAGTAATCAGTTGGGAACAAGGTCTACAGCCCAAAGAGTGAACCCCTCCCTGCCTTCCCAAGACGTCACTTGTTCAATGTGGCCAGTAGAGTTTTTCACCTTGAAAAACACGACGAGGACCAAAATTGTAAATTCTATAACTTCGCGAAAAAGGTTATTTCGGAGAAATATTTGGGTTATTATTAAGCAATGTTTGTTGGCGTGTTTAGCAAGTTTTTAGGCGAATTGGGGACTACGAAGTAGACGCCAGAGTACCTTTAACGTGCCTGCGATGGAGGAAGCCAAAATACGTACATACGCGAGCCGTTCTGCAGAGGCACGAAACGCAAACGAGAACGGAATCTGGGCGGTGGGTTTCTTTGGTGGAACGGTTGTGCGAGATAATGCATGTGTTAGAGAAAAACACACAGACGTGCTTTTCTTTTCTTTGCCTTAGTTCTGTTTTAGAACGGGGGCGTCCGTTAACGTGCCTGCTATGGAAGAAGCGAAAGTACGTACATACGCGAGTTGTTCGAAAGCACGAAAAGCACACGAGAACGGAACCTGGGCGGCGGCAGTGAGGTGGCGGGGAGCGTGTCCGCACAGCGCGACCACGTGTGTGCTTCGCTACTGCGGCCGTCGGGGAAAGGGAAGGGGGGAGGAGGGAGAGGGTCACCGGAGGGTGGATGTGGCTGGAACGGCGGGGAGGCGGAGAGCATTCTCGTGATCACGTCGGTTTCCCGGAACAGCGGCGGCCTGCAGCAAGCTTTGCTTGGCCTTGCCGTGTGTGAGGAGGGACGGGGAGAGGGAGAGCAGTACCTCTGCTGTAGAGTGGGGTTTTGCGGTCGAAATCTGAGGAGTTTTTGGCCGGGAAGGCGCACTAACAGGACAGCTATCCGCTGTAAAAGTCACATCAGTGTACGTTGGTCGATTCGAGCCACTTTATGCAGCTAATCGCAGTGGAAATTCCGTGGATGTATCTGCAACACAAAATGCACTCTAAAACATGCGTATTCATTTGGTTCATACCCATTTAACCGTATCTTCAGAGCAAAGCGCTTGTTTCAATTGTGCTGATAAACATTGTCTGTCGATCGGTACGATTTTTAAACGTGCATTTTAAGAAATACGCAGCGTCTGCTTTCCCGCAGAAAACTTGGAAAAGTCAATTGCTCTGCAATCTACGGATAGCGATCGGCGTATAATGGTGCTTATATAGACCCTCAAACAAGAAAAAAAAAAAAGAAAAAAGAAAAACAATCTGCGCTGTGGCACCGAGCATGCATGCTGACACGTAAGGCTCTGTGCCACAGCGCAGACAATTTTTTTGTTTATTGAAACACATCAGCCCCGTCACTGGCCGAACCCCCTCCGTAGACTGCAGCGATTGGCCCTCTCAAGTGCTTTGCGGGAGAGTAGACTCTCAAAACTACAAATGACCAAAACAAATGCTTTCGAAACATGTTTATTTTACATACCACTTGGTGAATATTTTCCCCCTTTTTTCTACACATTTGTTGAGGACACATAATCGCACCTCGTCATGTGGGTTTACGCTGGAGCAGGCACAGTATTTAAAGGGGCACTGACACCCCGAAGGTCGTATTTATTTTTATTGTCTAAAACGATGCAAGTTGTAGTCATAGACACGCAAAAAAAAACCGCATCGCGAAAAAAAATTTTCCCGCGCGCGCGCGCGCCTTTTATTTTTGGCGTTTGATTTTCCCGCCTCTCGCCTCCTCGCTTCTTTTGATCGGTGACGTCAAAAATCAGGAAATTTAGAAGCTTTGTAGGCGACATCTCTATAACATTTAATAACGGCAATCGTAAAACATGTTTTTTAACGCAATTGCGAACGCACTACGGCCCTTCTTTTTGAAATACCAAAAATCGGGAGTTCGTTGTGGTGCCGTCTCCTGGATTTGTATCCTCCAACGGAAAACAGGCGACACCGCTCAAAACCGGTCCGCCGCAACGCCGGCGCTAGCCGGCGCTCGCTCCTATCCTCCTCGCTTTGGGTCGCCATGGCAACAGCAGGGAGTGGTGACAGGAAAGTGGACTCTCAGGTCTCCTCAATTTTTGACGTCAAGGCACCGGCGCCGATCGCGCGGGAACTTCGAATTCGGCATTTGGAAATTGTTTTTTTACTTCACGAATACTGAATTCCCAAATCTCAAATTTTGAGGGTAATGTCCCGGCATCGTTTTCAATCGTTTCGGATAATAAAAAAAAAATGATTTTGATGTGTCAGTGCCCCTTTAAGATGCATTTTAGAACTTATATCTCGCGGTTTTCCTTCTATACCTTCTCGCTAAGGTGAACCAGTAACGCCATGAGCTTTCTGTCGGAGAAGGCACTCTTCTTTTGGGACTGGCGATGGTTGACGACGGCCCTTGTTTTCCTGCTCTCCTATCTCGTGGTGCGGTTCTATCACAAGGTGTCCAAGTACCCGAAAGGCCCATTCCCGCTGCCCGTTGTCGGAAATCTTCTGGGTGAGTGCTTTGGCGATCGTTTGTTGTAGCGTATCTGATGCAGACAAGAGATGTGTTATCAGTACCCCCCGTACAGCTCCTTCGGTAGGTTGTATACGATAAAGATTGATAGCTTATGAATGGCACCAGAAATCAGGGCACGTGTTATTGAGCAAGAAGTATTTTCTCATATATACAGTATATTACTACTATTCGGGTGAATCGCCACTGCATCCATTGTAACGAATGGTAGCTTGTATCACCATATGTATATAGGTACAACTTTCAGCATTCGAAGCTATTTGTGCTGCTTTGAGGAACGAGATTTATCAATGGGTCACATTACTATTTTATTCCGCCATCAGAAATTTGACGAGCGTAATAAAGGCTACAATACACAGACCGGTGCATGGAATGCTGCACAGCGTTTTCTTGAGAAAGGTTAATCTGTGTTTACTAGGATGCTTCCAGCTTCTTCGTTCAAAATTCTTGACGTTAGTATGTTTCTTTTTCGTGTGTGTGCAAATTCCACAGCAACCTTTTTAGTGTGAGACAATTTGTGATCGTTTTCTTAAAAAAAAGAAACCAACTAGTTATTTTGTGTATTTTTTTTTGTTACAAAACGTGGCCTGTTCTTTTTAAACAATGAGTGTACGATGCAATGTGTGTGGTATTTTTTATACTGGTTCTATGGTCGGTGCGAAGTCGAACTTTAGTTTTTATTTATAAATTATACTTAGCATAGCCATACCACGAGCTTAATTTGCAGAATGCGCTGATCATCTCTTCGAACGTTTTTGCGGGAGAGCATATGCACCGGTACTCTTGCATTTTGTTTGTTTCTCTGAGCTCCTAAATATTTGTCATTATCACAAATCATGCCTGGGACCGCACTTCGAGAGGTAACTGCATATTCTGCAATATATCCCACTGAATATCTAAAATGTTGGACTATATATCTGAATTTCGAAAGAGACCTGAAAACTGAATTCGGACTTCTCGCTTTGCCTGACTTGTCATTTTATTTCTTGTCATCTCAGAATCCTGTTTTTTTCATATTCACAAGAAAAAAGGTGAAATCAATCGATGATTGCAAGTGCTTCTTGGCAATAGTCTTGCGAAGCAGTTGCCGTTTGCGTTCTAGAAAATTGTGTCACGAATGTTATGCGCATGTGCTGTTTGGTTTCCTTGTATCTCTACGGTCAAAGGTTTCGGAAACAGGCACATATTCTAAAAAAAAAAAAAAAAAATATATATATCTTTTTTTTTTTTTTTGCAGTGCATTAGGTTTATGCCGACCGAGGTGATTTTATACTTTGTTAGCCTTCGCAGTGCAAAGGCTAACAAAGTATAAAATCACCTCGGTCGGCATAAACTTATTTATTTACTTATTTATTCGGGGCAATGAGGCGTTACAGTAAGGCGGCAAGGGGGGGGGGGGGGGGGAGGAGGAGAGGGAAATGAAGATGAAATTCGAAGCAGAAATAGTCACGTAAAGCGTAGAATATAACAATCACTATGCCATAAAACATTTTGAAATTCACAACACCGAGCATAATATTTGTCAGGCTGTTCTAACATTCTACAAATATACTAGGAACTCTATAAGGACAATGCTAAATATAAGATTCGGTCGGTGCAATGCTATCCAGAAAAAAAACTGTCAGTCTGCTGCAATCATATTTTGTTACCGGGTTGGGGTGAGGGTAAATAATTCTGAAATATCTTGCTTCTGCAGGAGCATAGTTTAACTCATAAGCATGATTCTGTCATTGTGATTGCGATAGGTGAAGGTATGTTTCTCTTTTTCATGCCAATTCTACCGCGAACCAACTGCTTAAACAATTACGGAAAAGTGCGCTGAGGACGCAGCATCCAATTCTATTACTCAGTAGAAGGCCCTATACAATGTTTCGTTTCCTTTAGAACTCAGGAACACCAAAGAGCTTTACAAGGCTGCCAACAACTGGTCTCAGAAATTCGGAGACCCAATCACTCTGTGGATGGGTGAGAAGCCAATGGTTGTGCTCAACACACACAAACTTGTGAAGGAAGCGTTCATTGAGAGGAGACACGAGTTTGCTGGACGTTTTTCTACCAAAATGGGTGAGTTATTGGCGCTCAATAATTATTTGCCATTTGAACACGACGTAGTTTCGTACTACTATTCGAGGTAATTCAAGATATTTAAAACGTTTATTTCTTATAAGCTTTATAGTTATAATTATGTTTCATTGTGTGTTTCTGTGCTACCGTGAGAACCAAATAACTATCGTCTTCAATTTATTTTTATAGATATATCTATATTGTATTAAAAAGGATATATCCTCTTACACGTATGAATCTTGCAGTTTGTACCTGCAGTAATAAACGACGAGGACGGGGGGGAACGAGGGAAAGGGGGCATTAAGCCAGCAATCTCTTTTGCTACTTGCACCCTACCGAGATGCCTGTGTGAACTCAACTACTTAATAACGTTTCTAAATATCCAGACTCTCAATAACATAAAGAAATACCAGGGCGGTGCTTGCACCATATTAATTAACAGTTGGCAGAGTATTGAGCGTAGCACAGGTCAGTACTAAAGAAGTGACGGCTTATTTCTATAAAACCATTTGAGCCTAAACATTTGACATAATTCTGTCTGGTTTAGGGAACAAGAATTGAAAATAAATGTGAAACCCGGCCATGATTCCAATGGTGGAAACCTTTCGAGGCCTAATTGACTATTTTTCATTGGTGACTGTATAAATATGGGCCATGTAAAGCACGTTTCTTTGTCCTTTTCTTTTTCTACGGTGATGTCTTTCTCATCGTATCAATTCGACGCCGCGGCTTATGGTAAGGCACAGAGGGACCTATTGGTATATCCTTGTGTGGTATGAATCTCCGAGAACTCCAAGCAAAGTCCCTGTCATGGATCAGTCTCAACGTCTATAATGGAAATGTTTTAAAGTAAAGACGGTGCTCCTCAACATCGCAGCCTACAGAGACCGCGCTCTGCAGTGTTTGTTCTCAGTCGACATCGCGATCGTCGTTCTGATGTTGGCGGATCCTCTCTTACAAGTTCTTTGTTTTGCCGAAGTATGTGGCTGGCAAATATTTGCCAGGAATCTAATAGATGCCATCTTGTGCTATATTTTTAGGGGGCGATATTTCGCTTTTGCCGAGCAAGCTATGAAATTTAATTTCGACGAATGTTTTTAGGGATGCGGTGACCTAGCTGTCAACTTGAGAAAAAGAGGGCACTACATTAATTTCTTTTTTTTAAAACCTGGCTTGGCACTTGCGAGTTAGGGCTTTGATCAAACGCTTAAGAATCCTATGTCCCTGGGGCGAATGAACGTGAAGTTTCAGACAAAGGCTTCCATGAACCACGTGATCTACTAGAGTCTAGAACACAGCATCCAAATCAAACCAGAAAATATCAATATATGTCCTTCAAACCTTTAGCAGACGGCTACGTCAGCGGCCTTCACAATGTAAAAAAAAAGGCACCCTTGTATACAAAATAAATAAATAAATAATGCTCCCGAACGGTCATAGCCATTGGCATCCCCAACTCTATAAGGACAGCCTGAGAATGCCCCAAAACGTTGGGTTTCGGAGAGTTAGGGCTTAGTTGGACAATTCCTTTTAATCATTACATGATTCGTTCCTAAATTAGGGATAAAAAATAAACCATTTATAAACTATGAGTATGTCCAAATAGATTTAAACCATGCTCTCCATTGCCAAAGACCACCGCCTCTTGGTGAAACTCATTAAACCTGCCCTAGTGAGACGATCACCGTTTATTCGGTGTTCCGAAGGGCTCTGAGGAGGAGGAGGGGCATACCGTCCCCTCCCCCCCCCCCCTTCTCCCCCTCCAGAGCTGCGCTCCAATTCGGCATTATAGGGAGTTGTAAACATCTTTCATTTTTTTTTGTACGCACTCCTATCATAGTTTTCGCTGGGGAACTGATAGTAATTCGAAATAAACAAATAAATATATAAAATTTTATTTGATTTTTTATTTGACAGTCAACAATCTTATCATAGAGTGAATTACAGAAGCCATGTAAATTAAGTTATTAAACAAAACATAATTTGTAGCAATTGTTCAAAAGACAATACATGCCATGTTCAATTCAAATACAAAAAAAAACCTATTGTTTCTCCTTGTTTATTACTGCAACAAAATAACACTCACTATCGTTGAGCACCAGAAACACGCTTTTTTTTTAGTATAATATAGCAGTTCTTAGCTAACCTTCTACTTCTATTCGACCAAATTACTGCTCTAATAAGACTACAAGTTTACTTCTGCTCTCACTATTGTGACTTTTTTTTTTTGCGTTATTGCAAGTACCTCGAACCTCACGTATTTGAAGTGTTTCCACTCGATTATAATGCAATTAAATGCAAAGGTGCAAGCGAGCTGGACAAGAATGACGAAAATAATCCCTGGAGAAAAGGAACAAGAGGGACAAAGGACAAACACAAATCTCCAAACACAGCTGGTACGCGACCGAAAACATCCGCCTGGTCCGGGTATCGAACCCGGGACGTCGCCATTTCCAGTGGAGCGCTCTACCAACTGAGCTGATCAGGGGTTAGACGTCTGTCGAGCAAACGGGTTTTATCGGTCGCGCACCAGTCACCTAGCTGTGTTTGGAGATTTGTGTTTGTCTTTTGTCCCTCTTGTTCCCCTTCTCCAGGGATTATTTTCGTCATTCTTGTCCAGCTCGCTTGCACCTTTGCATTTAATTGCATTATAATCATAACCTTAAAATGCAAGCCTTTCACCCTCGTTAGGGTTAGACTGGTGGCAGCTGGTAAAACCTGTTTGCTTTATATATACTGACGTCTAACCCCTGGTTAGTTCAGTTGCTAGAGCGTTCCACTGGGAATGGAGAGGTCCCGGGTTCGATACCCGGACCAGGCGGACTTTTTCGGTCGCTCACCAGTCACCTAGCTGTGTTTGGAGATTTGTGTTTGTCTTTTGTCCCTCTTGTTCCCCTTCTCCAGGGATTATTTTCGTCATTCTTGTCCAGCTCGCTTGCACCTTTGCATTTAATTGCATTATAATCATAACCTTAAAATGCAAGCCTTTCACCCTCGTTAGGATTAGACTGGTGGCAGCTGGTAAAACCTGTTTGCTTTACTGACGTCTGACCCCTGGTTAGTTCAGTTGCTAGAGCGTTCCACTGGGAATGGAGAGGTCCCGGGTTCGATACCCGGACCAGGCGGACTTTTTCGGTCGCTCACCAGTCACCTAGCTGTGTTTGGAGATTTGTGTTTGTCTTTTGTCCCTCTTGTTCCCCTTCTCCAGGGATTAATTTCGTCATTCTTGTCCAGCTCGCTTGCACCTTTGCATTTAATTGCATTATAATCATAACCTTAAAATGCAAGCCTTTCACCCTCGTTAGGGTTAGACTGGTGGCAGCTGGTAAAACCTGTTTGCTTTACTGACGTCTGACCCCTGGTTAGTTCAGTTGCTAGAGCGTTCCACTGGGAATGGAGAGGTCCCGGGTTCGATACCCGGACCAGGCGGATTTTTTCGGTCGCGTACCAGTCACCTAGCTGTGTTTGGAGATTTGTGTTTGTCCTTTGTCCCTCTTGTTCCCCTTCTCCAGGGATTATTTTCGTCATTCGTGTTTCCACTCTTCCATTAGAAAAGAGAAGTGAACGCGTAAAGAAAAGTGTTCAAAGTTTCGTTCTGTCTTTTCAAGCGGAACTCCAGAGACAAGGAAACCACAACATTATGTTTGAGGACTATAATTCAACCTGGAAAACCCTGCGAAAGTTGGCACTCACCGCCGTCAGGTAGGCGATATTAACACCACGCGATTAACAAGGATGGCATGGTCCTTTTAATGGATTGCATAAATTGGCTCCTTAACGCATCGCCATAGATTTTTGTACAGAGCAGGCCGAAGATAGTGCATTTGCTGTTTCAATAATTCAAAAACAAAATTACCTGAGTAAACAATACAACAAATGATGATCTTAATTGTTCTACTTACAATATCTGTCCGCAGAAAAAAAAAATATTAACATAAGAGCCGACAGATAAAAGGTACACTCTAAGAAATGTCTGCGCGTCTACTTACCCGCAAAACATTCGAAGAGCCAATCATCATTGCGATCTACGAAATCAGCTCAGCGAATGATGAGGCGGAACATCTGTTTAGACCTCAGAATTAAGTCTGCGCTGTGGCATTACGCTATGTAAGCATGACACTTTGCATTGCGTCATGCCACAGCGCAGACTTCATTTTTAGGTCTAAACGGATGTTCCGCCTCACCATTCGCTGAGCTGATTTCCTAGATCGCAATGATTGGCTCTTCGAATGTTCTGCGGGTAAGGACGCGCAGGCATTTTTTAGAGTGAAAGAGAGCAAGTGCGCAGAAATTGGTCTCCGATAGCAGACGATACTTAGAGTCGCATGCGGAACGTGAATTTTCAATGTAGCGGATGACTTATATTTTCACGATTAATGCACACTGATTAGCCACAAAACCAATATTAATCAATAATTTGGTTGGAATATTTCTTTCTTATATGACAACAGCTGCCGCCATTCTTTGCCTCAACCAGACGTCTTCATTTGTAGAGGGCCACATAGATAACATATTCAAGATCTTCATTTTTTTTTTTTAATTGTGCATCTGCGTAATTTTGTTAGTAAATTTGGTAACAAAGTGGACCATTTTCAGCCACCTCTGCACAATCTTGGCTGGATACGTTAAGAAACCAATTTACGCTGTTCCTTCAAAAAACCAATGATTCATTTTGTTGATTAGCAACGTCAGAGAATGTTCATGTTGGACAGGCTTGTAGGACAGTGCATTTGGTAAGGATCATCTTAGCGAACGGCGGGTAGGTAAGTGAAAGGTTGCTCTCAAATTTTGTTCCTGAACACACACACACACACACACACACACACACACACACACACACACACGCACACACACACACACACACACACACACACACACACACACACACACACACACACACACACGCACGCACGCACGCACGCACGCACGCACGCACGCACGCACGCACGCACGCACGCACGCACGCACGCACGCACGCACGCACGCACGCACGCACGCACGCACGCACGCACGTATATATAAGGTGTTTTGTACTAAGATTTACAGATTTGTTTGAAAAGAACCGTGAAAGTTGCACTTATGCGGTTTGTGCAGGTGAGTTATACGACCAGGGGGACATTATGTGGGTGGCTAATCTTTGCGATGAGTCGGCTAATTAATTATATAAAATCTTTAATTAACTTTTTAATTAGTGAAAATAAATATACGGTTCCAATTGGAAACTTAGAGAGTGTCATCGAAAAAAACTAAATCAACTCTTTTTAGAACGACTTAAAGCCGCGGGAAGCTCGGGGGCGCACCAAAGTTACCACTGGTGAAGCAGGCGCAAAGCTGGCAGTGGCGAAACGCGATGATAATCTAATCATCCGCGTTTTGCCACTGCCAGCTTTGTGCCTGCTTCACGAGTGGTAACTTTGGTGCGCCCCCGAGCTTCCCACGAGCTTCAAGTTGTTCTAAAAAGGGTTGATTTAGTGGTTTTCGATAACGCTCTTTAAGTTTTTAATTAAAACCATATGTCTATTTTGACTAATTAAAAGTTAATCAACAACTTTTAATAATTTAGCCGACTTATCGCAAAGATAAGCCACCCACATAATGGCCCCCTGACCATATAACTATACATAGTATATATTGCGAATTTAAGCGATCGAGGTGTGTCTATCAAATATCGAGTTTGGTGGCAAAAGTGTGGTTTGCTATAACAATAATACAAATCATTTGTTGTCTTGTTCAACATACTCCGCCTCCTTTATCTATTGCCATTGGATACTAATTTTTCTTTGTTGGAATTGCATGTCGTCATGTTTGAACCGCTTCAGCGGCGCCACCGCAATGTTTTCAATGCTTCTGTTTGCTTAAACAGATAAAAATGTACAAGCCGGTGGGATAGGGGATACGCAAATGCTTTACGCTATGAAAAGCGTAGTTTTCAATACACGTAATATGCATAGCACCTGTCATCTGACGTGCTTACTTATTTGTAGTCACTTGGAGTGCAGGAGCATGTATGAATGCATTGATTTGTATCGGTATTCTTTGCAGGAAGTACGCCGTCAGTGACTCGTTGGAGAACCTTTGCTGCGAGGTCGTGGATGCCTTCGTGGATTCTTTGAAGGTGGGACCCAATGTAGTGGATTCGAAGACTCCTTTTGAGTACATGCTCTACAACATAATCGGCTTATCTGTTTACGGAGCAAAGTAAGCTTATGTCACGAACTCACGCGAGCTCGATACTCTCATGTAGGGTGCCTTCATGTGTGCTTTGCTTAGGGTGGAGACATCCGGCCATTTTGTCCCACACGTTTACTTTTCTTTTTTGTCCAGAAGCGCGTGAAAGAGCGTGTCCCTGCGCGCGTTTGTGGCGCTGACTCTGCTATGGCGACATTTTTTTTTCCGTCGCTTTCTTTGTATTTTCCCCTTGAGTGCGTGCCGTCGGCATCGAGTACTACATGGGTGGCATCACCCTAAACAGAAGGACATTGAGGCACCTATATTATCATGTTGACAGCTTGGATTCCTACTTTTGTTCTCGCCCAACCGTACTAAAAGAATAAAAAAAAAAAAGAGGATTGATTAATGAACGATATATACTTGCTTCAAAAATGAGCAGTGGTTAATTTCGCTTCTGTTAACTGCATTGCATAGAAAGAAAATGAAACGGTTCGCAGGACAGTGGTACTTTTATCTGGGACTAGTTTATGAATATGTATGCGCTGGTGCATCTAGCCATGATGAGTCTAATTGTGGTGAAAATGGATCGAAAAAAACAACAAAACATATACGTCTATTTTGTCACTTCCTTAATCAGAACCATTCTTACATTGCTGTGTACCAAAGCGGGGCTTCCTTTTATCAAAAAATGTTTTTTGTTTAATTTTGCAATAAGAATCGGAGTTGCGAACCATGAAGACAAGACTCAGTGAAAGTGAATTCTTTAAATTACAAAAATAATGGTAACGGCGCCGGCAAGATGGTAAACGTTCATACCTAAAACAAAAAGGAAATACTCGACACAGGGTAAAATGAGGGGACAAACACAACGAAGCCTCAAATTGAGACTTCGTTGTGCTTGTCCCTTTCTTTTCCCCTGTCTCGGAGTTTCTTTTAAGTATGGACTTCGAAGTTGCCGTATTCTAAATATGTTTGACGAGTGCAAATAAGCGACATGTCAAAAATCCCGTTTTCGACACCACACACAGAAAAAGGTCTGGCAACAGTGACGTGACTAATCATTTTTAATTTACAAAATTCTTAAGAATGGGAGGAACAAAACAGTTGACATTTATTAGTTTCGAACTATACAGCTGTAGATATGGAGCTGAGTATTTTCTGTGATATCACGAGGAACTAATTGGAGTCTCCAGTATTTGCGTTAATTTGACAATTGGGCGAATTGACAATAAATGAATAACCCGTCACATTTGTTTAAATACGATCCCCTCGAATGTATACAGGGTGCTAATTTTTTAAAGGTAACATATTTGTTAAAAAAATAGCCGGGAAAGCTACACTAATACGGCTTGTGCCGGTGATGCCGCCAGGGGCACGTAAGATAGGGGTCTTAAAAATGCGTTTATTAACTTTTTAATCAGTTAAAATATACGTATGGTTCCAGCTAGAAAGAAACTTGCTGGGCGTCATCGAAAACCACTATATGAGTAATTTTTTGAAAGTCTTAGAGCACGTGGGAAACGTGGTAATCCGCTGAAAAAGTGAACATTTTTGCAACCGGCAAAAGGCTGGGACGAGAAAACGCGGTTGATAAGAGACGGAAAACCCGCTTGGTCGCATTATCGCACAGGCAGCCTAGCTCCTGTCGCACGAGTGGTGACTTTGGAGCTCCAGGCTGCTTCCCACTTTCTCAAAGTACTTCAAATATTGACTGATTTAGCGGTTTGTGGTGACACTCAGTAAGTTCCTTATTAGAACATATTTTCTATATAACGTTATTTAACGCATTTCACTTAATTAACCAACTGACTGTTACGATTAGCCCCTTATACTATGTCCCCCTGTCCGTATAACCCACCTGTACAAACCGAAGAAGTGTAGGTTATTTTTGTTTACGTGTTAAGATTAAAAAAGAAAAGCCCCGTGTATAATAACGATATCTTTATATTTAACGCTTCTACATTTTTTTTTTAAATTATGACCCGTTGTATCTTCATCCACTCCCTATATGTTTCTGTTTCAGGTTTGAGAAAGAAAGCCCAGAATTGACCAAGCTGCAGGCCAGTAAGAAAAGATTCCTCGAAATAGCACCAAATGGACTGCCAAGTGACATCGTGCCGTGGTTGGGTCTGTTTTACCGCGGGCGTGAAAAGAAGGTCAAAATCCTTTTCAAGGATTTTATCGATGTACTTGATGGCCTGTACAAACGAGCTGCAAAATCCTACGTCCCCGGTACGTTCGCATTTTGTTTTGTAAGAATTTTTTATCGGCAGCATTTTCTACACCATAGGGATAACCACCTTGCCCCAGTAAATTCGAGACAAAGCGTTTTCCAACAGAACCCCAGTTCACGGGTTCGAATGCCGCCCGATGGGCCCGCTATATGACGGAGGCCTATTGAGGAGAAGGCGCAGTGCGAACAGATGCCCTTTCATTGGTTTGGTACTTAAACCCCCCAAACTAATTATGAACGAATAATATCAAGGTTAAAAATTCCTAACGTTTGCAGAACCGGCCAAAAGGGTATGCTATGCCTAGACACGAAATTCACGGAAATAAAATTGTGGATTCGATTTAAAATTCTTTATTCCTTTCGTAATTCAATTGCGTTTGCTTTTTCAAAGCGTGCGACCCTGGAGAAATGCTTTATCTCCGAGTCAACAAAAATATAAGAATAAATGTATAGTACATCCCGCAATTCATTCAAAAATTGCTGAACGTGGAATATACAGGGTGATTCAAGGAGAGGCCAGGCTCTTTAAATCGACCGCAAAAATTCGGTTTCTCAACCTATCGCGCTACGACTTTGTGCCGCGTTGCCCACAGATGGTGCATTTTTTTTTGTGTAAAATTTGCAAAGAACGAACTTACTTGACGAAAAGGTAAAGAAAGAAAAAGGCTTAGCTCCTATGGAAACGCAGCGACGCCACCGGTCTTCAAACAATACGGCGCCGTTTCGTACGGGAGGCAAGAGATAGCGCAACGAACGCCGCCAACGAACGAGCATACGGCGCCGAGAGCCGGCGTCTTTAGCGCACGATCTTTTCGACTCAAAAGCGGCGCGCATTCCGCAGGCGGCGACAGTCGCAGACACAAAAGCAGGCGCGGTAACAACAAGAAACTGCAGTTCCTTGTCTGCTAAAGACGCCGGCTCTCGGCGTCGTATGCTCGTTCGTTGCAGGCAGTTGGCGTCGCGACCGCTTGTGCCATCTCTTGTCTCCCGTGCGAAACGGCGCCGTGTTGTTTGAAGACCGGTGGCTTCGCTGCGTTTTCATAGGAGCTAGACCTTTTTCTTTCTTTAGTTTTTCCTCAGGTAAATTCGCTCTTTGCAAATTTTACAAAAAAAAAGAAAAAAAAAGCACCATCTGTGGGCAACGCTGCACAAAGTCGTAGCGCTATAGGTTGAGAAACCGAATTTTGTGGTCGATTTAAAGAGCCTGGCCTCTCCTTGAATCACACTGCACAGTGTCCTCATTGACGTAAGCGAATGACAAAAAAAAAAGAAAAAGTGATTATCTGTAGACTAGGCTTGTTGCCTTGTTACCTATATGTGTTTGGGAGCGTTAATAGATAGCCTTTTTATTACAATAGCAAGATTCAATACCGCGCACCGCTGTGTTCAGCGGTGCGCGGTATCTTTGGAACTTCGCGGCATGCACACTAGTACCTGCGAACTATGAGGTATGGACATTGTAATGCATAAATGGTCTGCTAAATTATAATATTGCATAGTCCTTGTTTTTGTGTATGTTCCGCGAAAAATTAGTTTTAGTTTTTGTCCTGTTGACGTTCAAAGTAAGGGGCATATTTCTACGTTGCCTGAGGGTCTGTTTCCACTCGTTTGTGTCGCCCACCGATGTTTCACGTAGCGACTTCGAAAATGTGCATCAAGTTCGTTTGTAGCGTGACTGGTGGAAGCTTTAAGAACCCCTGAATTCCTTTGTTTTGAAGTCCGTTCTACAACAACCAACATAGAGGCAGCAAGTTACGTTCCAAAATGCAAATTAATTTGTTCTTTTTGTTTGCACGCTTCAATACTCGGAAGATGCAGATCTCTTAAAATTATAAATGTAGACACGTTCCTAATACAATGCGCATGTCCCAAAATCAATCAGAGCATCAGATGAATGTACTTGTTTCACAAATCACCACAACACTGGTAAATAAAAAAAAAAAAAAAAAAAAACTAGGAATGCTTAGTGCATGGCAACCACAAGGATAAGATGTATTTTTCAATGCCTCATTAAAAACCAAGCTCTATATTTTGATATATATAAACCGATGAAGGCAGCCAAAACGTAGTGCATTACCTAACAATTATATATCCGTCTACTACATTTACCACGCCTCGCGCATATTTTTTACACTTTCCGCTTATAAGACCTTTTTTTGATTGTGTAGATGAGAATCTTTTAAACACATTGAACAGGTTTCTTTTGTGAGTTCACTGCGAAGTTCACTGTTTTGTGATGATGGAAATTGACGAAGTTTCGGCCAAAATGGAGGCTTAAAAGAAACGGAGTTAGTAAAGTGACTTTGTGCATTCCATAAAAAATGTACGAAGATGTTTTATTTTATTTTTTTACATGCTCTCAGGCAAAATCGAAAACTTCACGCACTCCATGTTGGCAGCGAGAGACGAAGCCATTGAGCAAGAAAAGAATGACGCTCAGTACCTCACCGAAGCCAACATGGTCCAGATCATTATGGACATCTTCGGAGGTGAAGAAGACATAACTACTTTCTGCACATAGGTGTATCAAAAAATAAGAACCTATATATTTAATGTTATGTACAAACAAAGCTTATGCTGATACACGCATGTGACATATCCATGATTGATGGACGATCAAATCATATTTGTCGCCATGTAATGATGGTATTGATTGCAAGTACGCTCATTACGTCGCGAACTCTAAAGCTCAATTCGCACATTGGTGAAGTTTTAATATGAACTGTAGATAGTGCAAACAGGCTTTATTGGTGTTGCTACATTACTTATTTCCTACTTAAGATCACATACCAGCAGCTCTATTGCACTCACTAAGGCTACTTTCTTCAAATATGACATCCGGCTGAAAAATCCTCTAAAATAAAGGTTATTAGTCGCAACAGTGTCTAGGTTAGACTTAGTTAGATCCCATATGTGTTCATAAGTTCGAGTCGTTTCGGCATTATTCCATATACATCTGTTATTAATAATCTTTTTCAGCTGCAACGGATACTTCATTGGGAGAGCTACAGTGGTTATGTCTGACGATGACCAGAAAGCCAGAGATACAGGAAAGAATAAAGGAAGAAATAGAAAGAAACTTGGGTAACTAACGCCTTTGTCTTCTTGCGACTGCTTTCAGCGGACCATTTTGTGCGTCTCTTAGAAGTTATACGCTTTTACACACCGGTAATAAAGGGAACGAGCAGCGAAAATATGTGTACGGAAGCAACTTCTCCCGTTAGGTCTAAACCGAAACTTTACCCATAATCTCCTCGTGGCAACTGTTTTCCTTAGTCACTGACGATACGTGAACGGCCGTAAGGCCCTCCAGCTGTCCCTCCTCCAGCGCAAGCTTTCTACCTTCGGTTGCGAAAGTCGAACGCCATGCTCTTGCGTTCTGTGTTTTAACGGGTTCGACGAATGCAGTGGAGATAAAGCTACTAGCTTTCGCTCTACCCACTAATCGTTCCAATCATAGCTCAGAGTTCTGTCATCCCAGCACTCTTGTCTCCTCCTCTTCCTCACTTTCTAGGCACATACTGACAGCTTAAAGGGGTTGTCCGGTCAAATTTAGTATTCAAGAAAACATTTAGACCTCATTGCCAATGGCTGTAAGTGTAGAAGCATCTTCCGCGACAGACCTGAATTTTGTCTGCTTCCCTGAACGAGTAATTGTATTTTAAACCAAGCGTGCATAAACTGCGTTTTCTTCATCCATTTTGAGAACAGCGGAGGCTCTGACAGAACATAACGCAATGATGGCGCCGAACTGAAGCGACCTTCGTAGTCTGTCCTCCGCGTGAGTGCTACGACGGGGTTTAGGCTCGTCGCTGCGCCAGTAAATTTGTTGCGAATGAAAGGGGGCTCTCGTTGGTGCGGTTGTCACGCTCTGCACTTTTCCGCGAGATTTACAGTAGCGAGTAAAATGGAACGCCAAGGTGGGTGTCGGGAGCACTGTGTTCCCACGGAGGGATGAGGCATAGGATATGGCAATTGCAAGCCTGGTGTGACGTTCCACGAGGCATTTGAGCGCAGCCATGGATACTTGAAGAATTTGGCTTGGAGTTTCGTCATTGAGTGCACTACATTGGGGGTGTCGTTTCATAGAATAAGAAATGGTCCATGTTAATCATTGGGCTCCCACCAGGCAACCATCGAAAGGTCTTAAGAACTTCCGGTTTTCACTGGACAATCTCTTTAAGAAGTTTAGTGCGTGGCGTGTCCCGTGCCTTCGTCTATCGCTCCAATGGGATTCCGGCATTTGCTGATAAAACCGCGAAAGTCACAAAAAAAAAGAAGAAAAAAAAAACACGAAGAGAGTAAGTTACTTTTTGTACAAATACGGAAACAGACGATCAATGCGCAAGGTATGGGTGCATACGTTTCATTTGATTCATTTAGCCGGTTAGATCGCAGACGCGCGCCCCACAATATTATGAACGCCGTGTTGTAGCAATTTTGGAGTTCTGTGATCAAACCCAGCTGCTCGTAGCGTCGGTTGCGCTCCAGTGACTTAAGCTGCACAAAAGTTTAGATTGGTTCCACACCTTGCACTGTGTGCGCGGTAGCATTTTCATCTCCTGGACCATCTGAAACAGGGCAAGCTCGACCCGGAATGCAAGACAGAGGAAAGCTGCCCTACACAGTGGCCTGCCTCTTGGAGACCCTGCGCATGTACCCCATCGTTCCCCTAGGCCTCCCGCATAACACGACATGCAACACAGAAGTTGGTGAGTCTAGTTTCATACTACGGCTCGCTGTAGTACGGGGGTGGGGGAGATTCTACAATAATCGGAATGTTGTAATAAAAATACTTTAGTTTTAACAACTTGCCGCGTTAATCACCCTCAATGTAGTCTGCATTTGAGTGATCGAATGCTCCGATCCAAACGTGTGATCTACTTTTCAAAACAATTCTGGAACTCATCCAAGGTAATGCCTTTCAATGCCACCATCGTTTCTTGTTTGACCTCTTCCACATCCACAAAACGTTTCCTCTTCGTGACTTTTTTCATAGGGGCGAACAGAAAAAAGTCACGCGGGCCGTGGTACCGTGAATAGCGGGGGAAGGGAGGGGGGGGGGGGGGGCGGGCAGCGTCATGCTATTTTTGTTTGAAAATTGTTGCACTGACAGGGTGACAGGGCAGTCAGTGCGTGCTGGGGCATTCGCATTTTTGGGTCGTGGCGAACTGGAACTCTTCCACGACTTGACTGTTGCTTTGTCTCAGGATCGCAATTGTATCACCAGCTTTCGACACCTGTAATAACTTTTGAAACAAAAGCTTGGGTCAATTTCCAAATGTTCATTTAGCTTTGACAAGCGTTTACCCGAGACTGTCTATGATCAGCAGTGAGCAAACTACGCACAAATTTCGCAAAAACCTTTTTCATGTTCAAATTTTCAGTCCAAGTGCGTTAACACGAACTCAAGGACACTCCACTCAGTCCAGCAAGTTGTTCAATTGTCTTTCTTTTGTCTGCCAAAACCAAATCCCGAATTTTCTCAATGTTTTCATCAGTTGAGGATGTTGAGCTTTTAGGGAGGTTGGTCGTCGATCAATAATTCACCAGACTTGAAGCGAGAAAACCACTCGTGGACCTGCGACTTGTTCATAGCATCTTCTTTGCAAGCTGTCTAAAGCAGTACAATAGCTTCCGCCGCCGTCAAATCAAATATTGCACGAAAACGAGGAATGAGTTCGAAGCGCTGGGGAAAAAAATTCACAACATGCTGCTACAACATTAGCAGACGACGCCGGTGGGCAAACTGACGCGGAAGTGGTGCCGCTAAGTGCTGCTAGTGGCTGAAGCTGGTACTACGAGCTGGACGTCCTTCAGGAATTCCTTCCTGTTACTTTTGGGTCCCCCCTCGTATAGCGATGTGCCCCTGATTTCCAGCGCTGATCTATGCAGCGGTGTGTGTTTCTGCTTTAAACTTCTGAAGTCGTGTCTCATACTACGCTTTATGCTTCATATGAGGTTATGTGGAACATTATATGAACCATAATAGCCGCCATAGTTTCAATACACTAGTATATTAAATCGTTACAATAGTGGCGAAATATTTATCGCTAATGATAAAACGGCAGTTTGATACTTTAGACCCATGTTACGGATAAAAAAAAATTGGAAGCTGGATGGCCAAAAAAACATGCTTTTCGTTTATGGCTCGTCAAATTATGAGGCGCTGGAGAAATGCAGCCTTCTGCGTTAAGTTCTTATTTCGAACTCTTTTTGTTCGCCTTCCGCCCATTGGAATGCATGCGGGAAGGGCCTTAGAGCGCACCTGGTATCGCTGCGCCGCAGCGTTCTTCCGCAACATAAAGTTCGTCTGCTTTCCTCGCCGTCACCATGGCAACGAACGCCGAATGAATAGAAGCACGCACAGTACCGCCGCTTGAAGCCAGCAACAGCTGACGCCATTTTACGGACGGTGTCAAAACTTTAGGTATAAGTGGCTTGCGTTGATGTCACGTCGGCCGCCATTGCTCCGTTCCATGCTCCGAGCCTTGCCGAAAAGAAAAAAAATTCGATGGTGCCAAATGTTTGCCGCAGAAGGTGCGGGCACGGGAGCATGGTACGGAGAAATGGCGGCCGCTAGGGTGTCATTCGACGTTACTCACAAGGCGTGTATAAACAAAAAATATTAAAACTGAGATGGTGAAAAGTGCCGTGGTGTGCCCAGATTTACGCTTTAAAATCCACTGTTGAAAGTAGTGTGGGCTTTCCGCGTTCGCTCTTACTGCAACGCATAGTTGTATGGGCTTGAATCAAGGCTGCCAGCACGGAAAGTCAAGATTTCCCTGGCGAACGCCTGAAATTTCTCTATTTTTGCCAAAAGGTTCCTCGCTTGCCCAAATAATTAATAGTAAATATTCGTCGCATTTTTGCATCACTTCCATTTTTACAGTGAAAGATATATTATGTTGCCTTTAAGCCTCGCATGTGCTTAGCAAAAATGAGCTCATCGGGTCAAAACCCCGGCCAAAGCAAATCTGGCCAGGGGAAGTGTTACCGGGAGATTCATGCTGAAGATTGAAACCCTATGTTTACCTTAGATGTTACGCACGCCATCAGAACATGGTACTGCTTAATAACTCCAATATCGAAAACAAAAGGTACAACACAAGCGAAAGTTCTGGAACTCGAACACAGGGAACACGACATATACTTACTACCATTTCGTGCACGGCACTTCACGATATAGTATTAGTCATGGTAAGTCTGTATCTCCAGACATCGCAGCATTTCTTCATGTACTAAGGCTTCCTTTTTCGAGGAGGCACAGCGGCACTCTCAGAAGTGCTTCCACGGGGGCGATGAAGGCGAATGAAAATTGATTTTGCCCGAAAAAAGTTGGTCAAGTGCTCCTCAGTATTTCCAGATGGTCGCCCACCAAACCGCGAAAAGGCTGGAGGGTATAGCCTAAATGGAGCCAAAGCCGCTGAATTTTGATGTTATCTCAAAATGAAACCATAATTGACATATAAAATTCCGGATATATATTGTGCCTAAAATTTCCCTCAAACTAGCAAGATTTTTCTTATTACTACATAGACCGGAATTTTATCTTAATCTGTAAAATTTCCCTCAGGTCGGCAGCCCTGGCTTGAATGTTAAGTGTGTAAATAATTGAACGCAGTTAACGATACGATATGGCGTTCACTAAGAACAGGCATTACTATGAGTATACCGTATCCGTATAATCGTGGAACTGCCTTCAGCAAGCGGATCAACTATTCGTTCCCTGTGAAAGTCTAAGTCAACTTTGACAGATGAAACGTTAGTATATACCAAGGTGTGCTTCTTTTCTGCTCTTCTCATTCCCATGCGAACACAGGCGGACAGTTCATTCCCATGGACACTGGCATCTTTTACAACATCTACGCCATGAACCGTGATCCCCAGCTGTGGGCAGAGCCCGAGGTCTTCAGGCCGGAAAGATTCCTGGACCCTGTCACGGGCAAGGTGAACCAGGAACTTCTGCCCCAGCTGATGTCTTTCGGTCTGGGTCCCAGGACGTGTCCAGGAGAAAAACTGGCACATGTGGACATGTTCTACGTCCTGGTGCGCTTTATGCAGCGCGTGAGCTGCAGTGCACCGGCGGGGAAATCAGGCTCTGCAATAGCGGCAGTTAATTCCAACCTTTTCTTGTGTCCAGCAGAACAAGACATTGTTTTGACTAGAGTGTACTGACCCGGAAAATGCATCTCATAAGTTATGCATACTCAAGAGCGTTTGCATTGCGAATTTGTGTTTGCTTTGAAGGCATTGAAAATGAACGACCGGCAGAGAAAATATTAACTCTGTGTACAGAGAAAGCCGTTATAAATAAAAATGGCAAACAAGCCACCACACGTATTTGTGACTGCTTCTTTCTCTTATCAGGTTTTGCAGATATGTTGTAAAACGTGATAATTAGTTATTAATCTTCACTGTTCGCTGAAATGTACTATTCCCTTGCAGGCTCCAAGGATTAATACTAAAAAGGGCACCTCTGTCACGCGTCGATATGAAAAAAGATATATAGCTTTGTTTGAACTTTTACCGCAGACACAAAGATGATTAATCTTCCTGAGCGGCATAGGTTCTCTAGTAATCTCTGTGCTGCCGCATAGTAGGGCCCTTAATGACACTAATTACTTACTCCATGTCGTGCGCATCTGTCTCCCCAACTGTTCGCTAATGTATGTTACCTCTAAACTGCGTTCTTAAATCGAGCGAGCGATGAATTCATGTCGAGGATTAGGCACGTTAACTTGAAACTTGTCTTCGTTCCGTTTTGTTGCGAAAGGTATGCTAAGTACCGAATTAAAACGGAGGTTCGGGCGAGTTGGTTGTTCATGACTGACATGGAAACAGCGCACCCTCAAAACAAGCACTCTAAGCTTTCATGCACACAAAAGAAAGAACCACTTACACAGCGCTGAGTAAGTGGTTCTTTCTTTTGTGTGCATGAAAGCTTATAGTGCTTATTTTGAGGGTGCGCTGTTTCCATGTCAGTTAAGTACCGAAACACTCATGAGCTGGATTTTAATTCCGTTGTAAGTAATACACTATGTATTTACCGAAATAACTTCTCTTTTTTTTTCGTCAATGTTCGAACTGTGTTTAGTTTGTTTAGTAGTCACTGCGTGGCGCCGCTTACCTTCCAATCACACGCAGTAAGTGCGCCGCAATTTTGAGTTACTTTTTTTTCTTGTTGTTGTACGTGAGTGGTTTAGTTGGTGACAGCCAACGTTACTAGAACACTCAGTTGGGAAACTCGCCGTCGAAACTTGGGCCGCTGGCGTCCACCGAGACCGAGCTAAATACGGTAACAGCGCCACTCTTTATCATTTTCCTGTACTGTGGTCACCTTGAGCTTTTAGAAAGCATGTTTTTGCGTAAAAACAAACAGAAAAGACTCTTTTTGTATGAAATTTATTGGAGTTTAGTACCAAATGATGGGCGCGTGATGTTTTTTTTAAATCTTTAGGTTGCAGGGTTTTGCGGCACAATTAATATTGTTTTTATACAACCATGCCTCAGCGGTGCTTTCAGGCAGCGCGTCCCGACCTAGGTGCATTTTAACTTGGGTGGTGAGTTGCGGCGCGTCCGCTGGAGAGGCGGCGGTGGCATTCATGTAACCTCATCTGCTGTATCTGTTTCGGCTCCACAATGGCCGATTAATGCCAAAATAGAAGGAACGTACAATTCCTCGAGTGGTCGCTGCGGGAGAAATGGTGGCGTTGTATTCGTCATTAGCTCGGTTCTCGAGGACACATCGGGGCCACTTTTTCAGATTAGTCTCTATGGCAGTTTCCCAACCGAGTGTTTTCGTAACGTTGGTGACAGCAAACCCAGAAAGAAAACGAGAGCCGTGACGATGAACGTTTGGCGCTGCTCGATTTTCTCCATCGAATCGCAGCGCAGGCTAAAGACCTTTGCAAATATATCTTTGTCTGCTGGGATGTGGAACGCTTTCTGAGCACGCGCCGTTACTCTGCTGTGCAGAATATCAAACGCTGCGCAAGCGCCCACAGCTCAGTGACTCAGCATTTATCGCCCGGGTGATAAGCGATGGAAATGTCTATAGGCAACCTGCAATGCTGTTTGGTTTGGCGTTATCTAGCAACTGAAGCAAGAAATATTGGGTATGCCTGGGAGTCGCAGCTGAATTGTTCAAACGTGAGCTATTACTGTGGTGGCGCCGCTTAGCGTAGTGTCTGAAGCAAGAAATACCGGGTAGGCCAGGAAGCCGTTATCGCAAAACATGCCATTACGGCTGAAGCTGCGGCCTTGGCGGATCAATCGGAACGTGACTACATATCACCGGAGTGCGCTTTTACTGCGAAGAAGTGTCAAACTTCTCGCTGCGTCATGCTCCCGTTGACCGCGATGTGGGAGCTTATCGTTGTCCTTTTGCCAAGTTACAACCAGACAGGGTATTAACTTTGGGCTCTCACTCTGCTGGTGCTGCCTGGCTGTTGCCGGCTGGGCTATGGTCGGACTTGAAGTGGACCGGGGTATGAGCGTATTTTTAGTCTCGTCATCCACCGAGCTCACTTTGCAGGGTGCAATAAAGTCCCTCGACATTTCTCTTTACAAGTAACGACAACCAATACAGATGACGAAGCACATTCCGCTGGAACGAAATGACGTCGTTCAGTTCAGTCCTCTGCCGTGCGCCGCCCTTCGCTTCCTAAAACCTGCACCGTCACACAGTCGGCGCTTCAAAAAATGTCGCTACTTGTATACGAAGCTCTTATTCTATAAACTTTAGGTGGTAGCCATGAGATCACCGTGTGCACTGCGGGAAACTATGCGCTCCAGATTTTTTAGGGTTGCATGGTGATTGACGGAGCGTTATCTTTGTTACTTTTGTCCAATGACTCCGTCGCCGTTTTATCTCGTATTTCCGCGAGGCTGGGGCTCTAATCTGGTTACTTGGCGAAAAGGTCGGCGAAGGATGCGGCGGCCGTGATAGGCAGGCGCCGCTCTCGACCTTGGAGCCAGCCAATCGCGACCGCCAGATTCCTTGACGACTTTTTCGCCAAGCCTCTATAGATAAGACAGCCCCTGGACGATTGTCTTTTTTTTAGGAGAACGCGGCTCATTCGCTTGTACTATTCCCGCGAAAAGCGACTTTTTTTTATTATCTCACTACCACAAAGATAAACGATTCGTCTGCATTATTTGCAAAGTTTGTTGAAGCTGTGCATGTCTGTAAAAAACAAAAGAAAAAAAAAAGCGTTAAGCAGCAAATTAAGGAAACTCTGTTAAAGTCACGAGTGTGTAAAACCGCAACAGTATAAGTTTCTGTAAATGTTTCCTTGTATATATATATATATATAACGTTGACAATTCATGCTATGTAACTGGCTCTGGGTCCCTCAGACCGGGTCAATTGCGTAGATCGTTGTTTGTGATAAAACGTCAGCGTGACAAGACAACACACCAATTTCGATCCACTGCTCGGTGTGTGTACCAAGCGGTCACCCGGCAGAGTCTCCGCTCCGAAATAAAGAGTGTCGCAATGTTTGACCGCTCTGGGCGGATTTCAGAGGCTTAGGTCGGAAGCCCCGCTTGAAAGCCGGACTGAATTTGTCGCAATAACGAACCGGGGCTCTTTCGACTCCGCCCGTAAGTCGGGCAGTCTCCTAGAGCTCGTCGAAGATGACGAAAGCCCCACTCGAAAAAAACGTGTTCCTACTTCAGATAGGGGCACCGAACTGCACGGGCTTTTGTTTCCAACAGAGGGTCGTCGCTTACAGAACCGCCGACGGTTTGCAAGCGGGATATATATTTCTTTCATTTTCCTTTTTTAAGATGGATCTCGGTAAACCTACCTTTTGTTTTGTTTTTAAGGTTACTCGGTAAACATTGGCGAGCCTGCATTCAAATTTCAAAAAAGTTCCTTGACGTGTCATAAAGAAAATAATCGGGTTTCTTGACCGATATTGTGAACAGAACGGCGCACGAAAAAACATGAACAGAGAAAAGGAACATGCACGACACACAAGCGCTGATCGACTCGCAACTGAATGTACACACAAAAGGAAAAAAAAAAAAAAAACTTGCTAAAAAGTCTTTCAGCAGGTTCTCTTCTTCTTCCTTTTGCGTATAAATTCAGTTGCGAGTCCGCGCTTGTGTGTCGTGCATGTTCCTTTCCTCTGTCCTTGTCTTTTTATGCGCTGTTCTGTTCACTATGGCGTCGTACCGCCCAGCTTACCACACTTCTGCAGTTTCTTGACCGCGAATTCGAAAGTTGGCATTTAAATATCTGCACACTAGTGATAGGGCTGAGCAGGCCAGTTGAATGGAAAAGGGAGTAAAAGAGGAAGTAAAATCAAGTCAGAGAGGAATGCAAGAAAAATCAGCTTTAACAATGTACAAATCAGAAAAAAACATGACATAAGAAAGGGAGAGGTGTTTGATAATTTACGTGGAAGTGTTTTCTTGTTCGAGGAGAGAAGCGTTTTCTAAAATCTTGCTAAATACTACCCAGATTTCCTGGCTGAAGTTAATAACCGAATAGACTTGCCTTCGTTTATATTTACAAGCAATTGGCCCCGTACGCGATGACGCCACAACATGGCGCTCCGCTCTAAACAAACCTTTGCTAGGGCCGTTGTAATGGTGAAAACCGTCAAATGCATAGGGGCTCGACCTGAGGTTAGAAATTGTCTGATAGAAAAAGTAAGTAATTTCCTGTAAGCATTGAGCCTTCTTCACGTCTAACCATGAAGGCTCTTTCTATCGTCTCAATACCATAAAGCGACGACAAAAGCCCGTAACAAAGTTTCAGAACCGGTTTTACCTTGTTAGCAGACGACACAATGGGTTAGCAGACGACACAATGGCTTCGCAGGTTCAACGGTTCTTTCTGGGAGCGTACGTGACCGCGTTGAATGGGGTTAGTGACGATCGACGAAACTTATATTCTCGGGGTCTCCTTTCTGTGGGATTTTCGGAAGCGAAGAGTGCCCGTGCACAGACTTGAGCGACGCTCGAGGTGTGCGAACGAACGCCTTCCCGTTGGACTCGCTTTCGCACTATTTGAGAAGGCGAAAACACTTTGAAGCCGAACTGGCCGAACCACGTACGACGACGGCGTGAAGTGTACCAAGGTCGAAGTGCAGGTCTACACTCGTTTCAAGGATTTTAGAGCGCAACCCTTAGGCGCCCGTTTCCAGCTTGAGCGGCGTCGGCGT